TTTTGTTCATGGCATGCGCCTGTTTTTTTTCATAAGATGAAAGAAAGAAAAGAAATAAAAATTCAAGACATGGTTGATTAGTATAGTATCTTGACCAGGACTATTTCATCGATCTAATTGATCGATTAAAACTTGGTTTTTTTTACATTTCTGGTTGTCATATGAAAACAGAAAAAAATATATATAACAACCGGAAATGTTTATCGTATGATAGTATGTTGATAATGATTTTTATATATATGTTATATATGTTGTTTTGATCTAATCGATCACTATGTCGCTTCCTAGGTGATGATCATCATCACGATGATTATAATCCGATAATTATGATTCTATTCTATAGTAAGAATTAGATCAACAATACATTGGGAAAAAACCCTGGATAGATAGAGAGAGAGACTGATCATTGATTTTGATGGTTGACAAATCAACATACACCTGTATACAGAATTGGTTCAAATCTGAAGAAATATTCTCACTTCATCAATAGTAATTGGATTAGAATGATTTGAATGACAAACTAAAAAAAAAACAATCTCAAATAATCCATAGAAATTCAATTGACCAGAAATTTTTTTTTTCTCTCTCTCTCTTTTTCTAATACAATCTTTACATTTACATGTTATGATATCATGCGTTTTTGGTGTGTGTGTGTTGGTTTATGTTTCGTGAAATTAACCATAGTAAATGATGATGATGATGATGAAAAAATATCGAACCAATGACAACAACAAAATATATATCCACACACACACACACACATCATGTATATACCAATCAATCAGTCGAGACAATGTCGTCGTCATCGTTATCTTTGCGTGTGTGTGTGTGTGTGTGGGTGCTATAACCAGATGTTATTTTTTTTTTTTTTTGGGTTTGGATTTTATTTTTTCTTTCTGTTTTGTTGTTGTTGTTGTTGTTGTCGTTATCATCAATATATTGGTGATGATGATGATGATGATGTGCATACGATTCGCAATGATTGAATCCAATGAAATCTCAAAAAAAAAAAAAAAATTTCTCTGGTCTGGTCTCTATCCGTGTGTGTGTGTGTGTGTGATATCCGTTTTTTTAAGTATATTGAAAGTAGTGGTTCGTAATGATGATTGAGATTTTTTTTGTTTATTTGTTGGTTGGTTGGTTGGTTGGTGGCTATCTGTGTAATGTGTGGTTGCTGTGTTGTGTTGGTTACGTGGTTTTTTTTTCTGGTGGTTATCTCTATTACTTATTGCTCGTGATTATTGTGATAGTAGATTTTATTTTTCTTGGATTGATGATTAGGATTTCTGTTTTTTTCTTTTCTCTCTCTCTCTCTCTATCATTGATTGATTCTTTTGTCGTTTTTTTTTCTTTCACTTTTTGATTATATATGGATTTTTCTTGCATGTGCATGCATGCATGTTGTGTGTGTGTGTTGTTGGTTTTTTTTCCTCTGTTTGGTTTGTTTTGTTTGATTTGTGGATTTTTTTTTTTTTTTTTAATTTCCTTGAATTCTGCTTTTTACCATTATTCTTCTGATCATCATCACCATTATCATCATAATTATTACCATTTTTAAAGCTTTATGATGACAGAACCGTCATCGATATTTATGAATACAACTCTGATCAGAAATTTTTTTTATAAATGAAAAAAAAAGAGTTGAAAATAAAAAAAATTTCATCAATGAAGATGTGGAAAATTCCTGTGTGTGTGTGTACTTGGCTTCTGGTTTATATATATAAAAAAAAAATAAGAATATGATTCATTGATTAAGAGAGCAAAAAAAAAAGAACGATAGAATGTGCGTTTGAACTGGTGAGCAATGAATCAAAGAACATGAAGAAAAAAAAAGGTAAGGTCAGTGTACCTGGACGCTTTCAACCAATACATACACACACACAATCCAATCCTATCTGTACGTCCATCTTTCAGTAGAATTTTGGCTAGTAAAAAAAAAATGAACTAAAGAAGCCAAAATGTTTGCTACCTGATGATGAATAATGATGATTCAATGTTGTGTATGTATGTTGGTGTTACAGGTTGTTGTTTTTTTCCTATATTTCTCATTTACTTATTGATGATCTGATTGCAATCGTTTTATTTTTTTTTCTATCAAAATTTTTGTTGCATTCTCTTTACTCTGATGTTGTGTATATATATTGTTGTTGTTGCAGCAATTTTTTTTTATCTCTTTTTTTAGAAACAAAAAAAATGGTTGTTGATCAAGAAAAATCAAGATCAAGTTTTTTTCTGGTGTTTGGTTATAGCTTAGTTCCAACCAAAAAAAAAAAACAATATATCATCAATATCCATACCCTCTTCTTGAATAATGATGATGGTATATGAACACTTGTTACTTTGATCATCATAATATCCAAAATATAGCCATGATCTTCATGTTGTTGTTGTTGTTGTTGTTGTTATGTGTGTTCGAAGTCCAAAACGATCGATCGACTTTTTATTTTTCTTGATATTCGGGTAGTGGTGATATTGGTGGTGGTGGTGGTGGTGTTCGTGGTTGTTGTTGTTGTTGTTGTAACCATGATCATGGCGGTTTTAGTAATGTGTATGGTGTGTGTGTTTGTTTGAATATCAACCAATTTTTATAGTAAATCAGAACACAGAGAGAGAGAAAGAAAGAGATGGTCATTTCGTTGTCCGTCATATTCATTCAATGGTTGGAATGAAAATGCCGCTCGGCAGATCAACAAATCAACAACCACAATATTCGAGCAAGCTATAATATGTTTGAGAAAAAGAATATCATCGAGAAACATTGAAAAAAAACTGGTTTCTTTTTTCAACATATATATATGCTGTATATATGAAAATCTTATAAGCTCGCGCGTTAATTACAACACATTGAATGTATGCTGCGCTTGTTGTTGTGTATATATGAGTATGTGTGTTCAAGAAGAATGTATAATGTACAAAGAAAAAAAAAAGAAAAATTTTTTTTACAAGCTAGCTTCAAATAAGAAATGTAGTTTTATATTTGGTGGCATGGCATGGCATGGATAAACTATTTGGACTTTTTTTTTTTTTTTTTTGAACGCGGCATTTTTTTTCAAAGTTTTTATTTCATTTTAGCTAACAACAAAAAGACTTGTTGGACAACAACAACAACAACAATTGAATATATTGGGTATATACTATATTCGTTTTTTTTTTGAACCACAAATTCACTGATATGAGAGAGAGAGAGAAAGATCATCATCATCACCAACAACTTTTGTGTGCCTCTTCAATTTTCTGGTTTCACAAACGTTGATGATCATCAATGTTGGTGAATACAAGATTTTTTTTTTTTTTTTTTTTGAACAAGTTTGGATTTTGATCTTATTCTTTTTTTTTGGTTATGATGATGATGATGATGATGGTGTGTGTGTGTGTGTGTGTGTAGTTTGGTTAGTTTTTTGCCCCATACATTTGATTTTTTTTTTGTTTTTGTTGTTGTTGTTGATACTAATATGAAGAATATTTTTTTGCTGCTGCTGCTGCTGTTTGTTCGTTCATTGGCCATATACCAGTTCGGTACTGAAATAGTGGTTTGTTTTTTTTTTTGTTGTTGTTTCTATGTCCAAAAGATCGATGATAAAGAAATTGTTTTGCAAGTGCTGTTTATCTGTCTGTATACATGTGTGTGTGTATGTTTATTTGTGGATGATCTGCTTGGAATAAGTATGCAAGGTGCATCATCATCATCACACACACACACATTTTTTATAGGCAAATAGATGAGATCAATGAGATCATCATCATCATCATTTATCAATTGTAGCCATGAAAAATAGCCAAAATGACAATAACCTATCATCGTCGGTTTGTCTCTTTTTTTTTTCGTTTAATTATTTAACTATAGTCAGTCATATATGTCGGAAATAATTATTATGTTGTCTTTCAATCTCTCTGTGTTTTTATATATGTGCGAAGGAATATTCTTTGTTTGTTTGCATTTCTATACATGATGTTAAATATGAATATGAACGGATTCTTTTTTTTTTTTTTTTGGCCAGAATCAAAACAAAAAAACTGACGCGTGGTATTTTTTTTTTTTGTTTCATTTTATGAAAAATTGTTGGGTAGTAGCAGTAATAATGATATATTCAATATTCGTTGTTTGATTCAATTCTTTTATTTTTTTCGATATGATTTTTTTTTCTTCTTATTCTTGTTTGGGTGTCGAAGTTTCGTTTTGTCTTTCTCTCATTCTCTCTCTCTCTCTTTCTGTACTGATTCAGTTTTTGGATTCGTTCATCTCTTTGTATATATGTGTTGATTTTATTTTTATATTTGTATGGATTGTTGGTGTGGATTTATAAATAGAAACCAATTTCTTTTGTATGTGTGTGTGTGTGTCTGTCTTGTGTTTGTGTGTGTTTATTGATATTTATCAACGAGCAAGCACATAGAATGATGATGATGATGATGATGGTAAAAATTATGGCACATTGTCGCTGTATTTAGGATTAGCCAACCAAAATTCAACTTTATTCTAAAGAATTTTTCATTATTATTATTATTGAGTTTTAATGATATAAACTTTATTGAAAATATTCATGTGTGTGTGGAAAGAGAGTGGAGTACGATTCTGATTTTAATTTTGTGGATAATCTATATCTATCGATATATGCATGCTCATTAATAATTCTGTTCATGTGATATGGATACGATTCTAATCGGAATATATTAGATATTGAATGTCAATCAGATTGAATTTGTTTGAAATTTTTTTTTGCATCGAATTTACTAATTTTAATTTTTTTTTATTTTTTTTTAATTCAACCACATAGATATTTGCAACCATTTGTTTGGATAAATTTTTCTTTGAAAATTAAAATCGATATTTGAGAACAACAACAACAACAGAAAAAAAACCGAAAAAGAATGTGATCCTTGAAAAACGAAATTTTATGATTTTTTTTTCTCGTTGCCGTTGTCGTCGTCTTTGTCGTTCATTCATTCAAACATTGAATTTTTTCAAGTGTCCCATATTTTTGTTTGTTTGTATGTATGATACATCTCCCATAATCATTTGATTTGAATCAAGATTTTTCTCTTTCATTATATTTTATTTGCGATTGAATTTGGCCAATGGTTTCGATTTTAACAACAAGATCAAAGATTTTATCCTTATCAACAACAGCTACAACAACAATAACAGCATCGACATCATTATTATCATTGTCCTCAAATTTATCATCATCATCATCATCATTTTCGTTGTTTAATCCATATGATTATTTGAATAATAATATAGTATTTATATTCAACCAATAACATACATCGTCATCATCGTCAACAACGAGCAAGAACAAAAACAACAACAACAACAACAACGACAACAACAACAGCAAAAATATCGAATCAAAAATGAACATTCTTGACAAACAATCACCAACAGCATCATCGATAACAACATCGACAATAACAACAACAACGACGACAACATTGGCTTCATCGGGAGCGGTAGCGGCAGCTTCTTCTTCTACAGCTACATTAACATCGGTTACAAATAATAATAATAATAATAATAGTGGTCAACAATTATCAAATAATAATAATAGCAATAATAATAATAATTCTGGCAATAGCCAGAATTGTGCCCCTGGAAATGGCGGCAATAATCACAATAATAATGTTAATAATAATAATAATAACAATGGTGGTGGAAATGGAACAACACCATTACAACCACCACCACTTCCACCATTGTCACAATGCTCATCGGCTACCGGTGGATGTAGTAGTGTTGGTCAGCCATCAACTCCATTAACACCATCATCATCATCATCATCACAAGATTGTATTTTATCGAACAATCAATTAATATCATCAATGTCTAAGACTAGTGTCGGTAGTGGTGGTGGTGGTGGTGGTGGTCAACAAGGACCATCATCGGTATCATCTTCGTGTAGTGCACCACATACACCATTGGATAGTTTACAAGCATCTATTAATAGTCAATCTGATCCATCATCAATAACGACAAATAGTGGTATACAACGACCAACAAATGTATCGACGCCATCATCTGTATCATTCACCAATAATAATAATACGAATAGTGCACCAAGTACTCCTGCATCAATGATTCAAGGTGGTGGTTGTCCACCATCGGTTGGTTCACAGAATAATGATAATTTATCAATGACACCGATGATTGGTTCACCATCGCTCAATCAATTAACACCAACGGGTGAATATACGCCAGTTTCATCACAATCACCATTTGCAAATAGCCAGCAACAACAACAACAACCAAACCAAACAAACAGTGCCAATACATCCACAACATCAACACAACCAAATTTATTATCATCATCACCATTGAGTGTTCATCAACATCAACAACTATCATCTAATTTAGATAATCAGATCTGCAACAACACCAATAATAATAATAATGGTAAAAACAAAACGATAAATAATAATGGTGCTGGCACCAATGGTGGTAATAGTAATCCAAATAAAAAACATTGCAATAATCGAAATAATAATAATAATGCAAACAACAACAATCCGAATGGACCGAATAATTTAATGTCCAACAATAATAATGGCATTGGAATTATGGGAATGGGTAATAATTTTCCAATGAACCAACAACAACAACAACCACCACCGCCAATGCAACCACCGCATTCATCACAAATGTCAATGAATCCGAATAGTTGTATGGGAGGAATGGCTCTAGGCCCTAACAATAACAATAACAACATGTCCGGTATGATGATGGGTTGCGGCAGTGTTGATAATAAAAATCAAATGAATCATTTTTCATCAATGACACCACCGCACAATTCACTATCAAACAACAATCAAATGCCTTGTGGTGGTATGCCTAATGGTATGTCATCATCATCCACTGGACCACCACCACCACCACCTGGTATGGTAAATGGTAGTATTTCACCATTTGATGTTGATTGTGGGCCAAAAACAATGTCACAATTTCCCAAAGAATTTAGTCCCGAGTTATGGGGTAAGTTTTCTTCCATTGTCATGAAATAGAATAATTGATTGAAATTTTATCTCTTTAGATGGTTGTGGACCTCCACCACCTCGAATGCCATCTAATTGTCATCCATCTATGGGCGGTGGACCTCCGCCTATGAATATGCCGCCGTCAAATATGATGAATGTCGGACCAAATAAAAACATGTGCAACATGAATCCTAATATGCTTCCAAACACAGGGCCTCCACCTCATGCATCGAACATGAAGACACCACCGATGGATGGTGGAATCGGTAATATCGGCGGTGGTGGTGGTGGCGGTGGTGGTGGCCAATTCATCCAACAACAAAATCAGGTGTTTGTATTCAATACAATGATGGCCAACAATGCTGCCGATGCTGTCGAACAGAGACGTTTTCCTTCCATCATACACTTTCATATGAATCAACCGATAACTAAAAAATTTATGGAGAAAAATTCCATCAAGCTACAAAGTTTAAATCGTCAGCCAAATAATTCATGGATGGCAGGCAACATACGACAGCCAAGAATACGTGGGCCCAATGCATCAACTAATGGAATGCCTCCGATGCGAGGTAATTTCGCTAGCACAACGAATCCCCCTTGTTTCTCACCATACAATCATAATCCACCGCCTGGACCAGGTCCAGGAGGAGGCGGCGGTGGTGGCGGTGCTGGATCTCCCGGACCTGGCCAATGGAATCCGAATTGGCCACCATCAGGACCACCACCCCCTAACAATCACCATCATATGTCCGGTAGTGGTAATGTTCCTCCACCTTTTTCAAATGATATGAAAATGGGATGTGGTGTCAATCCAATGAATGCACCACCACCAATGCGACAATGTGGACCACCACCACCACCTCAACAGTACAATAGTAACAACAGTGGCAGCAATTTCAATCCTCAAGGCTATCCTATGGGTATGTGTGTGTAAATAAACCTAAGAATATTAGAAAATAATGTAATTTTTCTTTATAAAATATAGGCTGTAATGAAGATGATAATCTTACACCGCAGCAAAAACAACATCGTGAAAATAAATTGGCCATATTGGCAAATATACAGCAGAAATTCTTACAACAGGAAGCAAATCAAAATCCTAATAATCGTCTAGGACCACCACCACCACCACAAAACGCTCAATCACTCGGATCGAATCCGGATCATTTTGTACCTGGAATGATGGATCCAATGATGACCTCAGGCAATTCTAATCAACAATCGATGATGTATCCACTTCATCATTCTCATCCACCACCTCATCATCATCAACATCATTCGGATCCTCAAATGTCATTCAAACAAGAAAATATTGATCCTCACAATCATACTATGAATCCACGTGGTCATGCACCACCACCGGGAATGAATACGTCCGATATGAATTTCAATCCAAATTTCTGTCCAAATCCAATGATGAACAACAATAGTAATAATGATCCATGGCTCAAATCTGGTTCTGGTTCTAATTTTCCTCCAATGATCGATGAAACAAAACCATTTACATCGACAACGACGACAACCACAACGTCGAATAGTCGACGGAAAGGATCTCAGCAACAACAGAATGCTAATCATTTATCGCCCATATCACAACAAGGTCCGATCAATAGTCCAAATCAATCTTGTATCAATCAAAGCCCAAGCAATCGTGTACCACCACCTCCTTACAATCCAAGTTTACATAGATCAATGTCCAGTCCACATCCAGGATCTCCAGCCGCAATGTCACTACCATCACCACGAATGGCATCCGATTCTGGTAGACAAACAAATTATACGCCCGGATCAGTTCGTTCAGGCCCATCTACTCCTGTTGTTGTTGATGGACCATTGATTAATTCTCCTAAATCAAATTCTCGGGCCAATTCTTCGCCTGGTAATAGTAAAAAAGCTAAACAACAGCAACAACAACAACAACAGCAGCAGCAACAACAACAACAAACAATAGATAATGATCTTAATATGTTTGGTGCAAAATCTGAACATCCACTAATGCCAGTTCCTTCTCCTCAACAAATCGATTATATCAATACATTCGAAGGTCAAGAATTAACTATACAAAAGCAACCTAATGCTCATTTCCAAGAAACGAACGATATGATGGTCAGCGGTGGCGGTGGTGGCAATGATCTATTGAATAATGATCTATTCGTCAATGATTTTATGTGTGGACCAAATCAGCAATCCAATAATCCGCCTCCACCGATGTCGATGAATAATCCACGATTTCCTTCTGGACCATGTAATTTTGATTCCAGATATCAAGATAATATGAGATTCAATGGTGGACCTATGATGGATAATTATAATAGGCCATCACCACATGGAATGTGTGGTAGCCAAACTGGTGGCCCTCCTCAGTTCAACCCAAATGATCCAAACTCTATTCGCTTTCCTAATTGTGATATGAAATCATCAAGAATGTCAGGCAGCAACGGCCCTGATATGGGCACATTTCCTCCCCCATCAAATTCAATGTGCGATATAGATTTCGCCAATTCCATACCACCGATCAATGATGGCATGAGTGGTTCTTTTTCGAACGGAGGTGGTCCACCAGGGCCTGGTGGACCCAATTTCAATGATTCTCCATCCGTTGATAATAATTCCATTAATTCGTTACAAAGTCTACAGAAAATGGCACCACCATTTGAAGTAACCGGACCGAATTCAAAATCTGGTCCAATGGGCGTTGGTGCACCTACAGGCATGATGGCTCAACCAAATCAGATGATGGGCCAGAATCAAAAAGGTGGCCGAATTCCAGGCAATTATGATCAACCGTTCGGACCAGGTCCAGGAATGAGTCAAATTCCACCATGTAGTGATTTGAATGATTCTAATAATTATGGTGGTCCACCACATATGGTTCAATCAGCGAATATGCCTCCAATGAATTATCCGCAAAATAGTTTCTCTCAATCACCAAATCCATCGATGCCTTCGAATATGATGCCTGGTAGTGATCCTCAATATGGCGGTAGTATGCATTCAAGTAACGGACCATTTTCACCATTGCCAATGAATACACCAACGCATTCAATGGTCGATCAAAATTCATCAAATGGTCCTAGTCCTATACCGCCAATGATGCAACCAGGTCCTGGATCTCAAGGAAATTTTGGACCACGAATGCCACCATCATCCAACGTTAGTCGGCCAATGAATCCATCGAATAATCATGGTCAACGTTATAATTCACCTAATATTCAAGTAAAACCAGACGCACCGAACACGATACAATATTTACCATCAAGACCACAAGGACCGACGACAACACCACCTAATCGTCCTCCGAATCTAGATTTTTTACAACAATCACTAAATATGGGTAGTAATAAATCATCTGGTCCACCTCCACCACCAAATAGTTATTATCCACCTAATAGTACTGGTTCGATGGCACCAAATCGTCCGAACATGAATTTCGGCGGACCTCGTGGTCCGTCATTGATGAGACCACAAAACATGAACACGGCAGCTGGACCGCCTGTTTCAGGACCACCACCACAACCAGGTAACATGTGTGCCGGTAATGATATGATGTTCAATCGACCACCAGGTTCGGCTAATCATCAGATGACAAATGGTCCAAATCGGATGCCACCTCCACCTCCAAATGCTAACTTTGGACCAAATGGGCCTACACCTGGACCACCACCACCGGTAAATGGTCCAATTGCACCGCCAGGACAAAAACCTGGTGGTAATAATGGACCAGTACTACATCCGGATTCATTTGATAAATTTGATAATGATTCAGCGTATGCACAACAATATCATAATTTTCAACAACAGCTATATGCAACGAATACACGTAATTCGGCAAATAATCCACGAATGTCTTCAAATTTTTAAAATTGAAAAATAACCATCTCAAATTTGTGTGTACATAAGATAAACATATGAACCATTTTATATTGATCTAAAATGTTGATTTAAAAATCAACGACGATAATGAAATTTAAATTTTTTTTTTGCATGAAGACAATTCAATGTGTAAATATAGAGATTTTATTATCAAAAAGTACACACACACACACACACAGACGAATATTTGTAAAAAAAAGAAAAGATTATTGTCAACGAGTCATCATTTGGACATCGAAACATATAAAACAAAACAAAACAATACAAAAGAAGAAAAATCTGAATTCACAGCCTATGATGATCTCTCCTATTCCAGAATTTATAATACAATTAATGATACACATTGGTGTTTTGATACATGACCTCGTTGATGAATTTTTATGGCTGTCCTAAATAATTTTTTTTTCATTTTTCAACACAACAAAAAAAACATGTATTTCGTGCTCATCATGCTCATTACAAATTTTAAATTATTAATTATTAATATTATATATTGATTGATATTGTTATTTCGTTTTTTTTTCTCTCATCGAATCATTTCATTTATCATCCACAAAATAATGATGAATTTATTATATATGGATAATAAAATGAATTTGAATGAAATGAAATTTTCAACAAACAAACAAAAACATCTCAAATTCGATTGAATAAATTGAGATATTTTAATAGCCGTACACGTGTTTGCCATAGTTGATCAAATTGACGATAATCATCAACATTAATATCATTTTCACCATTTGATTTAGATGATCGAATCGATTTATATGTGTTGAACATTTTGATAAATGTTGAACGAAGTTTTTGATCCATTCGATCGTGAATTAGATCATTGAATGCATGTTTATAATTCTTTTTCAATTCAGCTAATCGATGGCTACTAGATAGTGATTGACGAATTTTTTCCAATTTTTTACCATTCGTATATTTTGGATGAGAATGTAGTAGATCCAATTGTTTAAGAACTTTATGTAATGATCTTTCAAATTTATGTGATCGATGTGGTTCGATTTCTATTGGATTTTGTTGTCTATTTGATGGCTGTTTTTTTTCTTCATTTTTTTCTGATTGCTGAATAGAATCATCAGTTTCGAGGTTTTCTGTTTTTACATTTTCATCATCTAATGTTTCAGCTGTCTCACATTTTCCAATGGTTTCATCATTATTATCGATTTTTATAAAACTAGCCATCAGCCTTTTGGTCAATGGACCATATGATTTTTCTGGATTTGTTTCATCATTGGAAAATTGATGAATAAATTTTTCCAAATATTGATCTAGTTTTTCCATCTTGTTGTTTTTCATCATTCTGGTTGTCGTTATTATCTCCATGATCAATGGTCTTTATATTTATATCATTCATCCGGGATATATCATCATCCAACATTTTACATTTACCATAAAATGCAGCACATTGCTATAATGAATTGAATAATTAGATAATAGATAGATAGATTTGCAAAATCAAATTTTAACAATACTTTGACTTCTTCTTCTTTGGGTGGAATATCATGAAGATAATGTATAAATGACCAAAATTGATTGGGCACATCAACATCGTTTAGCTGTGGATATGGCATGGCGATAAAACGTTCGATTATTTCATAATTTGGCTGTAGCTATATATAATGAAAATTAATGAAAAATGACATTTTTCATCAAAACAAATTTCAAAACTTACCGCACAATTCGCTTTACTTTTGAATGTTATACGATCAAAATATTTTTCAAAAGTTTTTTCATTATACGGTTGTTTGATTTCGGTTTTAGACTTTGATGATGATGACGATGATGATGATGATGCATCAATGTTCTGAATGGAAGAAATTTATTACAACATACTCTTTTGAATAGATTTATGACTTACATTTTTCAACATTTTAATTTCATTGGCATTCAATTCATTTTTCAGTAATCGTAATCGTTTCATCGTATCCAACAGTAATGTTTCCATTTCCAATTGTATCTGATCAAGATCATCGATACTGATCTCTGATTTTTCATTTGTCATAACTTCAAATAATAATAACAATGATAATGTTTGTGTTTTACTTTAAAAAAAATGACAACTTACATCGATGATAACGAGGACATTTGATGACCAAATTTAATGGATCATATTCGATTATATAGTTCGGTATGCCCAATGAACCGAAATCTTTTTTATCCGAAATGGTATTGAATTCATATTTATTTACATTTTCTGATTGTTCAATTTTGTCATTCATTTTTTTTTTTTTTGATTTTGGATTAAGGATATTGTCATGGAACAATAATAAAAGGATATATATCAGCTGAATAGTTCATATATGAATATGAAAATCGATGATAATCGATTGTATCGAGATCTAACAAATGATACATCGGTTTCATATATTGTCCATTGATTTCACAGCTGATTCATGTTTGTTTGTTTTTTGTATTTTTCATTTGAATTTTCAGTTTGGTTCCATGTCATGTCCAATTGAGAATGCGATCTAATCATTTGTTCGATAAAATTCCAAAAGGTATCGATGCTATTATATTCTGTGAATTTGATGTCCATCTTGGTCCAGTACTCAAACATCAGGTTCGTTGTAATATTTGTTTTAGTCATCTCTATTTTGATGATGATGATGATGATGATTATGATAATTTCATCTTTCGTATGCAATAAAGTATCCGGAAAATTATGTCACCAAAGAAACATTTGAATCATTGAGCGTTTATTTAATACCTAAACCTGAACTTTATGGAAAATTGATTACAATGTAAGCACCATAGATAAATTTTTTTTTAATCACTGAATCAATCATTGTATATAGAACGGCATATGGAATGAAAATTCTTGGCTATCCAGTCAGCATAACCGATGCCAAATATCAACGTAATCAACTGATATTCAATCTTTGTTTTGTATTCTCACATTTTACGAGTACAACACAATATGAACCTATCATACATAAATTAGCCCATTATCTTATCGATCTGGAAGCTGAAATGGGTTTCATTTCGAAAAAAGATATCGGTCCAAAACTATCGAACTATCTGGTTACAATTAGAGATGATTTAAACGCATCCGGTATTTGTACGATTAAAATTTGTGAGTTTGCCTTTTGTTTTGTAATAATGAACAAGGATCATTGACATTCAATTACTTTTTTAGCACTGTCAACGACCATACATTTAAAATTGACAAAAGTTCAAACGAATCCACGTCAAGTGGAAGATTATCATGTACCCATATTGAATTCAAATCATTTTAATACCAAAAATATTTGCCAATGGGATTTAACTACGCAACAGGTATTGATTTTTTTTTCATTGCATTTTTAATGCATATAACGATGTTTATCCATAGATATATTATTACATTGATGGTGTGAATCATGTTTCAAAGATTGCATTCATGGCCGATGTTGACATCAATCTGGTGAAAGCTTGTATACAAAATCTTATCTATTATGGTCTTGTATCATTGGTGCCAATTTTTCTTTATTCAAATGTCTATGTAACTACGCCTAAAATTCGATTATTACTTGAAAATCCTATGCTTAGAGATGAATGTCTTCGTGAAATACGTAAAGATGGTTCCATTGTTGAACCATCGTTGAAAAAAATCCTACAACTTTATAGTAATATGTGTCCAGGAATGACTGTTAAAGATTTATGTCAACGATTCGTTCCACATTCGAATGGTATTGATGAACAAAAATTGGTAAAATTTGGCATAATGAAAGGCATTATAAGACGAATACAGAAATATCCTATCCAATTGAATGAACCGATTGAAGAGGAATCGGATCCGTATGCCAGAGTTAATTCACCAACGTTAACACAATCATTGATGATGAATCGTTCAACATCTTCACCACAATCAAATACATCTACTGTACATTATTCAAAAGATATCTATACATATTTCGATGGTAAACATTCGTATGATCAACTTTGTTGTGAATTTAATCGTACATATCAGGAAATTGAAAATAAAGTGGAAAAAAATCCGGCAGTAGTTGTATGTTGGAAATAATATAAATAAATAAAGTTCATATTTTTATAGCTTAAAAGTTACACACACACACACACACAACCAATCACATGATTATTATTGCAGTGTATAAAATTGTCATTATTTTTCATTGAATCGAATTATAATTGCATATATACAAAAATCACATGCATGCACATTGAAAAACATTGGATGGTGGAAAAAATTAACAAAAATTCGACAACAAACAATGGATCATGATCGTAAACCGGAAGATCGATTTGAATGTGAATTAAATGGCAATGAATTAGAAAAATATGGTCCATATTCATGGATGGTCAGACCATGTGAATGGTATCTACAGGAATATAAAGATTGTAAATGTAAGTCTAATTTTATTTATTTTTTTATTTTTTTTTTATAAAAAATTAAAATTATTAGCAATTAGAGCACGATTACATCAATATTTTATATCGGGTACAATCGATAATTGTGATGATTGGCGTGATGATTATCATAATTGTTATCAATTTCGTAATAACAAAAATCCAATCTATTTGGTAAGCAGCTTTTGTTTTGTTTTGTTTTGTTCTGTTCCAAACTTTTGAATCAAACATTTTCCTATATAATGTTTTCATATATAATAGAATCGTTTAATTGAAAGTGAACTATTGCGCAAACATAACCGGCTATTACAATCTAAAGCGAATGATGTTTGGGAATATCGTACTGAACCACCCAATGATTGGAACAAACCTATTACTACAGATGAATGAAGCAATAATCTTCAAATGATGATAACAATAGAAATTTTGTCAATTGTATTGTCACCTTTATATCAATTGTATAGCTATAAATTTTCTTTTCTTTTCAAAAATAAATTTTCCTGAAAAAAAAATTCAATTTTTAATTACCATTTTTTAATCATCATCTCATCTCATCATAATCATCAATGTTGATTGTCCTTGATGTTGCCGTGGTAATCATCAATCACAATGTATGGTGAATGAAAAAGTTTGTCAATCAATCAATCAATTGATTATTCATAATTACTGAAGCTATAGTAATCAACTAAAAAAAAAAAATGTCATCATTTTATCTCGTTATTTGTTGAACAATTATCATTTGTGTGTTGTGGTTGTATTTTTTTTTTACTGTTTTTCATCTATAAAAAAATAAACATTACAGTTATACAAACATTAAACAAAAATCGATTGATCAATGATTTTTATTTGATTCGTCATCAATGATCATAGTTCATCATTGATTAAATTGATTGAATTTGTTTTTCTTTCCAAAATTAAAAATCGATAATGATGATTCAAACAGAAAAAAAAGTTTTTATCACACAGGATACACACATTTGGAATTTCTAACCGGATGATGATTGAATGAATGATAATAATCTTAGTTTGTTTGCACTTTTTTTTTGACAGGAAATTTTTTTTTGCTACAAAACCATTACAACAACATAATCTGATATCTGATATATAAATCTATGGTAACAACTATTAATCAATGATGATAATTTCAATCTAAAAAAAAAAATCAAAATCTCTTTACAGCTTATATATTCAAACATACACACATACACACAAGATGTTTTTTTTTCTCTATCATTATGAATGGGCAGGTAGGTATGTGTGTATTGTGTGTGTATACAGACAGACAGGTTGGTGACCACCACCACCACCTCAACCACATTTTGATTTCTTGTTCTTTATAATTTTTTTTTTACATTTCAATTTTATGATAATGTTGCTGCAACCACCACCACCACTAACACCACTAACACAACCATTTAAATCATCTATTGGCTATGCATCATCAAAAAAAAAAATTATGGAGCAGCAAAGCGGATGCCATGAATAGTCAGTCATTCCAACCAAAGATTTGACTGTTTTTTTTTTTAGTTAATCTGTGTTCGACAACAACTACAATTGAAACAACAACAACGACGACGACGGCGATGATGATGATGATTATTATTATGGACATAGAGTCATAGTCATGCATACATGCTGCTGCTGCTGCCGCTTTATGTTTTGTAAAGATATCATTCATATATCCATCATCATCATCATTGTTTCATTCATTCATTCATCGTTTAATATTTAATTTCTAGCCATATATACACAAAACACATATTGGACCTGCCTGGTGATGTGTTTAATATATAATATATAATTGCCAGTTGTTATTGTTGTTGTTCGGTTTGTATTTTGATGTTGATGATGATGATAACAATACTTCAATTGAATGTTGTTTGTATATTATGGATTATAATGTAACCTCAACCATACAACGCCAATTGATATAATTGTCGATTAGTGTGTTGTTTGCTGTGTGTGTGTGTGTGTGTGTGTGTTATAAGTGCCTTCAAGACCATCTCTCCATTTATTGGTGGTGATATTTGTGTGGTTGTCTTTTTTTTTTCTTCTGATCAACTCATCACCATCATCATTCAAATCATTGCATCGGATCGATGATTTTTTTTTCTATTATTAACCAACGCGCCGCACATAATTTGTGTGATTCATCATCATCATCATCATCATCATCATTCGCATTTTATTGATGATGTTTGTTACTTTTTTTCATTTAATTTCTCTTTCTTCAAATTTGTCACCAGGTTTTTGATTTCATTTGTTTTTTTGTGTTTATATATGTGTGTGTTTGGTGTGGTTATGCAATACAATAACGACATCAATAACAAATCTTGCTGATATATTGCTGTTGTTAGTTATTTTATTGATGGTTTATGATTATTGCTTGTTTTTTTTCCGTTGCACCGTGTGTGATTAATGGTGATTTTATTTCAATTATAATAATCATTCCAAATCACATCAAAAAAAAAAACATTCCTATACATTACCAACAAAAACATTTTGGCCAACCAATATATTATCAACAACAACAACAACAACAGGAAAAAAAATTTCCATTCCAATCTAATTATAGAAAATTCAATCTTTTCCAAACAAACAATTAATCGATTATAAATCGATCATTCCAAAAAAAAACATCCATATATAGAATATTTTTTTTTTCGTTTTTGTGTTCCAATTATTTAGTGTCGATAATTATCGTTATTTTTTGCCAAAAAAAAAGAAAAGAAAAACTTGAATAAAGAATGGATACTTTGACAGCCAATTTGGAAACACTTTCATTGAGTGAAGAACAGACCGATAGTATTGAAAATATTTTCAGTAAGGTAATGTTTTTTGTTTGAAAAAATTTATTAGTAATGATTGATGTATATGCTAATAATTTTGTTTTGTTGAATTTAATATAGAATCGAACATTAGATGCCAATGCATTAAAAGATGCATTAGATATTGTTGGCTTTAAATTGCCATTATGGCGTGTACGAATATTGATTGAAGATATTGATAAGAAAAAATCATTCAATTTGGAAAAAGGTCGCCTTACAAGAGAAGAATTTGTTAAATTATGTACGGATCTAAGGGCACAGGATGTAGCCAATTCATTTAAATCATCCATATCGAAACGTGGCAATCTAGAAACACTGGGTGGCATGTCGGAAGCCAGTTCCTCCGGTACAACGCATTCCGTTAGACACGAAGAACAAGTGGCCTTTTCTGATTGGATTAATACGTAATTAAGATTTTTTTTTCTAATTAATTAATCTTGACTTTTCATTATCACTTTTTTTTACCTCTCATATAGACATTTATCATGCGATTCAGATTTAAAATCCTTATTGCCAATCGATCTTGAAGGTAAAACATTATATGATAAAGTAAAAGATGGTATACTTCTCTGTAAAATCATCAACCATTCATGTCCGGATACCATTGATGAACGTGCCATAAATAAGAAAAATCTAACACTTTATACCAAACATGAAAATCTAACATTGGCTTTGAATTCGGCTCAGGCTATCGGTTGCAATATAATCAATATTGATGCACATGACCTTTCAAAAGGAAGGCCACATTTGGTACTTGGATTGTTATGGCAAATTATTCGTATCGGCCTATTCAATCAGATTACCATTGAACACTGCCCCGGCCTGGTTAATCTTTTGAACGATAATGAAGAGATGGCTGATCTTTTGAAATTATCACCCGAAGAGATACTAATTCGATGGGTGAATTATCAATTGGAAAAGGCCAATGTTGATCGACGAATTTCGAATTTCACCAATGACATTAAAGATTCAGAAGTATACACTCATCTATTGTATCAGATTGCACCACAGGAAAAAAATGTCAACAAAGATGCATTACGTGAACGTGACATGTTAGAAAAGGCCGAAATGATGTTAAAACAGGCAGATAAATTGGGCTGCCGTAGTTTTCTGACACCACAAAACGTGGTGGATGGAGTGTACAAATTGAACGTTGCTTTCGTTGCCAATCTTTTCAATAATTATCCTGGTTTGGATACGCCCGAAAATATTGAACCATTAGAAACAATTGAAGAAACGCGCGAAGAGAAAACTTATCGAAATTGGATGAATTCTATGGGTGTGGATCCCTATGTTAATTGGCTATATAGCGATCTAGCTGATGGTAAAATTATTTTCCAGGTAATAAATAATGATGATGATGATGATGATAAAATCATGACTCATTGATGTTGTTTGTTTAGCTTTTCGATATTATTCAACCAGGTATCGTGAATTGGTCACGTGTACATCAAACATTTAGCAAATTGAAATATTTTATGGAAAAAATTGAAAATTGCAATTATGCCGTACAACTTGGTAAAGAATTAAAATTTTCATTGGTCGGTATTGCTGGCCAAGATATTTCCGAAGGTAATCCAACATTGACTCTTGCATTGGTATGGCAATTGATGCGTGCATATACTTTGTCCATTCTATCGAAATTAACCAATCATGATTCGAATGGTTCATCACCGAATGCCATTGTTGAAAATGAAATCATCGATTGGAGCAATAAAAAGGTTTGATTTTGTTTTTATATGTGTTCATACAGGTGATATAAAATTTTTTTTCCATTCATTTAGTTACGTGAAGCGGGTAAATCATCTGCGATTAAAAATTTTCAAGATTCATCCATTTCGACAGCCATTCCTGTCATTGATCTCATTGAGGCCATTAAACCAGGATCAATTAATTATAGCCAAATATATGAAGGCTCAACACATGAGGTATGTGTGTGTCATTAATGGTGTGGTTAAATGTAGACAACAAAAAAAATTATCATGATTTTTTCCTTATTTCAATAATAAATAGGAAAAATTGGCCAATGCAAAATATGCCATATCGATGGCAAGAAAAATCGGTGCCCGTATCTATGCATTACCGGAAGATATTGCTGAAGTGAAAAGTAAAATGGTTATGACAGTTTTTGCTTGTTTGATGGCACGAGATTATATTCCAAATATGGGCAAAGCTGTTGATCCTCTCAACAACAACAACAACAACAACAGCGACAATAACCATGTTGAATGATGATGATAAAATAATTATATAAGCCTAATTTTTATAAGCATTTACTTGATTTTTTGGTAATAAATCTATTATATATATTGATTTGCACATAAAGCATCAGTTCAATTAATTAAACATTCCGTTTCATTTATTTTGTGATCATCTAATTTAATATTACCTGATAATTCATTTGTTTGTTACGGGGACAATTTGTTTTTGTTTTATGCATACATACAAACAAAATCGGACAATGGAAAAGGCACATCATCATTTATCAAAAAAAAAATTGGACAAATTTCAAACGTGTCTTCAAATATAAAATTGTCGAAGATTATTAGTAGCCTGTTTAATCAATCGAATCCAATCTTTGGCTTCTGTTTCGGTCAACGTTCTAATTTTGTATATGGTTGAACATGAATGATCAGCCAATGTGAATACATTTGTTGTTTTGTTCGAATGTTGATTGATGTTACCATTATCGAAAACTGACCATTCTAATAAAGGAAATTTTTTACATGCTCGAAGATTCGGTGTCTAATGTAAAAAAAAATCAAATTCAAATTTAAATATCAAAAATTTAAACAGGCTTATTATCAATTAATTAATACCTCTTTAAGTTGATTATTTGATTTACTATTGAAAAAAAGCAATGAATCACTGGTCAATCGTAGATGATAATTTGTCCAGAATGAAAACTATTGATCGAATAACCATTATATTAATAATGATGACCAATGTTATTATGTATTTTTGATATGACTTACCGGAGGTTTCTTTTTATCTTTCAACACAGTCTTTCTATTTACACAACCTTTATGTATAATATCTTTATCCGTATATGTCCATCGTTCATAACGATCCGGATAAACAGTATTCCAATCTTCAAGGTTAGTGATACCACCACCATTGGGCGACAAATAAGATTCTTCCGATTTTCTTTTAAACATTTCCAGTGTTGGTTTTTTATCCCGTTTGTTATATACATGACTAACTTGATAAGTATTAATTATTGGATCATTATTGATTATGATAGGACTATCGTCAATGAGATTCATTTTGAGATTTTTTGATGATCTATTGTTTATTGGTGATGATGATGATGAGCATTGATTATTATTATTATTATTATTACTGTTTTTATTATTTACAACGTTTTGAATATTATTAGTTGATAGATAAAGATTCGTCTCAAGGCTATAAGTTTTTCGATGACCAGGTTTAAAATCACTACTAATCGATAATTCTTTACTATTTTTTAAACTTTCACCATTAAAAGATTTGTTCAATAAACCCGCATAATCAGAATTATTCAATTCCAATGTAGATTGATTCTGTTGATGATATGCTGATGCTGATGCTGCTGATGATGATGATGATGATGATGAAGGATCACTTTGTTGTTGTAAAGCTCTGATATCATAATGGCTACTAAAACGCAGATAGCTTAGTTTTTTTTGTTGATAATTATTTCTTGATTCAATATTAGGATCTGGCTCTAATTTTAATGATGTCCTATTTTTTAGATGAAATTAATTAATTGATAATAAATTTGGCAAATAATTAACAACAACAAAAAAATAAACATACTTGAAATAATCATCTTCGCGAAATTTTTGCAATTCTTCAATATATCGTAATGAGACTAGATATTTGTGCACGTCTTCTTCGATTTCAATTTCATCTATTTTTTTGTGTATAGAAATGTCAATGAATTAATTTTTGTATGATAAATGAAATGAAAAAAAAAATCATTAAACTCTAAATGACTAATGATGACTTGCCATAACTAGATTGTTGACATTTTTCGATGAAAGTGTATATTGATTCAAGTTTTTCGTGTCGAAGATTGGCTCGTTGAGTATCGCTTTGTGGAAAAGCGCTATCAATATGGATGATATCACGTAGATAGGTGGCCAGATTAGGTATACAATTTGAATTTTTCGTTTGTTTAATGGCCATTTCCATAAATGTTCGTAATTTATTACTATTATCTGATTCGGAAAATAATGCATCAATCTTTTCGAAACATTGACGATCTTTTTTGCTCAAACACTAATAACACAAATCAATTAATTAAAAAAAATTTATTAAATCAATTAATGGCTTACATTCCAGGTTTTCTCTAACCGATGTATGGACGCACTATTCAATGCTGATTTGATTGCATAACTAGAATGTAGATTATGAATTTCAATGAGATTATTGATTAATTTAATAAAAAAGCTAATCATTTCGGCACGTTGTTTGGGAGTCTTAAGGCAAAGTATCTCGTCAATAGCCCAATAGGTAACAATATTAAATCGTCTGGTGAATAGTACAATATTTGGTGAAAGTACATGTTTCATTGAACCAGTCCATTGTCCTGGTTTCAATTCATTACGTTTAATTTTCAAGAAAATGATCCAATCAATAAGAGTCAATTGTTTGGCAAATGTTTCGGCTGATATTTTATTCATTAAACGATATAATGAAATTGATGTTGAATTATGCGTCCATAATCGATTCGTTCCCGAGGTTGAGTCCTAATTTTAAAAAATTTATATTAAATTATTATATCGAAACGGCAAAACAATGATAATTGAAAAAAAATCAATTACCTCAGATGTGAGTGTTTTCAATGAGAATAAAGTGGTCGGTGTTGAAATACTCCTACGAAGTGATGATGATGATGATGATGATGATGATAGAGATGATGCGGCTGCTGCAACGGCAGATGAAAATGATGAATCGGCTACGCTCAGCATTGTTGATAATAATTTATTATGTTGAATAAAAGAATTCCAAATTCATCAAGATTCAATCAGAATTCTATTATAGAATTCTAAAAAGTTAAACTGAATAAATGATATGATGATGATGATTTCTGTCGTTTATTTATTTATGTTTTAAAAAAATGATCATCGCTATAGTCTTCTCTTCGTTGTTTAGTAGTCGCCACATCACATTAAATCCAATTGAGATTTATCCAATACATATACAAGCATTACTCTGGTTGTCATCATCAGCATATATAAATATATTGATTGATACTCATTATTGGTTGTTGGTGTTTCTTTTGTTTTTAGTGTTGTTGGCTTCAATCATCATTGCACATTTATACACATACACATAAAAGATAGACAAATAAAACAAAAAAAAAAAAATGAGCGCGTGATTGGATTTTGGATGAACTGAAATTTGTTGTTATAAACAAATCACAACTATCGACTATGTGTTCATGAGTTAGGGTTGCTTCTTCATTTTTTCTTTTTAAATCATAGTACATCGAATTATTATATCTTGACGATAATCATGATGATTAATCATCATGGATTTAATGGCAACGTTATGGGCAATTAATATTCAATAGAGTTGAAGTCAATTTTTTTTCGTCCTTCATTGATTGATTGAATGAATTATTATGCCATCGAACCGGCCAGCTACTAATCAGACAAGCCAGCCAGCCAGTGAACTAAAATCAATCAGATTAAAAAGAAATAGAGATTTCTGTTCTTGTTTTCGTTGAGTTGCGATAAACAACAACAAAAACAAAAACAACAACGAAAAAGATGATGAGGGCAATATAACAACAACAAAGAATAAAATGACATCATGAACAGGTTTGTAGATGTCGTTATAATCGGTATTCGAACTGACGTATTTTGATGATTATTATAGTAAGTCAATGGATGTGAGGATTTTGTTTTTTGTTCTCATTTTACAAAAGAAAGACAAATGTGTGTCAAAAATTGTTGTCATAGCAATACAATGGACTATATAAGAAAATACAACGACAACATGGAAAAAAATTTAACGATAAGATTTGATGATCGGTGAACTTAGGTCGAATAATGATGATGATGGTCGGATTACGAGAGAATGACTAATGTAGAAAATTTGTCAGGGTTAAAGTCATTGACATTGTATTATAAATAATAATGAGATGAAATCAATTTTGTGACACTGATGATGATGATGTTGTTGTTGTTGTTGTTGTTATTTCTTTCGGTTTTAACCAGGAAAGATGAGTTGAAAGATTCAATTGTGTTGCCAATGCTGTTGCCGTTTTCATAATATTATCATCAAATTCATTGTTATTATTTTTACGTTTTAGCCAACATTTTTCAAATTCCATCATTATTTCAATTATTTTTTCTCTATTCAATTCATAATCATTTGTAGATAGAAATACAGCATAATTGATCAATGAAATGGCACCAGTACTTTCAATTGATTTACATGCAGTTTGATGTGCTTGCAATGAATTTGGTATATCATTCAGAAATTCTAGACAAATTGCTAATAATACAAAACAAATCAATAAACTTTGTGATGAAAAACAAAATTTCATCGATCAATAGTATAGATATAGAATGTGTAATTACCGAGCAATGTTAATAGATTTGGATTCGGCACCGTACAAAAGGCGACAGTATTTTTGAAGAATTGAAATGAACTTGCATATTGTTTCAATTTTAGATTGATAAGACCAAGATTATAATTGATTCGCCAATCTAATGGCTGTAAAAAGAATGCCCGTTTCAAACAGGTTATGGCAGCAACATATTTACTTTTGCTTGCAAAACAAATACCAAGATTATTCCACAGTATTGGACATTCAAACACATCCGATTGCCTATAACGTTGAAAAGCACCATCAACATCTTGTTTGATCTCTTGTAAAATGGTGCCCATAGCAATTGTCAACGCTAAATCCGGTGTATTCGTTTGGCCATCAGCCTCATAAATCTTTTCAATACCTTTAGAAACGATTCCTGTCGTATATAATAAAATGCCCAATTTGGTTGCCAAGTGTAGATCATTTGGTGATATTCTGTATACATAATAAATAATATGATTTATAAATGATGATCATCATGAAACATTATAACATGTAAACATTCAAATTAAATCATACTCTGTGGCTCTTCTTAAGACAAAAATGGCCGATTTATAATCCTTTTCGGCAATTTGACATTTAGCTAATGCGATGAATGGTTCCACTTGGCAGGTATTTTGTAATGCATTTTGAAAAGCTTCTTTTGCCTGCAATGTTGAACCAAGATATAGTAATGCATAACCATACAAGGTCCATAGTTCCCAATCATGTTGGGCAATTTTAAGACCAACTTCTTTGATTATATCACAAACATTTTGATGTTTGCCCAATATTAACAAACATCGTGCAATCGATTTTATATATGTTGTATTATTGATCGATTTCAATAGATTAAATTGTTGTAATGCACTTTTTGCATCACCTTGTCGTAATTTAATCAAACCTTTTAGAAATATACAATATTCACTTTCAACTTGTAATCGATTCATCTGTTCAATAGATCCATTGTAATCATTTCGTAAGAAATGTAAATGATAAAGCCAATTATAACGTTCAAATGGTAACAATTCTTTGGGGAATTTCGACGTTGCCATTGTTGATGTAGTAGTGGCCATAATTTTTGTCATTGATTCTTGAATCGTTTTGAAGATACAAAAAGAAAATTAAAAAAAAAGTTTTGATCTGATTTTATTCGTTTGCTTTGTGTTTTTATTTTTTTTTTTGTGAAAAATAACTATCCGGTCACCAATGGCAACCGTTTATTATGAATCATGGATTCAATTACAAACATTACATTTCATGTGAATAATTTTTCATTATTGTTATCATTTGATTTGCCTGTGGATTAGTCGATGTACGTAATAATTTTATGGCTTCATAAAGATGTTCACTGGAAATGACAAAAAAATATTTTGATGAATTTGATCAATTGAAAATATTATGTTTAAATTACTTACATTGGATCATGTTTATTAACAATCATTTGCAATACTCCAGCTGCAGCACCACGTTTTCCTTCCCAATATTCAGGACTTTTGTCCAATTTTTCCAATACATCAAAAGCACGAAGAGCTACAAGAAAATGTCCCATCTTTGACAATGAAAAAACAAAACAAATAGATTATGAGATTATTTGGAATGAAAATATCAAAATACCTTATAACAATCATTGGCGATTAGATGTAAAAGAATTGTCGATTCTTTTGATTGTTGATATTTTAAATACATGTCCCATGCTTTTGTTGGTTTACCATTCATAATGACTGTAATGGAATTTAATTTATTGTGAATTATGAAAATTCAAAAATCCATTATGAACAACTTACAACAACGAGTCAGGCAACAAATGTAGACTAGATCTTTTTTAAGATTTTCATTTTCAATCATTAAAAAAGCTTCTTCAGCTTCTTTGAAACAATGAATCATCATTTTAGCTTGGCCATAATTAAAATTGAATGCATCATCATTGTAGAAATAACTTTTAATCGAACTAAGATACAAAACAACTTCTTCGAATTGTCGTATCAAAAAGAAATATGATGCCATACATTGTCTACCTTGAATAGTATCACATTCAGCCGGACTACTGCCAACTAATTGAAAATAATTCTGCGCAATCTTAAGATGTTCATGTGAATTTTGACTTTGTCCAATATTGGAATTGATTATTGCTTTTAGAATGTATTCAATTGGTATTTTAGGTTCAACATTTTTGATCAAATTATCGGCTTCATCATTTTTATCTATAATTGGAAATTCATTAGCACCTAGAAATCATTGTGATCATTGTGAACTTACCATTTTTGAGATAAAATATTGTCAGATTTAATTTTGCCTCAGGAATAGTGGTCATCAACGATGGCAACACTTGATAAGCACCTTCGCCATTGAGAAATACTACCAGATTATGTCGAATGAAATCTTTTGCATAGGAAAAATTCGTAGGAAATGATTCAATCAGATTTCGTAGCTCAATTTCGGCCGTTGTTCCATTGTACAATCTATAATTGTTACAAGCTTTCAAATTGCTAGCAATAATACTTTTCGGATGTTTTTGCAAATATAATGTTAATACCTCTTGACTAACATCATAATAATCGAGTAGATAATAACAAAGAGCAATATAAACATTTAGAGCAATATAATTTTTCTCTTCAAGAAGAATTTTTTTATAAATATCGATTGCTTCTTGATATTGATTCCGATAAAAATGTACCGATGCCAGACATAGTTGATCTTCGATCAGTTTTCGACAAAATCTTCTGTATACGATCCATAGATTCGATGGTTGGTTCATCATTTTTTAGATCCAGATAAATTTTCAGCCTTTCGGCCAATAATTTATTTGGGCCATCATAAGTTTCAATGAATTTCTGATCAATAAATTCACCCATATAGAATTTACAACAACATGATAATAATTCAATATTGGCAATTTGTTGTGAATCTATTAATTCTTACTACTACTACTACTACGTTTAATTTTATCATACGTTTCCATTGCCTTTTTATATTCACCAAGACGGAAATGAGCGAATGCTCGCCAAAATTCATTCTTTATCATATTGTTTTTATATGGTCCAGCATTACTAATAATCATATCAATATCATAAACATCATCATAAGCCACAAACAAATCTTTAAGAAAAAAAACTTACCTCAATCAATGTCAATATGCCGACATAATCTCTTTTGTTTACAAACTCTTCAAACGATGGTATTAAATTTGTTTTATTCTTATTTACATTATTATGATCTACATTATTTTTGGAAGATGATTGTTTCAAATTGTATCGGGATAAAATCTGAAAATATTCAAATTTAAAAAGTGTTTAAATTATTCAGAATTTTAGGCATCATCATCAGAATTACCATTTTTATTTTTTTATTCTATCAAACGATTATAAAAATCATCAAGTGCGGAAATGAAAAGTGCGTTTTGTTTATATTAGATATTTTCTTCACTATAGTCAATGTTCATGTGCACATATATGTTTGGTATTGCTATGGAAACATAATTGTATTGAATGTGTGTGAGAAAAAACTAAAATATGTAGGGCACAATTTTATATGGAACCAGCTGGCAATATTCTTGCCAATAACGTCCATATTTTTTTGAACATTTATCATCATCTCGCATGGTTCGATGAATAATGAGAATGAAAATGAACAAAAAATATAGATACGGTATTATACTTGTAGCCAATGCTGGAGCACCAAAAGCAAATGCGATTAACAATTCAAATAGATAGTTTAAATGACGAGCCATACCCCATGATCCGGATGCTAATAGAACGGAATTTCGTTCAACATTATTTGAATCCTTGTATTTAGCTCTGATAAGAACAGGTTTTTTTGACCAAATCAAACAATCACCATCAGTTTGTCGGACTAATTGTCGTTGATAATCGGTATAATAATTTGCAAATATTGAAAATAAACCCAATATAAAGATGAATAGATTGATAATGGCAATAAAATTCATATTAGGTGAATGTTTGACAAGATAAAGACTAGGCAAAGTGAAAAAACCAGGTACAGCCGCAATACAGCCCCAAGCTATATAAAATCCAAATCGATCCACACAAATATCTATAGTCTGCATATATCCATCTTCCCAATAATAGAATTTTGCTAGATAAATTGTTGTCAACAATGTTGTCGTTGTCATTGGAAAAATTATATTTCCTTTCCCATATTGACTATTGTAGAGTTCATAATGAGCTTTCCAGCATATCAAAACAATCAATTGCCATATCCATAATCCGAAACGAGAATTAATCATAGCTTTAAGGCTAATATATTCACCCAATTGTGGATACAATTCAATTCCCCAATAAAAATCAAATATTGGATTTCCAGTCATATCGTACAAGCCAGGATCCGGTGCGATCAAACCTTGATTACGATAATTATAATAGAACTTTAAACATTTAAAATCCCCACTTACCTTTGAGATACAAAAATACACAGAATACAAAACCAAAAACTACTAGGATGGCAATAAGATTGGGAATTTTGTAATACAAATGTAATACAGAATAGTGCCATATTAACGGTATGGTAATGGTCATTGAAATTAGATAAAATTTGAATCCAGTTTGCCAATATTGAGGACGATAATTATTTATTGTTGGTGGTCCATAATATTTTTTCCCTGGTAATATCAACAATGAAAGTAAAGCCCAGATTAATGCGATGATAACTATTGACCAACATTCGCCATCAAAACTAAAATGGTAATAATTATATTGTAATTGATTATATGATTTGTTTCGAAAGTAACTAAACACTTACAAATCGACTGAAGACCATACATGTTTCGTTAGATTCCATACTGAATGTTTTTTGAACGTTTCGATTAATTCAGCTTTTCGATAGATGACAATGTATGGTAATAAAATAGCTACATTCGGTGAGATGATTAAAAGCAATAAAGGAATAATCGTTTCACGAATTAAGCGATGGTAAATGTTTTGTATCAACGACAACATTGTTTTCATGATTTTCTCATAGAAATGTATTTGGTTTAATATTTGTTTTATGTTAGGGCATCGAAATTTATATCAAGAGCTATCCATCATACTTGAAATTATCTTATTTGTTTTTGAAGTTATTTACCATTCAATATTGATTATCTATTAGTTTGATAAAGAAAAAAATAAAAAGAAAATTAGATATGTAGTCAAAATTTTTTGTACCTCTAGTGTATTTTTCTAGTTTTAGAGGTTTTTTCAATAATAAAATCATTATTATTATGTAGTCAAAACATTAAAATTAACAAAGTTTTTTTTGTTTTGTTTTGTTATCTTTCTCACATATATTACCAGCAAAATGATGATGCGAAATGTAGCCAATGAATGAATGAAATTGAAATCATAAAACAGGTTTTTTTTTTCATATATATGATAAAAATCAGGAATGACCATAAACAGGTGAGATTTTAGAACATGATGATTTGTAAATTTCAGAATAATGGACTATTCATTTTTGCACCATAATAATCGAATGAATTTTGCAAAAAGAAAAAAATTTCAATGGATATTTGCCATTTTTTCTGTGTTTATCGTCATTATATTTATCTATACTGGCATTGGATTTAATGATAAAATTAAATCAAATAAATTTGACAATCCATTATTCGCTATGATTGATTATGAGCATAGCCATTTGGAATTTGATTCGGCCAATTCGAATAATGTGACTGGTTCGTTTTTTTTTATTCTTTTTTTTTTTTGGTTCGATATATTAATATCAAGCAATATATTCATTTGTTTAAATTCATAGGTTTCAACGAATACATTGTACCAGATATTGTACATTACATTCAATTGGAGAATCCATTTTTTGATTTTATAACATTGATATCAATCATGTCTACTGTTCGTCATCATAAACCTAAATTAATAATGATACATAGTGATCGGAAAAAATTACGAGGAAAATATTGGCAAAAAATTATTGAATTGAATTCAAGTAAAATGATAAATACTAGAATTTACCTGAACAAAATACCAAGGCCAAGATATATTTTTGATCGTAAATTATCATCAATTTATCATGCATCAGATATAGCTAGATTTCGTGTATTACGAAAATATGGCGGCATATATCTGGATAATGATGTATATGTTGTCAAACCATTACATAAATTTCGTCGTTATGAATTTGTGATCGGTTGGCCAGAAAATCAATACTTAGGTATGTAAAATTCAATTTCATGTATGATTGAAACAAAATGAAATAAAACGATCGATTGTTTAATCAATAATCGACAATCAATCGTTATATTCTATTCACTATAGGAACACAGGTGCTTATTTGTCATAAAAATGCACGATTCCTTCGTCTTTGGTATGATTCATATCACAATTATAAGGCTGATCTTTGGTACTATAATGCTGGAGAATTTCCAACCAAACATATACTTGAATCGTCTCCAAATCTAGTTCATCGAGTTCGAAATGAATTTGGTGTTGACAATCTTGTTGAAATGTTATACAATCAAATGAATCCACATTGGCAAGCACAATACTATACAATTCATTTGTTGGAACGCCATCGATCATATCTGGTACCAAACAAAAGTGATGGAAATCGATTTCGTTATTTTAACGAATATAATATTGGAAATTATAATCGAACTTTTGGTGAAATGGCTCGATTAGCATATTTTGGCGAGAAAAAAATTTTGGATCCAATAAAAAAATAATTCATGAAGCATATAATACTTTTGAATGCCAAATTGACATTTCGAAAATCCAGCATTTAATTTCAGCAGTCCAAAACCTGCCATCTATGAACAATTTTGGACTCTTTTCTCATTCACATGTGTTATGAACGGTAAACTTTCGTTCCAAATTTTTTATTTTTTTTAATATTTTGGAATATATTGTCATCGATGATCATGGTTCATCATCATTTTGGACATTCCTTGAAAAGACTTTCATTTAATCGAACATTAATCTTACCATTAGTATTCATCATAATATTAATATTTACTATCATCTATTACGAATCGAAACTCGCTCAACTTCAAAACTTGAACTTGAATTTAAACTATCAAAATGTTCCAAGATTATCACAATCATCATCATCTGATCACCCTCCTCATAATAAGAATCCAGATTGGATGATTCCAAAGAATTTATTAGTCATTTATAATCGTGTTCCAAAAACGGGTAGCACTAGCTTGATGGGCATCGTTTATGATCTCTGTGCTCAAAATCATTTCAATGTGGTACATTTGAATACGAGCAAAAATAGCCATGTGATGTCATTGTCGGATCAGGTACGATTCATCTGGAACATTACCCGGTGGTATGAAAGGCAACCATTATTGATTCATGGACATGTGGCTTTCATAAATTTCGACAAATTTGCCCTTAATACACCGAAACCATTGTATATAAATATGATTCGACGACCAATCGATCGTCTTATTTCATACTATTATTTTCTACGATATGGAGATAATTTTCGACCAAATGTCGTTAGACGACGTCAAGGAAATAGACGAACATTTGATGAATGTATTGAACGCAATGAACATGATTGTCGTGTGGAAAATCTTTGGCTACAAATACCATTTTTTTGTGGACAAAATCCTGATTGCTGGAAACCTGGCAATAAATGGGCATTGGAACAAGCCAAACGAAATCTAGTCGATCATTATTTTCTGGTTGGAGTCACCGAAGCGATGCATGATTTTGTTCAAATTTTAGAAATATCATTACCACACATGTTTCGTGGTGCAACATTTCTATATGAAAATGGTAATAAATCACATTTACGAAAAACATTCAACAAAACACAGCCATCATCACGAACGATAGCAAAAATTCAACAATCACGTGTATGGCAAATGGAAAATGAATTCTATCATTTTGCTGTATATAATTTCAATTCAATCAAAGAACGAATTATGGCAAACATAAAACCGGCACAACAATATAATGATAAACTATATTATCATGATGGACAACAATTTTTTTTTGAAAAAATTCGACCACGATTATAATACATTTTAAATTTTTTTTTCTTAAATGTTTTGGTTGTTATATTAAAATCATAATTAAATTTAATTATTATAAAATTTGACTCAATATGATGTAAATTAATATTGTCATGACAAATGATATTAAGTATGAATTAATGGTCAACGTTTTACAAGAATTGTAGCCATTATCATCATTGGCAATGATAAATTGGATACGATCCTCAACCTTTGGAGTTACATTCTGTCGTTTACGAATGTATTCACTCAATACCTCACGATCAATCAATTGATAATCAAGCCATTTGTTTATGTTGATAGTATAATTATCACCACCACGTGACATAAAACTATTGATGATTACTTGAAATGTATTTTCTTTTTCTATTGGTGTCCATTGGTTATTACAAAAAGCTTCAACATTGATTAATTTAGATTTTTTAATCACAGTTTTACAAGGTGTAGTCGAATATGTAACACGTGCACCGGATATTTGTAGAAAACCACCACGATCATGTTGTTCAGCGGAATTTTCAAAATTTTCAATAATTCTGATCCATTTACAGTCAATATTCCTAAAGCATTACTGAATGGTAGTACAGAAATTAATTTCCGATATGTAATGGGACCTTTATCGATACTGGTACGAATATTTCCACCATTTATCAATGACATCACTTGACAGGAATGTTTTCGTATTTTTTTATTTTGTTGTAACATAATAAAACGATCGACAAAAGAATCGGTAATCAAATTGCCTAATGTACATTCCTTTGATCTACATGTATTTTGTGTGAATTCTTCGGTGGCCATTCCAAATGTTTCATTATATTTAATGGCTAATTCTTTATTAATTGATTGAACTCGTTCTTTTGTTTCAGCATCTATAGTGAATGTATGGATCGATTGATTGTCTTATAGCAAAAAAAAAATAACCACAACATACCTTCTGTACTGTTATGAGTCAATAGAATCGGTTCACCACTGTATTCAACAATTTGGCCATCATCATTGAATGTAAGATTTAAAATGCCAATATATTTTCCCAAAGCAAATGCTTGTACAATCAATGTTGTTTCATTATTTTCATAATTACTTGTTTTAATTGCATGCTCATAAATGGTTGGATATGGACCATTTGGCTTCTCTATGGATGGTGGTTTTTTTCCACTATATAAATATGTATGACTATGTCCACCAACAATTACATCCAAATCGGGTATCTTTTCGGCAATTTCAATATCACGATCATAACCAGAATGGCCAAGACCAATAAAAATATTCAAATCCGGATGTTTAGCTTTTAATGACTGTATCTCTTCTTGAATGGCTTGTATTTCATCACGAAATTTGACATGTTCACCAGGACTGGATAAAAATCTTGTATCAGGGGTTAGATATCCTATTTTTTTTTTTTTTTTGTTTCAAAATGAAATTATAAATGACCAAAGAATTTATTTATTTATCAAATATCGAATGTGTCACACTTACCAATGATGGCCACTTTGGTATTTTTGATATTAATTACAATCGATTTTTCCACCATACTACTATGAATACCAAGTGATTGATCAAAATCAACATTACAACAAACAATCGGTAGCGATCCATTCATAAGATTTAGAAATTTTTTCAACTCTTCCGGTCCATCATCAAATTCATGATTGCCCAATGTCATTACATCATGTTTCATTAATTTAACAAAATCTGCAACAACTTTAGATTTAAGTAATGTATACCAGGATGTACCTTGAAAATGATCACCAGCATTTAAAAATAATACATTGCCATCATCATTATTCTCATATTGTTGACGAATTTCTTTCACTTTGGCAACAGTACGTGCAACACCACCAACACAGCTAGTATCATTATCCCAATGTTCAAAACATTCGGCATTATTATACCATTTAATTGGTAGATAATTTGCATGAAAATCATTATTATGAATAATGGTCAAACGAAAATCACTAGCCACTGATTTGAATAAAATTAGCCATTGAATGACTAATGAACGGAATAATAATGATGACGATGATGATGATGATGATAACATGATGAAATTATTATTATATAAATGTAAAGACAGAAAAAAAAACTTGAATAAATTATCCACAAGAAAACCAAAAACCAAAAGTTTGAAATTTTAAATACTTTTAAACACTTATTGTTGTTTCGACATAAAACACACACACACACACACACCATAATAGTAACAATAGTCAATCAAAAGTCAAATATTATAAAATAATTACAAAATAACCTTGATCCATTTGATTATAAATTAATTAATTAATTATAATTAATTTATGATCATAATTAATAATAATATGTGATGATGATGATGATGATGATGATATGATTTTTTTCAGAGAAAAATTATTTCTCGTTATAAATTTATTGTATTAGAAACGGAAATGATTTTGTTGCTTCATTCATTTGATTGGATTGGATTGGATTTTTTTTTTGCCACAATGTGAAAAAAATATTTTTTGAATGATGATGTTTGTGAATGATGATTTTTTTTGCTGTAAAAAAAATCGAATCAGAATAATTTTTGCGTTCGATATGTTATGTTACACACCATACCACACTGTACATCGAAATGACGAATCGAATGTAATCGATCAATTTTTTTTTTTATTAATCATTCACCTGAATAATAATGATAAAAAAAAGAGATTTTGTTCGATAGCCAAATAGGAGAGAGAGGGAGACAACAACAACAACAAAAAAAGTAACATCCAAATTATCATTTATATACAACACACCTGTTCAAATAAAATTATTTAACAAAATTTCATCATCATCATCATCATCATTGCCGCATCATTAACAATCTAATCGGAATCATCATTCTTTTATCATCATCATGTGGCCAATTTTTTTTTTATTATATTCAATCAATCAAGTGATTTTTTTTTTAATTTTTGTTGTTGTTGTTGCCCAGTAATAAAAGCCGGCAATTAATAATTCGCAAATGATTAACTAACAAATTATGATTGATGATGACGACAACGTCGTCGTCATCATCATTATCATCATTATTATCATGTTAATTTGTTGTATTTTTTTTTTTGGCCAATATGTCGAACATTTTGTACACAAAAGCAATATATTTTAGATTCAAGTTCGACATTGTTTCCGAAGAAATATGGTAATCAATAATAATCCTGTAATAATCAATGTAAAATTTCATTTCCCATGAATGTAATACCAATTACGATGGCCATGTGTTTAAAATTAGAAACAAAAAAAAATTAAAGGCAAAAACTTTGGAACAATGAACTTTTTCAACGAAAAAAAAAGAAATCATTCTTGGATGGCTAAAATTCATCGATGAAGAATAAAACATCACGTCCAAAGGCATTGATTTTTTCATTTTGCAAGCAAAAAAAAAATTTATTTTTCAATATAGACACGTAAATAGCCTCAAGCCTTGAATGAAATTACCCCTTTTTTCTTTGATATTTGGACGACTGTACCTAACTTGATCATCATCATCATTCGATTACATTCCAATTGATTGACCAATGTATAATCATCAACATAGTAAATAATAAATAAATAGCCAACGAAACAACAAAAAAAAAAAATTCTGTGCATCCAAAATATGATCATCAATCAATCAATCAATCAATTAGGTAAAAATGAAAATTTTTTCTTCTTTCGTTGTCCGATGATGATGATGACGATGATGAACATTGGATGTATGGATGACGAACGTGATTCACATCACTATAGGGGGATACAAACTTTGTTGGCCAAAAAAAAAAAAAAAAAAAAACGACAAAAAAATATCGATTTTATTTAATTTCATTGAATTGAATGGAGGCTATAGATAACTATATTTGTATGTTGTAGATGGATTGATCGAACATGATTACAAATCAAAAAAAAAAAAAAAAATTGGAAAAATTGGCCAAACAAAAAAATGAAAATATATTTCAGCTGAAATAAAAGTGAGTAATAATAATAATTTTTGATCAATAAAAAAAGCAAGCAAGCAAGCAAAATGAACAAGAAAATGTTAGCTATTTTATCATAATTCATCATTAATTAACATCTATGAATAGCGAGAACCTTTATGACGATTACATTCATTGTCATTTGTTTTTCTATAATGATGATGATGATGTTTACCAGATGATGATTTTGATTGCGGTGATCTTGATCGTGAACGTTTTCGTCCAACATGTAGATGTTGATGATGATTACGTTTTTGTTTTCTTTGATGAGAATCCTGTTGATCATTGGTAGAAGGGCTTAATTCTCCTTCTTCTAGCTCATCATCATCATCATCATCATTATCACGATGTTTTTTATCGCCATTATCATCATTCTTATTATTCATATTCATATTACTTGTATCTGAATGTTTTTTCATTTCAGCATCATATTTGTTCAATTTTTTTTCAATTTCCAATTGTACATGTCTTGGTATTCGTGGAAATAATGTTGAAAACCATTCCAATTTTGTAAGGAAATGTCGAACCATTTGACCGATTGTCATTGGTGATCCACCACCTGCTTTAGGGTCCACTTGTTCATCATCTTCTAGATATGGTTCAAACCAGTGCCATAAATCTCGGGATGGTTGAGTAAAACGAATATACATCAATCCTAATGACCGAATATATGGTGAATCTTTATGTCGCGTCATGGCCATCACCTGTTTACGTGTAAGTTTTAATGTAAATAATTTATATAGGATACAAAATGGTGTCGAGATGATACCACCAGCACCGACGCCTCTAACCGAACCACACATTCCGGTCTGTCCGCTAACCTAATATATACAGAAAACATAGGATACAATACAATATATTTAGTGTATTAATATAAAATTGAAACATAATAAAATTGGTTACCTTTCTGGAACCTTTTTCCCATGGTTCTAAATGTCGTACACTATAATAAATTTCATCGATTACTTCATTATATGTTTTCAACTGAAATAAATTATTTTTAAAATATGGACTCTGTTGGATATTTGTATATATTAAAGGATTTAGGCCCATTTTTTCATTACAACTATAATTAAGAATATTGGATAATTTTGGTTGATTCGGTTTGGCAATAGTGGGATCATCGTCATCGTCATCATCATGATCATTGCCAGATGAATCTTTGCCTAAAGAATCATTTTTAGAATTTGATTTGACACGTGTAGATGCTGCTGCCGCAGCAGCATTCATCATCGTTGATAGATAACTGGCCTGCGTGGACGGATATATTGTTGATGTTGCTGATGTCTGATGGGCATAATAATCACCAATAGCCTGTGTTTGTTGTGGGCCATAACCATATTGACTATAATACTGTTGATAGTATTGCTGATAATATTGTGAATTGTATAGATTTGGATCGATATATGACGATGGATATGATGAACCATATGATTGATTAGTTGCAATTGATGATGGAACAGATTGAATGGCAGTTGTCGATGGGATTGTTGCCAATGAATTAGTGAATGGCAACGGTATGTCCAACGTAGTCGTCGGAATTTGATTATTAGAATTGGAATTCGAAGCCGATGTCATGATGAATGAATTCGATGAAAAGGTCAATTATTTCGTGTAAGAGAATCCGGATGCACGGACGGATGGATGAATGGACAGAATCCAATAATAAGATAATAGAAAAAATTAAACAATATGATAAACAATAAACGAAAAAAATTTTTTTACAAACATGTATCGAAAGAATGAACGAATGATATTAAAAATTATCGATCAAATATTGATCATCATCATCATCATCACAATTAAATTCCGATCCCAATCACAAGAAAAACGTTAATACGAACCAACACACCGAATGAAAGTGAAAGAACAACAACAACAACGACAACAACGAAACGACTCAAAATAAAAGATATATTATTCGATTATGGCACCATCTATTGCCAATAAAAAAAATTAATTTTTTTTTCTTTCGAATAAATTTTCAATAAAAAAAATTTGCACGTTTAAACTTGGAAAATATGAAATTTTACAAAAAAAAATGAATGAATGAATGAAAAAAAAAATTGAAAAACACTTAAATGCATACAAAAAAAAATGAAATTAAACTTCTTTTTCAATGGTTGTCGATTTGAATGGCATTTGTTCTTCAAAATTTGATTCAATTTGTGGTGTTGTTGGCTGATTACGAATAATGTATTGAATATTTTTAGCGCCAGGCACTTCTGATGATTCTTCATTCATTTGTATGAAACATAATGAACCAAATAGTATGCCCATAATACATGTGATCAATGGTATTAGATATGATGCTATACTGCCTTTCATATATTTATCCCAAGCACCATAAACAGCAATAACGGCGAATAATGCTGAAACAATCATTATGAAATGTGTTTGTTCAGTTTTAGCACCATAAAGGCCAATCATCGATATGATCAGATTGATGATCATGACCAAAACACAGGCAGCGAACCAATATTGTGCTGTAGAGCCTTCATGTTTTTCATTCGTATGCCAATCGTCGGGAAAATTTTCTTGAACACGTTTGATTACATTTAGATCATAAATGATAACCCAAATTGAACATAGAATGTTCAATATGATCAACATCATGAAACCATATTTGGCAATCAAAATATTTTTTGCTTTTGAATCCATTTTTTTTTTGTAGATTGAAAAAAAACAATAATAATAGAAAACAAAAATTTTTGGCTGTTTGTAAAAAAAAAAATTGGATTGAAAATCAAACGATTTCAATTCAATTATACACAACGACGGATATTTATCGAAATATGGCAAACCTTTTTTTCTTTTTTTCTCTGATTATTTTCCACCCAAATGATGTGGATGATGATCGTAATCGAAAGTGGGTGTAAAGCTAGTATTTAATAATAACAATGATGATGATGTATATTCCCCAGGTGACAATGGTATTGTACAAATGTATTTTTTTTTGTTGTTGTTATCTCGAATATTATCATCAATCAATCAGTGGTATGTATTATGGTGAAAAATCTATGGTAACAGTCAGTTTTTTTTTTTTTTTTTGTCGACATCGACTACAATTGGCAATAAACATAAATTGCAATCAAAATTGCAAAAAATATAGTGGTTATTATCAATAAAAATGAATCATAACATCATCATCATCATCAATAATAATGTGGAATGAAAGTATTAAAATCGAATGTGTATGTAGGTGTATTGGCAATCAATGGATGATCTATAAAAAAAATTTTTTTTTCTCCTCTGTTTGGTAAAAAAAAAAATGGTTTCCATTTCCTTAGCAAAAAAAAAGAAAAATTTAAAAAATTGTCAGGAATCCGATTGCATATTTGTATGGACATATTAATTTTTTTTTTTCGATTCGATGATGTTCAATGAAGCGATGATGATGACGATGATGACGATGGTGGTGGTGGTGGTGGAATTTCAATTTTGATTTTCAAATTTTTCTCTTCAAATTCAATACCTATGACATTTTTTTTTGCTGTTGTCCATGGTTGAACAGAGTGAATCATCATCATCATCATCGAAATATATGGCTACAACAAACAAACAAACAACACACAGGTAGCACCAGATATTTACAGTATATTGTGTGCATATGATGATGTTGATATTCGAGGTGTGACCACCACCACCACCACCACCACCACCACCATCAGATAGGTTGAAAATCGTTGAAAAATGAACAAGTCATTTCTTTTAAAACATACTTTGTATGGATTTGAATTGGCTTATTCATCGTTTTACACCATGGAAACGAATTTTGAGTGAATGCGCGAGTAGAGCGAAAAACAGAGAGAAAGAGAAAGAATGAACGAACGAACTAACAACAACAACAACAACAACAACTGCCATTATCATCCAAATGGATAGATGAACCATAAACACACACACACACAGAGAGAGAGCTTGTTTGTTGTTCATGTGAACATATTATTATGTTGGTTACCATAGAGAGCCATCATCATCATCATCATCATCATCAAGAATCAGAAAAAAAAGCCGAATCGAAACGTAAACGTCCAAAAAAAGTCCAACCAACTCTAACACACACACACACACACACACACAACACATGATATGAACCAAACTTGTTATATTATGGGTTAAATTATCAAACGAATTTTTTTTCCGGTTATTATTTCTGACCACATTCAAAGTGTTGATGGTTATAGGCTCGCGCCATTACTCCCAGAAGAAAAAAAACAAAGTGGGATGGTATAAAAAAAAATGAAAAGAACCGTTTGTCTTTCCATACACACGCATACACATATAAACTGAATCAAATTGAACAGAATTAAGCAGCTGAATTCTATGTTGTTATTGTTATTGTTTTTTTGATTTTGTATACGAAAAAATTCTACATTCTGTCAGCCAATAAATACGCACACATTGTGTGTCTGTATATGCGTGTATTCAAAAAAAAACTGTTCGAATCGAGAATCGGTCATGAACCGTCATCGTCAATTATATAAACAAAAAATGACAATAATGTAATTTGTTCATGATTAAATGTTTTTTTTGGTGAATTCATTAGGTGATATATTCACCAAATAAGTTTTTTTTACGAAATCAATTGTGTTCAACATTTTCAGTTTCAAATATATATATCAATGATGGCTTTGTTGAATCAATTTTATTGTAAATATCCAACAACAACAACAACAGTCAACAAATCAAACACCATCAGCAATCGAAATTATTTATTATCATCATCATCATCATATATGTTTAATTTGATAATTCTAATCATTGTTTGTATAGTAACACCGATCATCAATGCAAGTAAGTTTATTTTCCTTTTTAAATTAACTAATAATAATAATAAACAATCAAATTGGTTATCATCACCTAGGTGATCATTGTAATAATGAACTAATACATTCGAATTTTATTGAAAAAAGAATACGGATAACATCATCATCGGATATAAGCAAAGATAAAAGTGCTTATTCTGCCATACTTCATGGTTCGTAAATGATAATGATAATTTTCATTTATTTTTTTCTGCATTTAGCACATTTTTTTCGCTTGTTTTTTATTATTTTTTTTTTTTTGTTTTGTTTTGTTTTATGTTGCAATTTTTTCCGCTCCTTTTTTGTTTTGTTTCTATTTCATAATAATCAATGATGATAAAATTGTGAATATATATATCAGGCCAATCCGCTTGGTCAGCTGCTCATAATGATCTATCTCAATATATTGAAATCGATCTGGGCCGTCAATATAATATATCGGCCATCGGTACACAAGGTCGACAGAATACATTGGAATTTGTACAAGAATTTAAATTAGAAAGCGGTATAGATGGCCATGATTATAATATCTATAGAGATCGTAATGGAAATATAAAGGTTTGCATAAAATTTTGAAAATTCTTGTTCTCTGTATTGGGTTCACAATAATAATCATTTCTATTGGAAGATAGTCATCATTTCATTTGCTTTGATTTTCTGTACTTTTTGATTTTTTTTTGCCTCATCTATCGATTGACATGTTGACATGCTTCTTATTTAAATGATTTGCATGCCTATCCATAAACAAATTAACCAAAAACCGATTATCGGTATTTCTTATTTCCTGTTCTCTTTTTTCTTATTCACTTGTTCTCGGTATTTTTTCCAAAAATATTTTCTCTTTTGGGCTCACGCAATTTGTCAAAAAACAAAAACAAAACAAAACTTAAAGGCGAATCATCATGGACTGCAGCCTATGGAAATCTTAAACAATATCTGACAATCGATCTTGGCAAACGTTACATGGTGAATGCAATCGCTTCACAAGGACATCCGAATTCCAATTCATTTGTATCGGCATTCTATGTATCATGTTCGGATGATGGTCATTTTTGGCATGCAGTATACACGCGCAATTCTACATATAAAGAGGCATACATTCATGTTTTTTGTCTATTCTAAATTCTGTCAATTAACATTGATTGATTTCCTTTTTTTTCATTGCATGTCATTCATCTATGTATGTATGACAGACGAATAATATTTATTTTTTTTTCGTTATTAGCTATTCCAAGGAAACACTGATGGCAACAGTGTGGTCATAAATCGTTTTGATCCACCTATAATTGCTCAATTTGTACGAATCAATCCTACCCGATGGAGAGATCGTATATCGATGCGTATTCAATTGTATGGATGCGATTATCGTAAGTTTTGAGAGAAAAAAAACTAGGAAATTTTTTTTTAAATTCATATTTTTAATTCCATTTTTCTCAGATGCTATTTCATTAAATTTCGATGGAAATTCCTACATTAAAATGAATCTTGATATTCGACCTATATCATCATCATTCGATGATGTATTCCGTTTTAGATTCCGTACGAATGAAGCATTCGGTAATATTCTATACGGTACCGGTATCCAAGGCGATCTGATGGCTTTACAGTTGGTCGAGAATAAACTTCTTTTGACACTTGATTTAGGCGAGAATATTGTCGATACCATATCGGCTGGTAGCCTACTTGACGATAATCTTTGGCATGATGTATTCATTTCAAGACAAGGTCGTGAATTGACATTCAGTGTCGATCGTGTTGTCGTTAAATATCGTTTGAAAACGGATTTCAATCGTCTTGATCTTAACAATGATCTTTATATTGGTGGCCTTCCCGGTTATTTGACCGGTTTTATCAATACAAGAAAAAATTTTACTGGCTGTATTGAGAATCTTAGTTTCAACACTACCAACATTGCCCATGAAATTCAGGATGATTATAATAACAAAAATTTTGTATATAAAATTTTTGGAAACATCCATTATACCTGCCAATTTCAACCTGTGATACCGATTACATTCAACACACGTGAATCACATATAAATGTTTTGGGCAATATGAACAATGTGCTCAATGCTAGTTTAGATTTTCGAACATTCAACGATTATGGCCTACTTATTTATCATCAATTTTCAATCAAAGGCTTTTTTGCCGTTTTTCTAAAGAATGGTAAACTTATGTTGAAAATTCAAGGTGTTGATCCGACTACTGGTGATGAAACGCCACAAGTTCCACTTGAACCATTTGATCGTAAATTAAACGATGGCTCATGGCATAATGTTCAGATAGCTTTACAACGAAATCGAATCATTTTGACGTTAGATGGTATTCCAAGTACCACCATTAGAACATTCCAAATGCAAACTGGTCAAAAATATACAATTGGTGGTGGTATTCCATCATATCGTGGATTTATTGGTTGTATGCGTTGGATTTACATTGAAAATCGTTTCATCAATCCAGAAATGATTGGCTCAGAAAATATACACAAAGTTCAGGAAAGTGATATTACGATAAAATCATGTCAAATGATTGATCGATGCCATCCAAATCCATGTGAACATGGTGGAACATGCAAACAAAATCATTTAGGTTTTGCTTGTGATTGTGGTGATAGCGGTTATCTGGGTGCCGTTTGTCATGTTCCAAGACATCCATTTTCTTGTACCGCTTTTATGAATGATAATCCAAATACAAAACGTGAAGATATTAAAATCGATGTTGATGGCAGTGGTCCATTGGAGCCATTCTGGGTTACATGTTTACAAACGGCTGAAAACACAATCGAAACTGTGATTCATCATCAGAATGAAGCACCGCAAAAAGTGCAAGGATTTCTACAACCAGGTTCATATATTCAAGATATAAAATATGATGCACCTTTAGAACAGATTGTTCATCTAGTTAATCGTTCCGATAATTGTCGTCAAAAATTGAAATATGAATGCCGTAATGCACGACTTTTAAATTCACCAAGTAAATCTATCTATTATTGTTGAATGATTTATTTTAATTATAATTTTTTTCTATCTTGATTAACAGCTCAAAAGCAAACATTTTCACCACATACATGGTGGGTATCAAGAGATAATCAAAAAATGGACTATTGGGCCGGTGGATTGCCTGGAACACGAAAATGTCAATGTGGATTATTCGGAAATTGTTATGATCCTAAAAAATGGTGCAATTGTGATTCAAGCTCGAATCAAGAACTTGTTGATGAAGGTGAAATCACACAGCTTGAATATCTGCCTGTACGACAGATTCGTGTTGGTGATACTGGTCTATCTAGCCAACAAAATGATCGTTATGGCCGTTTTACATTAGGTCCATTAATATGCGATGGTGATCTATTATTTCATGATATTGTCACATTCCGTTACAGTGATGCAACCATTGAAATTCCATTGACACAAAATTTTGAACAAGCAAGCGATATTTATTTGCAATTCAAAACGACCACTGAATATGGTGTATTATTTCATGCTACTGGTCCAGAAGATTTTATCAAATTAGCCATTGTCAATGATAAGACTATTCAATTTAGTTATAGTTCCGGTACCGGATTACAACAGGTTTCAGTAGAAGCACCGTTCCGTTTGAATGATAATCAATGGCATTCCATTTTGGTGGAAAAGAATAAAAAAGAAGCTCGTCTAGTGGTTGATGGCCGTTATACGAATGAAAACAGAGAAAATGCTGACAATAGTTTTCCATTATATTTGACAAGCTATTTTATAATTGGTGCTACCACTGAATATCGTGAAGGATATTTGGGCTGTATGCGAGCATTGGTTATCAATGGTGAATCGGTAGAGCTACGTAAATATGCTCGTGGTATTTGGGGAATCTATGAAGGTTGTGTTGGTAAATGTGAATCAAGTCCATGTTTGAATAATGGAACCTGTATTGAAGAATATAATGGCTATAGTTGTGATTGTCAATGGACAGCATTCAAAGGACCTATTTGTGCCGATGAAATTGGTGTCAATCTTCGTTCAGATTATTTTATTCGTTATGATTTTGAAACGACCATTTCGACAATGGAAGAATATATTCGTGTTGGTTTCACCACTACAGAACATCGTGGTCTTATCTATGGCATTTCATCGTATACTGGTGAATATTTAAATCTACTCATGTCATCAAGTGGCCATTTACGATTGGTATTTGATTTTGGTTTTGAACGTCAAGAAATTATTATTAAAGAAGAAAATTTTGCTCTCGGTCAACATCATGATATTACTATTCGTCGTGCAGACAAAGGAAGCAAAGTGATCATCTGGGTTGACAATTATGAACCAAAATATTATACATACAAAATAAGCGATAAAGCTGAAGCACAATTCAATCGTCTGAAAAGTATCTATATTGGCCGTAATGAAACAATGGATTCAGGTGAAGGATTCATTGGCTGTATATCTCGTGTCACTTTTGATGATCATTTTCCATTACGACGATTATATCAGGAAAATAAACGAAGCAATGTACGTGCTTTTCCATCGGATGCAGAAATTTTCGAAGATAAATGTGGTATTGAACCGCCTACACATCCACCAGGTAAATAAAATCGATGCATTTTATGCAAAAAAAATTTTCATGGTAATTCTAATTCTAATTAATTTACAGATATTCATGAAGCACGACCACCACCAACATTACGACCAGGCGACAAGATTCCTGGTGGATTTTCACCCGGTTCAACAAGCGCCATAATTGGTGGTTTTCTTGCCGCATTGATTGTTCTTTTAATATTATTCTGTTTTGCAAGTAGCCGTTTTATTGCCCGTCAAAAAGGTGAATATGTTACACATGAAGACCAAGGTGCTGATACTGCCTTAGATCCGGATACAGCTGTCATTAAGTCTACTACTGGACCAGATGTTTCGGTTAAACGAGAATATTTTATCTAACAATAAAAAAAACACACACACACATCGATCGATATAAATAACGTGAGTTTTTTTTATATATTCTTTTATAAACTTTGACATATAAACAAAATCATCATCATCATATAATACCATAATTGGTTTTTTATTATTATTATTATTGATCATCATCATCATCATTAACAACAACGTATCATTCCAAATTATAATGAGAAAAAACAAAACAAAACAAAACAAGACAAAACAAACAAAGAAAAAATATTTTTTTTGTAAATAAAAAATTTCATTTCATTTTTCTCAGGAAATAATATAATACCTATGCGTGTGTTCATGGGATAAAAATGATTGATTTTTTGAATTTTTTAAACGAGATCAATATATATAATTAGAACAAGGCGCGTGTATTGATTGATTGATTTGGATGACTATTTTTCAATGACTATATTCCAAGCACATACTCTTCGATCAAATGCACAAGTGAACAATGTAAGTGTATTGTTATTGTTATTGAAAAAATCAGAACCACCATTACCAGTGCCCATAGCAGAAGTGTTACTTGTATCCGATATTTTTGATAATGGCGGTGGTGGTGGTGACATAATCATCGATGTTGATGATGTAGCCGTCGATGTAGATGATGATGGTGGCGGTGGTGGTGGTTGTGGTTGTGATTGTGATGATTGTTGAATAATGTTGGAAGTTGTTGATGTACCAGTAATAGTGCTGGTCGGATCGAGCCAAGTAGCACATGTTACCATACGATTATGGGAATCTCGTGATAAACGACAGATACGATTACCGTTTATATCATAGATACGAACATTGCGATTATCCAACGGTATGGTAAATAAGTTATGTTGTTGTGATACAGATAATTTATTAATACCAGATTCCATAGAAATAGTGATCAAAGGTGAACGCATATTTTTGAGCTATTTGAAATTCAAAATGAAATATTCAAAAATAAAAATGTTAACATAACTGAACAATAATACTTACATCCCAAACTTTAACATTACGATCATCACCACCGGAAAGAATTTTATCTGCACCCAAAAAACAAGTTGATGTAACCGATCGACTATGGCCTTGGAACACGCTAACCGAATGTATAGCATCACGAAAATCCCATAAGCGAAATGTAGTATCATGTGATGATGTTACAATCAATCTTGTTGATTCACAAGCACAAACATCGGTCAATGCTTGATCATGTCCGGCTAATTGTACAATTAATTCACCGGTTTGATAATCATAGATATTGGCCATTTGATCCCAGCTTGCTGTTACACATTGTTCAAGGCCAGACATCCAATCACATGATACGACTACATTATGATGATCATCTAATTCATGTAACGGTGTCTTAATGATCGTAGCTTCTTCACCCATTTGTTCGCCATCATAATCGGACCGCTATTTATGAATACGTGATTATAATTTTAAATCAATCAAAAAATTGAATTAAACTTACAAATAAATCGGGATTAAATCGCCATATATGAGCTGTACCATCACCAGAAGCCGTTAAGACGAGATCATTAGCATAATGAAATTTTACACAATTAACCGATGATTGATGGCCAGCATAGATGACACATGGTGTTAGATTATAATCAATACGTGTCACATCACAAACATTAATGGTCGAATCTGTGCAAATCAAATTATGAATAACAAGAAAAATTGAAATAAAAATCAAAAAATATTTACCAGCTGAAGCCGTAGCAATATATTGATGGCCATTTTTTTGGCTTGACGTTATATACCAAATACCATCTTTATGCCATTCATATGTACCAATCAGATGGCTACTACTGCTATTACTTTGACCTTTGAATATTTTACTAGAAGTTTTTAGTTTATATGTTGATTTAATTTTCTGCGATAATTGTGATGCTAATAACCATTGTGATGTGAAATCCATAGTGTTTGGATTGAAAATGATTATAATTATTAGTTCAACTGGAACAATGATCATAACCCAAATTTATAATATACCTGCAACCATTGAGTCACGTTTGACCGAACTAACGGAAAATGGTGTCGGCTGTTGTTGTTGTTGTTGATGATGATGATGATGTTGGTGTTGTTGTTGTTGTTGTACTTGATGATGATGGTATGGTTTTTGTTGTGACAAAATGTTTCGATTTATCAGATTACCAGCATTATCCAATGATGATGATGAATGTAATGCTGTAGTTGTTAAAATTGTCGAACCACCACCACCAATAGCTGTAGCTGTTGATGTTGTCTGTTGTGTTCCAGTGTTTTCAATCAATTCTTCAAGCGTTTCAATACGTTCTTTCACTATGTTGGCCAACGATGAAATATTAAACAATGAAAACATATTAGTATTATGATAATTTTGAACAAATTATTACCAAAAAAAAAAAGAGAAAAAAACAGATTTGACATTGGCAAAACAAACGAAAAAAAAACAAAACAAAATTATCTTCAATTATAATTCAATTTGTAAGGTTAATTGGCTACGGTTTGATTGGTATGAATATATACACCGAACAACACCAGAGCAGCCAGAAATTTTTTTTTGTTTAATAATAACGAAATAAATAAAAAAAAACAAGAAGCAGTAACGAAGAATGATGATGATTATATGTGATCATAAAATAAACTACACTTACATAAAATGTTTTCATTAATTAACGAATCGATTTCTTTATCAATCATTTCGAACAAGTTATGGATATGATGTCTGTGATGATTATTGTCGATTATTTTTTGATCCGATCGAATCATCATTAGGGTGTTTATGTGTGAATAGAGTGAATAGAAAAAGAAAACAAAACGAAAGAAAGAAAAATTATCATCATCATCATCATTATTATTATAAATATAATCCAACAAAAATCAATCAATCGTTAAATCGATCGATCAAATTGAATACACAAAAATGAACAATGAAAATAAAAAAAAACTTACTTAATTTTCATCGAAGACGGTGGTGGTGGGTGATCGACAGCTGAACCGGCAGCAGTTGTAATGTTAGCATTGCCAAATTCACAGGCAGCCAATGAATATTGTTTATGAATCGAATTCTTTGATGTTGACATTGTTTTTGTTGTTGTTTCAATCAATACGATCGATCAACAATCAGACCCAATGAAGTTGCTGAATTTTTTTTTAATTTTTAAACGAAAAAAAACAAATTCTCATGGACAAACACACTGATAGCATAACATTGTCATTTGATTCCGAGTAATGATAATGTTTTTTCTGTTTATTTGAAAGGAAAAAATGATAAAAGAAAAAACTTTTCTGAACAGATCAATCAATCAAGGAATTTTTTTTTCTTTGTATATTATTATTGGTCGGCCAAATTACTCGTATTCACATAATGTCCTCCACCGTCAAGGCCTACATGTTATAATAGCAAATTTATTTATTTATCATCATCATCATCATCACTAAATCCATTAAAAATATCAATGGCAACAACAGTCAGAAAAAAAAGTTTGTTTATATGTCATAAACAACGACGGCTATTTACGCCCTATGCATCCGACATTGGTCCAAATAGATTTTTGGATCGAATTTTTGTTATTGTTTTTGTTTCTCATAATTTTTCCATGAAAAAAAATTGTTTTAAATTTTTGAAAAATGTCGTCACCATCGTCATCGATGACCGCCAAATCTTTCAATCGTATTCGTCAATATTATCCAAAAGCATTCATGCAATGTACAACTCAGGTTTGTTTTTATAATATTTGGTCTTGTTCAATGGTTGATATTTTCATAATCGATTTCTTTTTTTCATTTTCTTCTGTTTATTTATACAGGCCACAGCATATGCACAATGTCTTGAACAAAATGACCTTCATAATATCAAACAAAATATCTGTAATGAACAATTTCAACAACTAAAAATTTGCTTTCAAAAAGCAATGAAAAATTTAGCTAAATAATTTATTAATTAATTAATAATAATTATTCTTTCAAAATTATTCGATTCAAATTGCCACCTGATGAAGTTGTGTACAGGATTCTTGCATTCATATCATCGTCATAGGATTCGTTGATTTCCGAGATCACAGATATATCGTCTTTAATTTGAAAACTAAGTAAAACATTTGATTCACGATCAATTTCGATGGCCATTCCCGGATTTTTCATAAAATCATCCAAAATCAGTGCTATACCAGTTTTTAGGCTCGATCCTTTTGTCTTAAGAGTTTCACTGCCAAAACAATTACCAATACTGTGCATAATTGTGCCTAAATAGAAGATGAAAATCAATATCAATAATATTTGATGTGATTATAATAATGACGAACCTAATAAAAAACATGATCTTAGAATCAATTTTCGAAGATTAGGCTCATCCGAATAATCATCCATGAATGAAAGTTTACTATTATAATCACGTGTCAATGCTAATCCTACCCAATAGGATTCTTTGGTTTTATTACTAGTTCGACGAATATTTTCCGGTTCACCAGGGAGATTATCCATCAACACTGAACATTTACCTTTTTCCGTTCCATTCAATTGAAATTCAATGATTCGTCGTTTGGTCAATTCACAAATTAATAATGATTGATTATTGTCAGTAATTTCAATTCCATTCGGAAAACAAAGATTTTCCAGAATGGTTGTCACATTTTGATTGTTTGTACTGTATCGCAATATTCGTCCAGTAGAATCCGGTTCCAGATATGTATAACACCACATATCGATGGAAAATTTTCGACTAACATCAGTAATATAAACAATAATATCGTCGTTCTCTTCGACGACAACTAAATCATCGAAAAATTTCGAAGGTTTTCCATCCAAGAATTTTGTCTTATCAAGTCCTAATAAATGTGTCAACAATTTTGTATCTAAATCATATGCATAAAGTCCACTATTGGCTTCGATAAAATATAATTTCTGACGAAATAATCGTATTCCTAATGGTCTACCATCAGAAAAACTTGCTATGGTATCAACAATGTTTTTATTCTGCAAACAATATACATAACCGGTAGCGGAACCGATATATAATCGATTAGAATCCTTTGGATCTAATGCCAATGATTTTGGTGTAATAATTTTATCATTTTCAATTTTGATTGCTTCGAATGATTTTTTATTACGATTAAATATCTTATCATTAACATTGGGTAATGGTAACCTAATAAATTTGATTCAAATTCCAAATAAAAATGAAATAGATTATAATGATTATGATTAGACGACAAACCTTAGATAGATGGGATTGAGATCAAGTAAAAATCGGCCAGGTTTTGCCAATAGAATATAGATGATCAATATGAACGATATGGTGAACCAGGAACCAATAAAACTGGAGAACAGACAAAACATATTTTTTTTTGGGGGTTTTCTCGGGTTTTCGGTATTCGAGCGTTGGACTTGAACGGTTGTAATTTGAAATTTGGACTGATCAAAGCTGAGCAACAAAAAAAACGAAAACGAAAAACAGCCACAAGTCTCGTGAGTCAAGATCTTAACCACAACAACAAAGTAGCTGAAATAAAATACCATTGGACTTTGATTATAAATTTTGTGTATATTGGCGTCATTGAGAAAGAAAAATTTTGTTTTTCTTATTTATTTCATTCATCGAAACGACCACGAATGTGTATGTTTTTGTAGAAAAAAAAATACGATCTACGTTTTTTAAAAAAGAGAACAAAAGTTCAAACATAATGAGTAATAATAATGAACATTGAATTTTGTTCTTCTTCAATTTTTGATAATGTAATTGTCCAGATGATTAACATTATCACATGTTTGGTCATTTAACCAAAGAAAAAAAAACTTCGATTGTTTTTTACAAACTAAAAACTTTTCTTTTTAATCACACCAGAGTGCGGTATTCACATTTGATTGAAACACATTCGAAATCTATTTTTTTTTCTCATCTATAGCGCGCTTTATTTCAATTTGAATAATAATAATAAAAAAAATCATGATAACCAACAAATTTAATGCCATTCGGCTGTTAATTGTTGTTGTTGTTGTTGGCGCATGTGTCCATCTATCAGGACAGTAACCAGAAATTGGAAAAAAAACACAACAACCTGATAACAATGATCATTTATCAATCAAGACTTTGGATACTTAAGATTCAAAAATTGAATGATGATAATGATCAACGATTTTTTTTTTTTTTTTTGATAATCAATTTTTGTTGAATGAAATCTATTTAAAGCCAATGAAAAAAGCCGGGCATTTTTTCTATTTTATATACATTAATAATAATAAGTGTAACCGTTGTGACAAATCTATCGGTTTATCGATCTGAAAAAAAAAAAAAATTTGCCACATAACCGTTAAAACAATATGATCATAATTATATGCTCATCATCATCATGGATAATAATAATGACGATAAACAAATGGTATATTTTTTCCAGATATGTTTTCGTACTGATTTAAATTTGTAAATTGAATTTCTTCTTCTTTTTTCACTTGTTTGTTATTCTGAATGTCCTTGATCATATGATGACGGTATGTGTGTGTTTACATGCATCATCATCATCATCAATGTTTATGTTTGTATAGGATGATGATGTTATTCATCAAAAACAACGACAACAACAACAACAACAACAACGATCATTGTTCAATCAAGAAAAACATATAGAATCATCACGAAATAATGATAATAATCTGAAATCTAGAACGAATAATAATCTGTCGATAATGTTAAACAATAATAATGACAATGTCAATTTAACGACGACAAGTTGGGAAAATGTTGGCATCAAAAAATCGATAACGGCCACAACAACGACTGTTAATAAAATGGGTAAACAAACGATTAGACGGTCAACGAAATTGCCCAAAATAGCGATTAAACCTACGGGCAAACCAACACCAACAAAAATTTTGGTTAATCGTCGGAAAACATTAAGACGTTCATTGTCATATGATACATTACCGAAGATGAAAAACAAAATGATTATCTGTCAACCGATGACCATACAACGGCGAATAACGGTGCCGCCGACCAATAAGATTATATTCACCACACATAAGACACAGCATTTGGTTCTTATATGTTTAGCATTCATTAGTTTTACATCAATGTTGGCCATGGCTATAATTGCACCGTTCTTTCCAACCGAATCGGCAAAAAAAGGAATGCGTGAATCGGTCAATGGCCTTGTATTTAGTGTCTATGCATTCGTATTCATGATCTGTAGTCCAATCATTAGTCTGATGATACCGGTAATTGGAACAAAAATGACATTAATTATGGGAATTTTTATTGCCGGCGTTTCAAACATTCTTTTCGGTCTATTGGATCGAATTCATAGTTTAGAAACATTCACAGTATACTGTTTTATTGTGCGAACATTCGAAGCAGTCGGTGGTACGGCTTTTTCAACATCCACTTATACAATTTTAATGGAAGAATTTCCCGATAATGTGGGCACAGCATTCGTAAGTTTTTTAAAAAATAAAGGCTCTTCCATCATCATGTTGAACTGATTCATTTATTTAGAGTATCGTTGAAACATCGGTAGGCTTAGGTTTAAGTCTTGGACCGGCCATTGGTGGTTTCCTTTATAATATTGGAGGTTATGGTTTGCCATTCTATGTATTAGGAACAATCATGTTGGTCAATATACCACTTTGTTTAGTAATTATACGTGATACCAAAAGTAAGTAGGAAGGAACCTAACCTAACCCCCTTGTCATTTCTTGATATATAGTAATATTTCATTATTATTGTTAATAGATTGTGAACGGCTTAAATCACCGATGAATGCCTATTTTAGATTATTGTCCATAATAAAAGTAATTATCAATTGTTGTGTGATTGTTGTTGTTGCACAATCGCTCAGCTATCTTGATCCAACAATCGAACCACATTTAAGAAGTATTGGATTGGGAACGAATTTAGTTAGCCTGATATTTCTTATATTATCAGCCACATATACACTAAGTTCACCATTCATTGGATGGATCTCACAAATGGTGCCAAATAAATTTCAAATTATGGCTATTGGTCTTTTATTAATGGGATTGGAATTTTTATTTCTTGGTCCGGCCAAAATGATTCCAATGGAAACAAATTTTACACAAACAGCCATTGTAATGGCATTGATTGGCATATCATATTCAATTGCATTCATACCCACATTTGAAACATTGAACAATCTTGCTTTGTAAGTATTTATTACAATAATCGAATCAAAACCAATATATGGTTAAATTTTAAATTTTTTTTTTCAAAGAAAAAACGGATTTCCGGATGATGTCACCACCTACAGTTTAGTTTCGGGATTTTGGACTTCATTCTGTTCGTTAGGTGAAATTCTTGGACCTATGTTTGGTGGTTTTTTAACAGAAAATTTTGGCTTTAAACAATCATCAACAATTATGGGTATCATTGCGATAATTATGGTAAGGATTATGAATAATAATAATCGTTTATTATCTGAATTTTCAGTTTAATTTTCATTATTTATTACAGGCTTTTGTATGTGGTATAACTTGTATCTATTATGATGAATTGGATACACATGATCATAATCATAAAAATCGTGGTAATCAACGACAAAAATCATTGCCACAAAATCGAATAATCTCTAATCGTCATCATGGCAAACAATCATTGGCCAGGCCAAAGAATATTTTAACGAACAATGGAAAACAATACGAAAGTAGCGAAATGATACCTCTGTTAGCATAACGTTCTTTATGAAACGATCCATTTGTTGCCTCATTTGTTGGTTTTTGTGTTTCAATTTGATTGTGATTCTCAAATTTTTTGTAAATTTATAATTTTAAAATAGAAAAAATAAATAATTTCGATGATCGATGATTTGAATCAAACAATTTTCCTATATTATCATGTTTATTTTATGAATAATGAACGATGATGATGAATGAAAGCTGTGATAATGATCATACTGGTCAAAATGGATATCGTTTTCTGTCAACAGAATTTCCAAAACGTAAACGACCAAGAAATAATATTGTACATCGATTATTTGATCGTGAATATAATCTCCATCCACGCTTTCATCCATTTGTATTCAATAATAAACTTCATCAAAATGTTGTGCCAAATTTTTCAATCGAACGTGCCGAACATCCGAATTGTTTTTTACGAAAATTCACCTATGATGGAAGATATTTGATGGCTTTCAGTTCGGATATAACCAGTGTTGAATTATATGAATATCAAGGTGCAGCAGCTGCAGCTCAATTATTACATTTGATACCGAGTGGTGATAAAGATTATCTTAGCTATGGTGATGAAAATGCAGAGATTCGCCGAAAAATATTCAGCTGTTTCTTTAAACGTCGTCATACAATTACAGTCGCAATGGATGGTGGACAATTAAGTCGAGAATGTAGCCTATTTACTGATGATAATCGATTTCTGATCGTTGCATCGATATCATCAACAAGTGAGGCAACAACTTCATTCCATGATCGTTATCAAACAAACGAATCTATACCGATGAGCCATCGTTCTACATATGAAGATTATAAATTTCATATAATCGATATTGATGCTGGTCGTGTGGTTGACAGTATTGAATTCAAAACGGATAAAATACAAATTGCTAATAATCATGGAATCTATCTGTACAAAAATGTTTTTGCCATATTATCAGTTCAACATCAGATAATTCATCTATACTACATTCTACCGAACGGTGAATTCATATTCAATAGAAAAATCGGTCGATTCTGTTCCGAAGAAGATCGTTTACTATTCGAAGATTCATTAATGCAATCTATGTATCGTCGTTTAAATCAGCCAATACCGGTTAGTCATAGACCAGTGGCAGCATTTCGTGAAATTCCATTCAATGCTCTCAAACATCGTATCATTACATTTGCATTTTTACAGGCAAAACGTCAATCCATTGAATATGGTTCACCGAAACCATTATGTCAATTCTATCATGATTTCGATTATTTAGTCAATTTACGTATGTTAAAGATGCAATTATTGGATGAAGAACATTTACTTATTAAATATGAACAAGAATATAGTCTTGTGACGTATAATCAATTTATAATCAGTAAATATGATACATATAATCAAACAAAACTTTGGAATCTATTTGTTGTTTATAATTGGAAAACAACCGAAGTGATAAATATTTATCCACAACATTCGCAAACATTATTGTATGCATATGAAAATTTTTGCAACTACTTCCGCCATCCATATGGTTATTATCCATGTTCACCATCGAATAATTATTATGCTCATGTTGCATATGAAGTATTCAAACAATCAATTATTGAGAATCGTAATGGCAATTATAGTGAAGCTGTTCGTTGTATACTATCTTTATTGCCACATCATGCTCAGCTATTAACACCAAGTCCATATCTTGATCTTTCATTATTTTCATATGATGAAAAAGTGATCGGTTTGAATGAAAAACCTAGACACACAAGTGACGAACCGATTCGTTTTTTCAATCGAAATACAGATAGACTATCATTTCGAATGCATACTGGACAACCACAACGTTTGCCACCATTACTTATTCCTCTTCCAAACAATCGACGATTAATTGCATTCATATTTCATCCAACAGATCCTTTTATCATAAGTGTTCAACGTTATAATTCACAATATTTACTTTATTTTCATATTCGTCATTTTAATCCATTGTAATAATAGTTTTATTTTTCATCATTTGATTAAGGGGGATAGGAACTGTAGAGGGCGTAAAAAAAACGCATTTTTTGTTAAATGATTGCTCTTCAATGAAACGTCCGAAGTTTTTGAAACTTACTTATGTAATTATTTAGGATTCCTAGAATAATTTAACATAAACAAAAAATAAAAAATATTCATACATCAATATGAAACAATCAGTTGAAAATCAGCTGTTCAAAAAGCATGGTTCAGAACCGGATATTATGGCAGATATTAGCCTGAATGTGAAGAAAAAAACTGTTAATTTTTTAACCCTAAGTTTCAATTGGCCCAAAAATGCCCTTCTCCTTAGAGATATATAACGATTTAGTCAAACAGCTGATTTTCAACTGATTGTTTCATATTGATGTATAAATATTTTTTATTTTTTGTTTATGTTAAATTATTCTAGGAATTCTAAATAATTTAATAGATAAATTTCAAAAATTTCGGACGTTTCATTAAAGAGCAATCATTTAACAAAAAATGCGTTTTTTTTGCGCCCTCTACAGTTCCTATCCCCCTTAATCATTTTTGTGATATTGTAAATTTTTTTTTTTTTTAAACAAAGTCAAATTTTTACTTGATTGATGATTTGTATTACGATTATTTCAACGGTACCGAATATATAATATAAACATTTAAATTTAAAGAGCCATTAAAGAAACATTTTTTTTTTTTTTTTTTTTTTTGGTAAATGCTCGTCTTGAATGTACTTTTTTTTTGCTGTAATATTTATATTGCATCATGCAAATGTCACGCGACAGGTGGCGCTTAATGTTCAATGACGTTACATTCTGCAATCGCTGTGATTTTTTTTTGCTATTTAATATTCACTCAAGTTTGCTGGTGTTTGTATCGTGATTTTGTGTTGTTCCAGATATTTGTTGTTACCTTGACATTGACCAAGTTTATTTTCAATCAGATTTTTGAATTTGTTTTTTTTTCTTGTTGTTGTGATAAATAATGATAATGATGGAAAGCAATCATCATCAAAATCCACAATCACAACAATTATTTGTTGCACCTGGACAGATATTCGAAGATACACAGGATGAGAATCGTTTTATGAAAAAAATTAAATCCGGCCCAATGCTTCCACTTGGTATGTTCGTTTTTTTTGTTTTGTTTTGTTTTGTTTTGTTTTATTTGTTGTTTCATTTATTGAAAAAAAAATGTTTCAAAATAATAGCTACGGCTGGATTTTTGGGCATCGCTGGCTATCGAATATATAAGGCACGTGAACGTGGTGGAATGAAATTAAGTTTCTTTCTTATCCATACACGTTTAGCAGCACAAGGATTTGCTGTTGCTGCACTTGGTTCAATAGTTTTATGGTCACTTGGAAAACGATTCTATAATTGGTCAACAGGAAAACCACAACCATTACCGGACAATGGTTCTTATTGATATTTAAACAAACAAACAAAAAAAAACGTTCAAAAATTTAGCATCTGATTATCATTCTCACTCAGTTTTATTTATTTATTTTTTTATTCAAAGTAAAAAAAAAAAAAACAACTTAATCAATTTAGAAATATAGGAATAACATTTTCAGTTTCCAATTTTTATGTGTTATGTTTAATGTTTCAAATTTAAAAATTGATGATCATGGATTGTTATTGTGGATATCATTCTTCCAGCTTGTTTGTTATTTTCTTTCTTGTAATAATAATACAAACTTTTTTTTTCATTCTTAAATAAATAAAAATATATATTTTATCGAATATTGATTGTGGATGCAAATGACTACGATGATGCTGACACGGATGCAGATGATGAAGCAACATTATTAGATTGTAAACGTATAATATGATCAATACCCATCTCTTCATATTGTTGCCGAGTGATCCAAAATTGTGGATGATCTTTCATAACATCGGCTAATACGGCACCACCAATAAATACCATATCTTTACGCCTTGGTGGATCTTCAACACGAATTTTGAATTTTTGTAATTTTTGACCATCACCTTTTAGTATGCGTTCTAGATATAATTGTTTAATTTCACGTTCTAATCGTGATGGTAGTCCTGGATACATTGTTGAACCACCACTAAGAACAATGTGTTTATATAATTCACTACGTAGATCTAGATCTGCACTATTGATCGTATTGAATAATAATTCCGAAATACCTTGGCCTTCGATATTGACCAAATGTGGTTGAAATAAAGCTTCTGGTGCTTCAAATCGTTCACCACTTAATTTAATTATACGACCATCATTTAACTAGTGAAAAGAAAAATGATAATCATTATCCTTGCGAATTGAAAAAAATAAAATCAAACAAGCAGTTACCGTATACGTTTCGGTCAGATAGGTAGTTTCTTCGGCTAGTTTTTGTTCCTGTTCACAATTATAGGCAATATAGCACATTTTTTCTTTCAACATTCGAACCGTTTCAAAATCAGCCGTATGATTAAATGCATAGCCACGTAACAATAATAACTATTCAGAATTGACAATTTTAAAATTCAAAGAAAAATCAAACACACATGTACTCTTACCTTGATTAAATATCGTGTCACTTCTCGGCCGGCCACATCTAATCTTCTGGTAAGATGAGGCATAGCAAATCCTTGATAAACCGGGCAAATATGTGTAACACCATCGCCAATATCGACAACAACACCAGTCATCAATCCTTGTGCATATAATGTAAGAACGGCTTGTATGGCAATGTATGCTGAATGAAATTGATATTTTTCAAACATCATTTCGATCATTTTTTTACGATTATTAATCGGATTCAATGGTGGTTCGGTCAGTAAAATTCGACTATTTTTAGGATCAATCTGAAGCATATCATAGAATGTATGATCCCATACGTGGCACATATCATCCCAATTTCGAACGATACCATTCTCCATTGGATATGATAATTCAAGATATGAACGAAGTTTATTCGCTTCATCACCGACCATAAGATCCTATTATTACAATATCAAGAATGGATTATATATAATTAATGAATTCAATAAAAACTTTAAAAATTAAGCAAAAAAAAAGAATCTTACAGATTCTATAATTTCCTCCTTATTATGCTTTAAATTATTATAAATTAAGTAAGAAATGGTAAGCAATAAGTAATTATCAGAAAGCGAAAGTTAGTCAAAAAAATAATGTAAATAAAATTAATTAAATTCTACCTTGATCTCAATATCATCGATACGTTGGGCAGCACGAATAATTGGTCGTCCTACTACAGATGGGAATGTATGTTTTGGAAAATTTGAACCAGCATAACCACATTTAACAAACTGTCCATAATGGAAAATATTTTTTCACTACAAATTGAATCATGAATGAATTTCACTTACACCGGTCCCATTATCGCAGACGATAATTTTTCTGCCTTCACTGTCCATTTATGAGGATCCAAAAGAAAAAGAAAAACAAAAACAAGCAAAAAAAATAATTCGAGCAATTCCGTTTGATAATAAAATTCAATTAATGAGTGACGTTTACAAATTTATGAATCGATAACGGAATTGATTGAACATCATACCATCATCACAGCCATCACAATCAAATGTAAACTACACCACCCAAATTTTATCATCGCGTCACAAACAAACACACACACAGAGAGAGAGAGAGAGACTATCCAAAAGCTTGGAGTTAGTGTCAGCTTCAATCTAAAACAGTGCAATAATCTCTAAATAATGGGTTTCAACGATAATAGATGGCGCCAAGATTGATGATTGTCTTACTGGTGAGATCAATTTGTTGTTTTTTCTTTCTTGATTGATGTATCCATAAAAATTGATGATTACCATTCTTGTTGTGTTTCGTCAAATTTTATCATCATTGTTCGGATTAAACAAACAAATCATCATGAAAATCAAAACAATAAAAATCGTTGATCAAACTGAAGATACGATTTCTCCATCGAAAGATTCAACTTCTCGATTACATCTGATTAATTGTCAATTTCATAAAGATTGTCAAAATGTTCCAATATTTGATTATTTTGATAGTCAATTCAATACGAATGATGAACGATTGAATGTGTCGTTTAGAGGTAGACCTATGAACGGTCAATTGGTTCAATTGTCGAAAAATTTTTCCTTTGCAGTTATCGATCCAATAGAAGGAGAGAAAAACGATAACACTGTTGTTGCTCGTCGATTGGTTGACGAAGCCTATTGCTGGAATATGGACAAAATTCCATCTAGTAACGATTCAATGCCACAAATATTGAATTGGATCAATCTAGCCAAAGATATTCATTCACATGTTCAACTCGAAGATGATGCATAATTTCTTATTATTGTCACCGTTTCACATTTTATAATTATAATAATTTAATTATCATTAAAATTATTGATTTGATCTTGATGATTTGAATAAAATTTTTATCTTTTACTAATAAAATCCAAGTTATTTTCAAATTGAAAATTTTCACGAACAATTTTTTCAAGCATTTTATTTTCAAATGTCCTAGTGTCGATGAATAGCTCTATTGAACACGAGGTATGGCACATGCGTACAAATTCTAGTGGATGTGTGTTTCCCTTTTCCTCCACGTTTCAACACAAGAATCACGGTTTGTCATTGTTTTTTTTTGATTTTTTTTCTTGGCAATTTTTAGTGATTTTTTCGTTTTTCATAATTTTTTTTTTGTAGAATAAAAAATGACTAACCCAAAAGGTTACCGACGTGGTACCCGTTACCTTTTTTCCAAAGGTTTTCGAAACCATGGTACACAAAAATTGTCCACATTTCTAAAAGTTTACAAACGTGGCGATATTGTCGACATCAAAGGCAATGGTGCGTTCCATAAAGGCATGCCGCATAAATTCTATCATGGTAAAACTGGACGAATTTATAATGTAACCAAACATGCTGTCGGTATTGTCGTCAATAAACGTGTACGTACTCGTGTCATACCGAAAAAGATCAATGTTCGTATTGAACATATTTCGCATTCAACATGTCGTAAAGATTTTCTTGATCGTCTCAAACGAAATGATGAATTGAAGAAAGTTGCTAAAGAAAAGAGTGTTTTTGTCAACCTAAAACGACAACCAGATCAACCAAAACCGGGACATTTCATCCGTGTTAGCAAGACAAATAAACCCATCAATTTACGACCACTTCCATATGAATTGGTCATTTAAAACGAATTAATGATTTTTTCATTTTGATTTATAAAATTAAAAATTTTGTTTATTTGTCAAATGATTGTCCATTTCGTTTCAATAAGTAAACTGAAGCATTCAGACCACCAACATTTACATGATATGCTCTTTCGAATTTACAATATTTTTGTGTAATTTGATTGTAGATTGTTTTGTTGGCATTCAATTTATCTTGAGTTAGGATGACAATTCGAGCCGATCCTAAACGGGCACATCGAATCATCTCAGTTATCAACAATGGATACAATTTTCTATTTTCCATTTTGGTTCCCATTCGTTTACCGAATGGAAGATCAGTAACAAATACATCGATTGTATTGTCTCTCAATGGTAATTGTGTTGAATCCCATTTCGATAGATCAGCCCGTTTAAATAGACCATTTGCATTGAAATTGGTTCGAGTCTTATCGATAGCCGTTTCAAATAGATCGGCAGCAATGGTAAAATTTTCATGCCAATTTTTCGAACATTCAATCGGTATGACACCTGAACCACATAATGGGTCACAGACAATTTCTCCGGGTTGTACATTGGCTATTTGAATGAGATTATAGGCAATTGTTCCTCGTAATGTTGTTAGGCCAAACGATACGATATGCCTTTTGGATAACGATTGTTTCGTCAAACACAATGATATTCGTAACGAATTATCTTTGATGTTGAGCACAATTTCCAAATCATATTGTTTGAGTGAAACTTTCCACTGAAATCGATCATTGATAAGGCCACCGAATCGATGTGCAGCATCTTGGGATGTAAATTTATGCTCACCACTACGATTACATGAAGCTCGGAATGAAGGTATTGCCGATTTATCATCCGGATCAAGTATAGCATCAATATCTCCGGTAAATTTTATCGCTTCTTTCCATACACTAATTCCAGTTTTCCAATCGCATTTTTCAATCACAGACATGAAGATTTGTTGCTCAAGAGTTTCGAGATCCATATCGATCAAATGTGGATGATATTCGTCATAGATAACGGTGAAAATATTATCGATTGAACATAATTTCGAAATTTGATCATAACCACATTTTGTACGGAAAATGATTCGTCCATTCGTATGATTAATGTCAAAACAATCTGCAATTTTTTCACGAATTTCTTTACGAGCCAATGATTCTAAACCGGTAGTAACAGTTGCTTCATAAGTTATTATATTCGATGGCTCCATTTTTTTGTAATTCGAATTCAATATTCGGCAAGTTAGCAAATTTCTGTCTTGTTGGATCGAAATGGATATTTACATTAAAATGCAATAGATGGCAATAAAAGTCATTTTTTTTCAATTGAAAATGATAAGAAAATCGATATCGACGTGATTTAATTTGAGCAATCGATTTAAAAGTATATAAATATAGTGATGATACCATCTAAACATATAAACAATTTCTCTTGACATAAACAACAAAATCGAGTAATTTAAAAACAAAGAAAAAAAATGACTTTCAAAAACGTTATTGTAACCGGTGCCAATCGTGGAATCGGATTGGAATTTGTTCGACAATTGTTGAAACAAAATAATTCACCGAAAAATTTGATTGCAACCACTCGAAAACAATCGCCAGAATTGGATAGTCTTAAATCGGCTCATAATAATCTACATGTATTGACTTATGATGCTACTAACTATGATAGCTATGGTGATTTTGTCAAACAAGTTGAATCGATTGTCAAGAATGAAGGCCTCAATCTATTGATCAACAATGCTGGAATGGCTATCCGATCAACATTGGATAATGTCACCCCAAAAGATATATTGACAAATGTCGAAGTGAACGCCGTTGGTTCATTGATGTTGACCAAAGCATTGTTGCCATTGTTGAAGGTAAATATAAACAATATGTAGTCATTGATGTGATTGATTAAAATGAATTTAATTTAATTTATAGGCTTCAGCTGCAGCTGGACAAAAAACTTTGGTTGCAAACATTTCTTCAGCTATGGGTTCAATCGATGACAATGGTTCCGGTGGTAGTTACGCTTATCGTGCAAGTAAAGTGACCATGAATATGTTCACCAAATCATTGTCTGTTGACTTAAAATCGGATAACATTATCGTCATGACACTTCATCCTGGTTGGGTTCAAACCGATATGGGCGGCCCAAATGCTTTGATCAATACGGAAACTAGTGCTACTGGTTTGTTGGATGTATTCAACAAAGCCGACATGTCATACACTGGAAAATTTTTAGATTGGGCCGGTAAAGAACGTAAATGGTGATTGAAAAAAAAATCAAACGATATTGCTTTTTAATCACTCGATTCAATATTCGATTAAGAAAAAACAAATAAAATGATTTGTATTTCAAAAATAAAAATTGCAATAATAATAATAATAATAAAATCAAGACAGTGGATTCTGATATGAAAGACCATATATTAATGATGAATAGGTGTTGTGAAAACATTCATGTATTTGTATCGACATTGAATTAAAAAAAAGGAGAAAAAAAATAAAATCAACAAATTATAGCTAACATAATGATAATCATCATTTGGCCAGTACTGATGATAATCCATTTGTTGATCCAATCAATTCATTATCATCGATTATTGGTATATCTGTACGCCAATATAAAAATGAATTAAAATCATCATGCGGTTCGACTAATCGATCTTTGTTCAATGGTGGAAACATTTGATCCACAAATTGGCTCAATTCATTATATCTGTTTGAATAAATTAATTGATAAATAATAAAAAAGAAATTAGAAACATTTTTTTTATCATCTGAAAAAAAACTTACGATGATCTAAATGATCTGATTTTTCCAATTTAAGTTCACCGCGATGATTTATAGTGAATATACGGCTTATATCGATGCCAACTGCTTTGTATGCCCAAGTGTCCTTTAGTGCAAAAAAAATTGTATTAAAAAAATGTAAATTTTGATAATAAATAATATATATTGCATACATTGATTTTGTTGCCAAAACCAGCGAATAATGGATTCATTGGAAACAAAGATTGTATATCTTTCAAACAGCTTATCTTAAACTCTTCGGGTTTCTTTTCAATAACTTCACTGTGAAAAAAATGATATTCATCATTAATCATTAATTAATTTATTAATTTCAAAAAAAAACTACTAACCGATGAAGAGCTGAAAATAATGATGTCGGTGACAATAATACAGGTCCATCGGGTAGACATTGACCATCCTGACAGATGCTTGTCAAATAATCTCTTGTACCTTTAGCCTGACCGATAGCACGAGCAGATAAATATAAAAATTTGTACCCATTTTGTCCGATGCTTGCATACAGTTTAGTCACACCCATTTGAGCCCAATCTTTACCAATGTATGGAAGAATATGTCCAAGTACATCGGATTTTGTGATTGTACCATCAATATCTGATATGATAATTTTGTCATTATGACGCCAAAGAAATATTTTACTTTCACAAGCTGTAGTGCCTTGATAAGCAGTAGTTACACTGAACATTATCTTATTACATCCATGGCGTAGATTTAATTTCTTTAGAACCTCTGAACTTAATCGCAATACTTTACGATATTTTTTCTTCGTACCAGTGTTTGAATCCTGTTTGTTTGTCGTTGAATTTCTTGCACTATTATTTGAAATTATAACCGAATTATATGTTTCATCATCCGATACATATTCGATACTATTCGAAGAATAATTGTTGTTTGAATTTTTTGTCGGCGTTACATTAGCTCCGGATGTATGAATATTATTTGAACTGCTATTACTACTGCTATCAATGGTCGTCGTAGCTGCCGGTTCAGTAGATTGTTGATGGTTAGATTCACTTTGTGTTGGTGAACGAAACCATGAACGCCATGAACGAGAATTTTGATTATTAACTTTTTTTGGTATACATTTTTCCTTTAAAACTTGCATTGTTTTATCCGATAATGGACGTTGAAATAAGAGCAATGATAGTACCATTGATGATGCCATTTTCCATGTATAATATTCTGAACCCATACGTATTACCAAATTTGGATTATCAAGAATCTGTAAAGGGTTTTCATTGAAATCATCGAATGATATGATTGATTGAAGAAATCTTTCAGTATTATCAGGATTTTCAATTAAATCTTCCACATGTCCACATAGAGACATTGACATATCGTGATAGATTCGACTTAAACTATATAGATCACCTGGTATCATTAGTTGTTCTTTTACACGATCAACAAAATCTGAATGTAATGTTTCTGGTTGTTGATAATTAAAATCAGCACTACGTGGCGAATTTGATAACGATGCACCTTTACCAGATTCAATGTCATCATCACTACTTGTAGCCGTTAAAATATTAGAAGGTTTAGTTGTTAAACTTGAACGAAATTTCGGGAAATATTTGGCTGCTACTTCAGGATTCATGTCATTAGGATCTAGTTCATCAAGATAGATTCCTTTATCATCATCTTTAGTGCCGCTGGGGTCGATGCTATTTGGACCATCTTGTTCTTTGGTCATGAAATTCAGAACACCACCAAGCATCGATTTAGATTGATCAGATGTTAACTCGGCCATGGCTATCGGCATCGATGATATTGATGATTTTGTATGATTCAAAATGGGTGTAGAATCATTTTTCACATGTGGTAATTCACCCCAATCCCAAGAAATGAAATCTTGATTATTAGATATTTTTTCACTTCGTGACGTTTCGATTTCCGAATCCGATTTATAACATTCAGATGAAATTGATTCTCGTTGTTTTTTAGTATCATATTCACTATCGGAAAATGGATGCAAATCCTTTTCATTTGTTTGTTGATAGGAATTTTTAATTGTTGTTCGATCGATTGTTCTTTATTTAGCTGTATGGAATCAGGTAATTCGGGAAAATTCTGTGATAATGATGGCTTTTGTCCGTGTTTGGTTTTCTTTTTCCGTCGTGTACGTTTTTGATTGGATGATGATGACGAACATGGTGTCGAAGTCGAGGAATCAGTAGATGATGGATCAATAGCGGTGATTTTGTTATTATTATTTATAACCTGAGTTGTTGTTATTGTAGCGGAGGAATGTTCAATGGCCGATGAATCATCATTAATTGGAACGGGTAAATCATTTTGTGCAGATACATTTTCCGCCGATGCTTCAACACTACTGTCTTGCACTGGTTTATCACATTTTGCTTCATTATCATTATCGTTAAGATCATTTGTTTGGCCATCCGGTGTTGTTGCAGCCGTATCATCAACAGCTGGAATTTTATCCTCTTCCTCTTCATCATCATTACCATCATCATCATCATCACATTCTTCCAGGAAATATGCTTCACCACTATCGCCTAATTTCATATGTATTTCCACCGGTTCATCATTGATTTCTATATCAACCTAAAAAGAATTATGTCAGTAAGAGAAACTTTAGACAAAAGATACTTACAATTTTTTCTCGACTTCGTAATACGCCCATTTTACCGAAACGAACATGAAACGGTGATGTAAGATAGGTGCCATCTTCTTGTTCAACAACAATCACATCGATAGCACCGGTCAATGTAGCCGGATTTAGTTCACTATATGCCTGGCTAATATTGGAGAATATTTTGCCAAAATAATTCATTTTACAGGATCACGCGTTCAATCAGAGGTGTTATTAACAACATCTAGAAAAACAATGACAAAAATATCGGATTTACGGACAATCTATGTGTGAAAATTAAAAAAATGTTCGAATCAATATAAACGATAAATTCAAATCAATTAATCAAAAATGAATGGAAAAAAGTTGTGCTGTATTTTTTTTTGTGACAGGAGGAGATTTTGTCGGCTAGTTGCCAACAACAAGTGATAATGATTTTTTTTTTTTTTGGCAACTATAATTTTTGCATAATATAAAAATCGAATATTAAAATCATCATCATCATTTGAATTAAAAGCACTGAATTTACACTGTCAATATTGGTGGATAAGATAATCATCAACAATTGAAAACCATATGACTGGAAATCAATTAGTCATATTTTTTTAAAAAAATGAAGAATAATGTGAATGTGAATCAAGGTTGAACAATTTTTTTTTCTCTCGGACGAGAGCAGAGAGAGAGAGAGAAAGAAATTTGTCAACATCATCAACAATAATCAAACACAACAATACACGGCAATAATAATAACATGAACATTCAAACAGACAAACAAACATACTCATATATACAAAGAAGTTGGATTGATAAATAAGTTGGCAATACATGAGATATAAATCATCATCATCATCATAATAAGATAGGATAGGATTCAAAAAAAAAAAAAAATCTGGCGGGTAGAGAAAAAAAAATTACCAATAATTTTTTTACGTCACACATAAATAAGGTTTATTTAATTTTGTTATTGATGATTGAAAATCAATGCTGGGTTAATGTTTTATTTTCATTTTTTTTACTATGATGTGATGTGATATGATTATGGTTCAATTTGATAGTGATTGATTGATGATCATAGTCCAATCACCATCATCATCGGATGATGATCTGGTGAGATTTTTTTAAAGCAACAACAACAACAAAAAACAACTATCAGAGAGTGTCTGTGTATGCGTATGCGATTGATTAGATGATTATTGCAAAACATCATCATCATCATCATCATCATTTGTACTTGGACAAAGTACAGGAAAATTGTAAATTAAAAATCACATCACATCTATAATTTTTATTGCAAAAAAACAAAATTGTACACATTCGATTTTGAAATACAATCTTGACTATTTTTTTTTTTTTCTTCTTCTTCTTACATTTGGATTTTACAATCAAAAACAGAAAAAAAATCGAATGTTGCAGAAATCTATGTTACATCTGAACTCATATATATACCCAAGCTCTTCTCAAACTGTGGTACACAAAGTTCGGAAAACGCTGTCCATATACAACAATAATGAATGAATGAATATATCATGTAATTGAAATGAATTCGATGGAAAATTAATTTATGAAACCAGGAAAAATATACTTACAGTTATCTTTTATGATCATATTGATGATAAATAATTTGAATCAAATTGTTATTGGATAATCATCGATCAAGGAAATTGATAAATTATTATGAAAAGATCACGTAAACAATTTGATATAGAGATGAGTTTTATCAATGATCCGGTAAACAAAACGAGAAAAACAACAACAAAAAAAAAATTTATAATTTATCACAAAAAAAAACCGATAAACGATGATCATTCTACATACAATTTACGAATGATTGATCAACATTCGATCTTTAAACATGAAAATAAATAAAATAAAATGTCAGACGATCATCAACAACAACAACAACATCTATTGGTTGAAACAATTTTACAGTTGTAATTGATAGTGGTAAATGGATAGTCACATAATATCTGTGGCCACAAATTTTCAGTCTTTTGTTCGATGTTTCACATCAAATGATTTTTACTGAGAATACAAAATGAAACGAAAAGAGAAATAATATATGATGACTGAGAATGACGATGGCAAGAAGAATGAGAGAGAGAGAGCCTCTTTAATACCAATTTGTGTTTGTGTGTCGCCATCTGATGATGAATATTAATATCATACATTGGTATACCATGGTTAATCGAACTTTCACTGTTATATATCACGAGTTTTTTTTATTGAATGAAAAATTTTATTTGAAAAAAATCATTTATTCATCAAGAAAAAAAGAGAGATTGGTTTGTGTTTTATTTTCATTTGTTAAAAAAATTCATAAATAATAATTTTCTTTTTCAGTGCAATTGGAATTATGAAATCAAAAGGAAATTTAATAAAAACCAAAACAACAAAGAAATTCATCCGATTGAAAATGAATGCTGTATACAGAATTCAATTCAATTCAATTTGGTTATCGAACGACCAGTTTTAGCCAATGCTTCATATACCTGATCATAGGTATATGGTTCATTATTGGATTGACGAACCAAAACAATGGTCACATCTTTATTTTCGACATTCGAATCGACCGATTGTAATTCATCACCATATGTTTTTTTCAATGATTTTTGTATGGCATTCACACATGCTTGACAAGTAATATCGGCTTTAAATTTATATGTTTGTGTTGAAGACATCGTTCACAGATTGGTAGCAATTTTAATCAAAACAGTGTGATGATGTTCAGTCTTTGGAATCAAATGATTAAATGAAAATCGTTGAAAAAATATTTTTCATACACAAAACACTCAATCTGGTTGTGTTCATCAAAATCATATGAATGTATCGAATTTCTTTGCAATTCACTACAATCGATAGATGGCATTATTTGTATATAAATAAGGTGTATTTATATATGAAATTAATCAATAAAAAAAAAATTCGACATAACATCGAAAAAGAACAAGATTTTTTTTTATATATAGAAAAAAAATTGATATTGCAAAATCAAAGTGGACCGACTTGTTTTCATGTTAATTTGATGATGTACATGAGAAACAAAAAAATCATAACAAGCTGTTATTATCATTGCTCATCACATTCAAATATTGATTTTTTTTTCGACATTCGAATATATTTTTAGGTTATTTTCATTTGTAATGAATTAATTATGGACAAAATGATCGACAACAACAATAAACCATTCATCATCATACGTTTTAAGAATGTTAAATTGATTAAAAATGGCCATCTATTTGTTGATGATTTATGGATTCATGATGATATCATAATCAATCCTGAACCATTATTTTTTGAACAACGTAAAGAAGCCGATATTGTTGTCGATTGTAAACAAGCTATCATTGCACCCGGTTATATTGATCTACAAATTAATGGCAAGTATTAAAATGGTTAATATTAATATTATTTTTTTTTTAATCATATGATTTGATTATATAATTCCAACAGGTGGTTTTGGCTATGATTTTTCAACACCTGATATTGATATCAATCAAGCGCTACAAGTGGTCAGTAAAAATCTGGTTCGTTATGGAGTGACATCATTTTGTCCAACATTAATCACACAACCATCATCAAATTATCGTATGTTATTACCTCATATGAAACGTGGACCAATCATTGGTGGTGCAAATATTTTGGGTATTCATGTTGAAGGTCCATTTATAAATCCAGAGAAAAAAGGTGCACATCCTGAACGACATATTCAAAATGAAATCAATTCCATTGAACAAATTGAACAATATTATCATGATCTATCAAATGTTTCGATCATAACAATAGCACCGGAATTGGATAAGAACAATGTTTGTCAACAACTTGTTAGTAAAGGAATTGTAGTATCTTTGGGTCATTCAAATGCTTGTCTTGATGATAGTGAACGTGCATTCCGTAATGGAGCATCAATGATAACTCATCTATTCAATGCAATGCCATTATTCCATCATCGTGATCCTGGTTTATTAGGTCTATTGACTATCGATAGTGAACGACAAATGTACTATGGTATCATAGCTGATGGAATTCATACACATTATTCTGCATTACGATTAGCATTCTATGCAAATCGTGATGGAATGGTTCTAGTAAGTGATGCTATATCGGCTGCTGGTCTTGAAACAGGCATACATAAAATTGGTTCCGAAATGATTGAAATCAAAAATAATCGTGCATATTTGGCCGGTACAAATACACTTTGTGGTTCAATTGCAACACTTGATCATTGTGTTCGATATTTGCAAACAAAAGTACCAGATTGTTCGATAGTCGATGCTATTGAATGTGCAACATTACATCCAGCATGTGTACTTGGAATTGAACATAGAAAAGGAACATTAGAATTTGGTGCCGATGCTGATTTTATCATACTGAATGATCAGCTAGAAATTATGGCTACATTTGTAGCCGGAAAATGTGTATTCATAGATTATGAAAAAATGAAACAATCAAAAATTGAAATGAACAAAGTGTTTTGCATATGAAATTTTTTTTCTTTTCTTTTCTGAATTTTAATAATAATAATAAAATCGATAGATTAGCTGATGATGACGAGCAAATAAGAAATGAGAGATAAACAAGAAAAAAAATTTCATTTTTTTTTCTTTGTTTTCCGCTCACTAATATATAAATGTGACTAAAAATTTCTTTATTGTGGTTGCTGCTGTTGCTGTTCATCAATAATTTCTTTAAGTCTTGTGTGAATACTTTCGATTAGATCGAAATTTTGTAATGCAAACATAATTTGTTTATGTTCCTGTTCGATTGTCATTTCTGGCCATTGTATTGGTTTTTCATTCGGATAAATAACAACTGATTGATCGATTTTTGATGAATGATGATTTTGTCCTTTTTTCTTCTTATTACCTTTGCCTACCAATTGCTGTTGATGATCATTTTTGTTCATTTTCAATTTCATATCTTTTAATTTACATAGCTCCAATTTACAGCTAATTCGGGATAATTCTAATGCTTCATGTAATGGTTTTAGAAAATTTTCCTGTATAACAATAGCTACATCCCATATACGTGTATGATTTTGATGACGTATATCACGAATCATAATGTAACGAAGAAAATTCAATAAACCAAATATTAGATCATTTCTTTCGAGTAGATCTGAATTTGCATCCTGCGGTAATGCAACAGCAATGACCGATCGAATCATTCGATGTAGATTGCTACCCTGATATACTTGATGTTCGAATACAAAATCTTTGTACATTTGAATGGCAACACCCTGAAATCCGGCATGTTGTCGTGATTGTGATAAAATTGAATAAAGAATCTTATAACGGCCAGATGGTTCAAAACAATTCACTAATTGTTTGAATAATAATAACGCTGTAGTACGGCTATGTTTATCCAATGCGAATACCATAATAGATGTCAATGACTTTTCAATCGGATGTTGGCGTAAAAGATCAAGAAAATTAGCTTCTAAACTTTCCTCTTTAATATGTGCTAACATTGCTGCCAATAGATGAAGACCTTTTTCATAGACAAAAAATTGTTGATCTTCCACCAGGTTTTGTATGTATGGCAGATATATACCCAGATTGTATACATGTGTATAAACACGTGGCATAAAATTCGAAGGAGAAAGCTCAGATTCGGTGGCCAACAGATAGCTCAGAATGGACATGGCTGATTGAAAATTTGTTTGCGATAGATAAACATCGGAACAATCGGAATTTGATTCTACATCTTCAGGTGATGTAATAAGATCGGTTCGCGATAATAGAGTATAGAAATTTGAATGCAATGATGATATTAGCCGTACGATTTTCACGGCAATCATTCGACTTGTAATGAAATCTTCATTGAACAATGCCGATAAATTTGTACCAGCTTGTTTGATGCCCTGAATGATACTTTCTTTACCATTCACTCGATAAAGATCCATGTATTTAAGCGGATATTCCAACATTAGCAATAATGTTTTCAATAATGTTATGCGCTGTATATTTGGATCTGATGTTTTGAATGAATATTATTCAACATTTGATGATGATGATGGCTAGTGGTTGGATTGTATAGGTCAACTTCTTTGACAAATGTTTCGAGAAAATCCACATACATCGATAGTACAGAATTAAGGTTATTTACCACCGGATCAAGCATTAATTTAAAACGATCATCAGTTTCGGGATTATATTTGGTAATAGAACTTAATGATAGCCTACTTATGTGTTCGTTCAGCGAGCTCAACACTGATTTCAATGTTTCATTTCGTTTTTTCGGTAATTTCAATAGAATCACTTCAAATGGTTTGAGTAATGCTTTGAAACAATTACTATCGGTTATTTCAATATCTTCCACATCATCGTCATTTTCATCATTCACAGCGGTCGAAGATGATGATGGCTGTTCTTGATTCGGATCTTTACGTTTCGAATATCTGGTTATATTTAAATCATTTTCAAGCTCCGATAGATAAATAATCAAAAGCTCTTTTGGATTACAAATTTCACATAGATCGAGCAGAATTTGTCGACACATGCTAAATGTTTTGAAACGAAATTCACTTAGGCCACGAAGACGTTGACATATGATCGGTACTAGATCCCATACGATATATGAACCATTATTATGTATTTCTGTAACGACAACTCGATTGAACATGTCCCAAACTTCACGCATACGATGACGATCCAGATCATATTGAAATAGTTGCAATATGGAATCTTTTTTATCCTCTGAATTATTCAATGAAGATTCATTCAGATCGGTAGAAGATGGCATCGTTGTCAATAGATCAGACATTGTTTTAAAAATTCATAACACTTTGATTCAATTAATCAAACATCAGCAACAGGAGGATTGTCTATATTGCGAACAATAATAACAGAAAATAATGATTGATGAAAAAAAATTTTTAACAGCAAACACAAAGAACTTACTAGAATAAAGAAAAATGAAAATATTCAAATCAATAATATTACAATGAAGAATGATGATATATCAGATGGTCAGATAATGATAATCGAATCGAACCGCACACACACAGCAAACACAATCAATTGAATATATACAAGTAGCACGCGTATATATAAAACAATAGGAGACTATATTTGACTATTTCTACTTTTATATAACAACTAACTTGAGTGGAAATAATCGAATCGATTTAAAGGCGCGTACAATTCGAATTTTTTTTTTTATATTTTTTTGGTCTCGTTACCAGAAAACAACAAACAACAAAATCCAAATAATAAGAATTTTTTTTTTTATATCACTCATCATTTTAGATTGTTTTGGTTATGGTATATATATTCATCATGAAATTATTTCATTTCAAACATAATAATAATAGATATATATATATATTGACTTTGAGAGAACTGAAAAATATAATAATAATAGAAATGAAACAAAAAAAAAATAATAATAAAGTAGAATCAAATCAACAGGTAAATATAGTGAATGAAAGTGAGAGATAATGAGAAATTAAAGAGTATGATGATGAAAATGATTAACTTTGATGAATAGATCGAATCGAAATTGAGATAGTATATAAGGTTGAATTATATCGATTGAGATATATATATGATATTCAAGATCTGATAAGTTGTGGATTCGATAGAATCAATTTTTTTTTTTGCAGTGTAATCGATGAATTAGTTTTAGAAACATGATGTTTTTGTTTTTTGATGATGATGATTTTCAAAACATTTTCAATCAATCAATCAATGATTATAATTGGTGGAGTGAAATTAAGATGGTTAGTTGATTGATTTGGGAAAAATAACAAATATGTATGTGTGTGTGTGTGTTTGTAAGCCCATTTGTTTTAAGAATATTTTCGTTTTCAAAAAGTTTTAACATTTTCAATGTAATAGTGGTGGAGGTGGTGGTGGTGATGGTGTGTATTTTTGAGTGATAAATGTTTAAATGCTTTGTACAATTGCGGAATAGGGTAACATTTCAGCGTTTAAATCAATTGGATGGATGCCAATTGGTACGATATTTCCTTTGGAATAACAGTGAAAATATTTAGAGAAGGAAGCGAGAGTGAAATGGATTTTGAACTTTAAGTCAAGCAATAGGGTTGTTCGTATAGATGTATATTTGAAGATTCGATAGTATCGTTTTCGGAATTCACTGATCATTATATGGAAAAAAATTGATCCAATTATCCAAATTATCAGTCCATTAATTTAAATTTCCAATATATGATAGATTGTCAATCATCTCATGAGGTTGGTAATAAGTTGATGTTTTTTTCTTCTCCCAATTCGAAATCTTTCAATTGTTTGTTTCGTCATTTTTGTTAATCAGACTTTTTACAATATAATTCTTTAAGTGTTTTCAATTCTTCAATTAGTGCTTTATTTTGATTCTCTAATACGGCCACTCGATTTTCAAGGCACTTGATGTATTCTTTCTTTTTTCGACGACATTCTTTTGCCGCTTCCCTGTTTTGGTTTTAAATGAAAAATTGTCGCGGATATTTGAGAAAATTCAAAATTGTTAATTTTAGTTAGATTGACTAACCTGTTTTTAAGTAATCTCATTTCACGTTTTTTCAATGCCTCATCCATATTATGTGTTGATGGTAATTGTGGTGTGGCCATTACGACATTCTGTGCAAGTGCTGCTGTTGCCGCTGCTGATGGATTATTTGTAGGTGGTTGCGGTGGTGGTGGTGGCGGAGGCCTTAATTGATATGTTTGCAGATCTATTTGATTAATAAAATAAAATTAAATTCATTTATTATATAATGTATGATGATAATGATGATAAAAACTAACCGGGAACAATAAATTGGCCATCATGTGCAGCCGTTGCATATTGTACAATAGTTGAACCGGTCGTATTCGTATTGGTCATTATTGTAGGTATACCTTGAATAGTTGTACCATCATGCGTTGATCCAATCTGTATTGATGGTAACATTTTAATATAGCTCTGTAATGGTATTGTTGTGGCCGTTGCTCCTGTTGGTTGTGATGCTGATGATGTATGTGTTGCGTTCGATGATTGTTGTTGTTGTTGGCCTGATGTTGTTGAATGTTGTTGTTCATTATCATTATCGTCATTATTCGATGATTTTTGTCCTTCCATACCGGATGCTGTTGATGATGTATTTGTTGTTGTAACAGGTGTATCACCGGTAGCTGATAAATCATTTAGAATTTTTCTATACGATGGTCGTCTAGCTAATATTTCACGTCGCCTTTTTGATTCATCTTCATAGATTGTTGTTTCATTCTCTTCTTTCACCATTTGCATGGCTGATTGTTCGGATTCGGTACTTTGTATTACCGATCCGGGTGCCAATTTATTCACCAGAATGACATTTTTCGAAAACTAATCAAACAACAAAAATCAAAAGAAATTAATTTCAATCAAAAACCAGAATACCTACAAATATTCGAATTAAATTAAATGAATAAATAAATTTGAAAAAAAATTTACCTGAATGGTCGAGATCGGATTGGTCGGTTGTATAACCGATTGATGATTTGGCTGTATGACCGATTGAACCATTGTGGCAGCAGCAGTGGATGCAGATTGATTTGTTGGTAATTGAAATTGTACAATCGACATACTACCGGCAGTTGATGCAGATATAGCTGAAGTTGTTGCAACAATACTATTGTCACCACCACTACCAGTAGATGAAGCGGATACCATTAGACAATGATTTCAATTTTTTTTTTTTTTGATGATGATGATGATTATAATCTTGATAATGAAATAATGAACAAAACAACAATAATAAAATAAATAAATAATTTCGGTATCTTTATCTTTAAAAAATCAACAAAAAAAATTATTCAATCTCGAATATTTCATATGAATCATTCAATTTGATAAAAACAACAGAAAATAGCCACCAATACCAACGATACCGACCACCATCATCATCATCAACATCATCATCATTAGACACACGTACCTGGCGATATACGCAATAATAATAATAACAACAACAACAGCAACAGCAACAGCAGCCATGCACGTATATTTAACATTGCAATGATTATGTTGTTTTTTTTTATTTTACCTGCATTTAACAAGATTTATGGCAATGGGCAATCAATAATGTTGTTGTTGTTGATGATGATGATGATGATGTGATGGCGGTGGTGGTCGGCTGCAATGATGATGGTGGATGTCCTTGCTGTTGTCGTTTTTTTTTCTCATTTACCTGTAGCTGGAATTTAGCGTTTTTCTCTTTTTTTTTCTCACTTTCACTTTTTATAAATGTTTTTCATAAATTAAATGATATAAATAAAAAAGAGAAAACGAAAGTGAATCCAGTTAACACAGTTGTGTTCAGTGGTTTTGTTGTGATCAAAATAGAATCGAATGTTTTGTGATTTTTTTTTCAATGTTGAGGTTATTATTGTCGAACATACAAAGTAACGATGCCCGAGGCTGTAATAATAAATGATAATAAGGAATTTAAAAATTTGAAAAAAAATTCAACAGTTTTTTCATTATAATGATGGATAATGATTGTTTATTGTAACACACGATATAATGACGAAAGTGTCGAGGTTTTTTTTGTTGTTGTTGTTGTTGGATTTGTATTTTTCAAAGAAAAAAAAAATCCCAACCGCATAAACTATGAACAGGTTTGATTTTTACTGTTGGATAATATTTAAAAACTTCACATACACACACCCACAAAGTTTGATCAAAAAAAAAAAAATTCGGAAGAATCTCGATTCAACAACAACAAAAAGAAATTCTAAGAATAAGAACCAGAGAAAGTGAGAATATTCCAATTCTTTAGTGTTGAATTGAATTTAATGGATAAAAATTTCTATCCATGGCCATCATCATCAACATGGAACACAACATGGCCAATATTTTGACAGTATGAGAAAATCCAAAAAACCAATATATCGTTTGGTTTTCGGTTTCGATGGTTATTAGCCAAAAACAAAAACAAAAACAAGATGAAGAAAAAAAAATGACGCCAACTTTTTTTTCTGTCGTCTTTTCTTGTAAAAAAAAATCAATAATGATGATGATGATGATGACGATGATGACGACGACTACGACGATGATGATGATGATGATGATGAGAGAAAGAGGATGACGATACGTTGTTGTTGTTGTTGTTGTTGATTTGTATTTTAAGGATTGTGTTGATTTTCTTTTTTTTTCATTTCACTTTATTGGGTCGGTCGCTCGCGTCAATAATTATAATCTATATAATAATGATGATATCCACGCATCCAAATAACAGCATATTTGCCGTTATTGTTTATTTGATGATGATTTTTTTTTTTTGGTTGTTTATGCTTCTTGTGCTGCTGCTGCTGCTGCTGTGATCCGTTTACATTTTCTTTTTCATTTTTTTTTTTGGTTTATACATTCAAAAGATGCTACTGCTGCGTCGTGTTGTCGTCGTCGTCGTCGATATAATAATCATCAACTATATAGACAGCATATATACACATTCTATATGATGATGATGATGATGATCTTCAAATCATATAGGTAGACGCGATACACACACACACACACAAACACAAAACATGCACAGCATTTAGCAGTATCCTAAATGTTTGGTTGTTGAAACCAAACCAAAAAAAAAAAAAATTGAAAATGTAAAAACCAAATAACGGCTTTGACGTCATAGCAACGCAATTTTTTCGAACAATGACGCTAACATTGCGTATTTATCATCATCATCATCATAATCATCATCATCATCATCATTGCCATTAAAACGACGATCAACCAGAAAAAAAAACCATAATGGTGAATACTATACAAATATCAAAATCGTTATTTGTTTGAATAAAATACTACACTTCTCTCTATATACATATTTGCAGTTAAATAATAATAAAATAATACACACACGACCAACAAAAAAAAAAAAAAAAATTTTTGTTTTTTTCACTTGTGTCAAGTGATTAAAACACACACACACACACATGCATGCACATGCGTTTACAATTTTCAATCAACGAAGGTGGATGATTGGGTGGTTAGTTGGTTGGTTTTCAAGAAAAAAAAAATTTCGATTCTGGATTTTTTTTTTTGTTTTGTTTTGTTTGGTTTGTTGGCCATGGCGCCCAGCTGCCATTCTGTTATGCTGCCATCAACACACACAAACACATTATGATGATTTGGCTACTTTACCAGTATGATTTGACATTGTATTGTACATACAAAATTTCAAATTCTCTGATTTTCTGATTTCATAATAGGCCACCACCACAACCATAACCAAGATTCATTTTATTTTATCAAAAAAAAAAAAAAAGTTATTGATGATGACTAACTTAACAAACAAATAAAGAGAAATTCAAGCTCATAAAAAATTCCTTATGATATAAAGATGAATATGGATGAATGAATGGATGGATGGTTGGTAACCAACATCATCATCATCATTATCACATATCAAAATCAATCAATGAAATGAAATTGATGAATCAAATACAAAAAAAATATAATAAAATTCATTGATTGATTGATTGAAATGAATTTTTTTTTTATTTTAATTGGAATTTTCCTGTACATACACCAAAAAATACACAATCTACTTGTTGATCTAAATTTAATGTATGTGGTGTGTGTATGTTTGTCATCCGTATTTTTTTTTTTTGCATGCACAAACACACACCACATATATTGAAGGTCATTTTATATTTATATATTACGATATACAAGTAAATGACGATGAAAGTAGATATTCATCGTTTTGATGATGATGATGATGATTGAGAAGAGGATGACATCGATGTTTTTTTTTTTTTTGCGAGTTTTTGATCGGTTCCCATTCATTCATTAAATACACATTTTTTTTGTATCTGTTTTGGATTCGATAAAGAAAAAAATCAAATTCTATTATCATCATCATCATCTGTTGATTTGGTTTTTTTTTGTTTAAAGAACAAAAAAAAATTCTGTTCATTTTCCAGAATATACTATATATATACAAAACAAAACTTTGCTCTCTTTTTTTTCTTGGTTTATTTGGCGCCGCATTCGATTAGAATTTTTTTTTTGTTTTTGATTGCCACCAAAATGTATGTGTGTATTGAAAATGAATGAGAAAAAAAAACCAACAAAATCACGAGACAAACACACACATATATTATAGTTTTGTCAATATGGCGCGCAAATATATATATAAAAAAAAACTTAAAAAACAAAACCGGATCTACATTATATACTGTGTGTTAATACACCAAAAAAACAATACATGAGAATTTTCCACAAACCAAATTCCTTCCTTTCTTGTGCTTATAATCAACAACGACGCAATAAATTTTTTTTTTTTTTTTGGTTAAAATGTTTCAATCTCCACCACCAGCAGCAACAGCAACAACAAAAACTATATAATTGGTTGGTCTATTCATTCGTTGATTTTGTTTGTTATGACAAATCTAATCAATATGTCCAATATGGATATCCTATTTGTTGGAGAGAGAGAGATAATTGTCCACACACACACACACACACAAAAAACAAACACGCGAGCAACAAAAAAAAATTGAAAGCAAACTTGTTTCCTCAAAAAGGCGCCAAATTGATATAAAGATTCGAAAAAAAACATATATATTCAAATTACAGCAATCGAATAATAAGATAAAAAATTTCATCATATTATTAATCAATTTATATTCACCATTTATATATGAAGGAAATATTCATCAAGATGATTATTGCACGGTGATGGCAGCAAAAAACATTTCGTTCGATGATGATGACGTAGATGAGTTGATTCAATTCAATTTCGGTCGTCCAACACACACATATACACACACACATTATACAAATAAACGAAAGTTGGGTGGATTTTTTTTTACTATATTCATTCACATTTGAAATGTTTGAATTTTTGTTGTTTTGTCGTATTATATATCATATAATGACGCCTGCTCTATAGATTGTGGATTGAAGATATGTTGAAGATGCAGCCTAATAATTGAGAGAGATAGGATCGACTTTCAGCAATGTTTTTTTTTAGATATATTTCGCCTCTTGGCGCCATCGCACTTTTTTTTTTATCATTTCCGATGATAGTGATGATGATGGTTAATATATATTGATGCAAGATTTCATGTACAAATAGAAAAACAAAATTTGGCTGGCTTTTTTCGTTTTTAATTTTTTATTTGTCGTTCAAAAATGTTCACGGTGAGATGATATTTGTTTTCGAAATGTGTTGAGCACACACACACACACACACACACAATCAGGCATTCGAAACATTCGAAAAACAAAACATGATCCTACACTGCCATCTACCGATGGGAATGTCAAGTTTTTATTTTATCAAAAAATTAAAATTTCAATTCAATCAATCAATCAATCAATCAATCATAATATAATCGTCTGTATTCAAAATATTTTCAGTTATTAAAACGACTAGATCAATATTTTTGTTTTCATTTTGTTTTGGCTAGCATACTGTAATAATAATCGATACAATCGTCCAACAGTAAATGGTTGTTCAGATGTTTCGAATAAAGTTTTGATCTGATCAAATTCATTTTTTAATCGTCGATTATCGAATGTAAAATACATTAAATTTCGTTTAGATTCAGATGCAGCAATAATCTGTATGAGTGTTTTTAGTTTAACATCACCATTATAAACACCACAGCCCCAATTTCCCGTTGTAATGGTTACCAATTTTGATTGTGAACATAAAAATCGTTCCGGTTGAAATGCAGCCATTGCTTTATGAATTTCACGATCAATTTTTTCCTTTTCATATTGACTTTTTTTAGCACTCCAATGAAAATAAAGTGCATCCATGGCCAGTACCTGACGAAAACGGCGACCATATTTATCACGATGTTGTTTATCTTCATATGAACATTGCCATCTGAATTTTTCTGCATAACCACTATATTCATTGTATTGTTCAATACCGGTAATAACAATGGCTTCATTATCGGTTAATTTAGCACAAATCAATTTGCTAACAATCAATTCTGGACAACAAACAAAAAGAATCTCTTCCTGTACACAGCCTTGATCAAGAACACCGCCACCAATATATTTATGTGCAAAATCAACTTGTGAATAATCACAGCCATCTTTCAATAGGCAACGATCATGATTGAATTCAAATGTCGTTATCGGTTTTGTTGATTGTTCCAGATCTGTTTGTTGATGGTGGCGTAAAACTTTACGTTCAAAACTAACCACACCAATTGGTGTTTTTTCCACAACACGTCTTAGATAATTGAACAGGCATTTAAGTTTTTCTTGTTTACAAAATTTTTTATTCGGCTTACAACCATCGCTTGCAAAAAGGCTAAAATTCAAATGTAAATTCAATTGAAAATAAAAATTAAGTAGTTGAAAATTACCTGGAAAAGTTAATGCATCGTCGTTCTTTACGATTAAAATCCGGTCGATATGTACAAAGAAATGCATTGGCCAATAATGAACTGATTTGTTGTTGTGATAAAAATATGGTCATCGGTGTATATTGTTCAAGATTGGCAAGATTAAAACCAATTAATCGAGGTAAATCCAATGCTAAACGTATGATACCAGGCAATATTTGATCGAAAAACATTCGACGTTCATCATCATCCATTTGATAATGGACATAATTGGTTAATATATCAAAATGTAATCGTTGTAATGATGGATTATATGTTTTGATTGCTTTATCAAGTTGAAAAATATTTTGGATTTGATTGGCAAAAACTGTCTTTACTAATGACCATTTTGTTTGTTTACCATTTTGATATGTGATTTGTTCGGTTTCTTGAAATGGTAACAATATATAATTTAATGGAATAACAAAATCATCATCAATATCGATCAATGGAATCGGTATGGTATCCAATTTGAATGGATAACGATAATAAACAAATGTTTCATCAACATTTCTTAGATCACAAAGATTATCATCAGTTAGAATTTCAGATAAACGATACATTCGATCTTTGTTTTGATCAACGGTTGTGATGATGAACGAATTATCGATGTTGTCAACGGTTCCAATCGTTTTATTGCCATCTTCTTTATCATCATTATTGATAATGGTTTTTTCGCTCAAAATAATCGGTAATTTTTATTTTTTTTGACATTTTTAAATCATCATCATTTTATGGATATATCAATCGATCGATTGTTTACTCGAAAAAAATCTGCTGACATCTATGATCAGATGACAGAATCAGTGACTGATTTTAAACTTTTAATCATCGATTGATTGATGATTGATGACAGATGTGAAAAAAAGTTTTTTTTGTTTCATAAAACCATGATGATTAAATCGAATCAATTATAATGGATTGGGATAAAGATCTGGTATGTAGCCATTGTTGTTATATCAATATTCTTAATGAAAATTATTTCTTTCTATTCTTGAATTTAGTGGATTTACAATTCTAATAACAACAATAATGACGATGATGATGATGATGATGAACCAATTAATTCATTGATGATCAATACCGATGATAATGATGATGATGATGAGAATAATAAAAATCATCATATTAGCCGATTGGATAATATTAAGCAACGAATCAATCGTTTTGTTTGCAGATCATGTCGATTATTTATAACGGCCAATCTGATAATCAATACTATTATAATCATTTATCTATGGTCGATGAATATGTCATTGATTCGAAATTATTGTCCACACCATAAATGGACAGAAATATTATTGGCCATTTATCTAATGGCCGGTGGAATCATAGCCATTTATTTGGTGTTACGTTTAAAATCCTATTCACTATTATGGACATTTCATTTGACAATTTGGCTAGCGATCGGTCATCGTTTACAAACAACAAGTCGTTATTTTGAATTTGAATTCAATGAAGAAGAATTAATGTTTTATAGATCAATGTTATTGCCATCGAATAAATTTTTGGCAATCAGTGAATGCGTTATCGGATTGAACATATGGTTATGTCTGGTTTATATAATGAATTTTTTCGGCACAATTTTTCTCATTTTATTCAATTTGATACCATCAATGTTTCAGGCATTTTGTTATCTAATACATCATCGATTTTTTAATCGATGATTTATTTTATTTTTTTCAAAAAAAAAAGTTGATAATATAATCACTTCATCTATGTATGGCACATGATAATAATGATTCGAATCTTTTTTTTTCTAAAAAATTCGAATAAATTCTATTTTAGTCACTGAAAGTTTACAACAATTTGATCATTAAAAATGAATTGGAACGGTGGTTATCTTCAAAAATTTCGGCCACGAAAAATGACCCAAAGAGATTTGGAAAAAATTAAAATCGAAGAAAATATCAAACGTCGACAGCAGCAGTCGAAATGTTTGAAAGAAAAAGATAAACAATCAATCAGTTTGAAACAAGTGATGCCAAAACGAATCATTGATCGACCATTAATTATTCGTTCCAAATATTTCGAACCATATGATAATTTCATATCAAAATCCGTGAAATCGATCATCAAAAATGATGATTGTCAAGACGAAAATGTACATCCGAATAAAGAAAACGATGAAATTCCATTCGAAGAATTTGCTGAAATCTATCCGGAAGATGAAATCAATCCAGACCAAAATTGTGTTATTTTCAAAATAAATACCGATGATGATGATGATGATAATAATAATGATGACGTATGTTGATTATATCTGTCATTCAAACAGGATAAAAAAGGATGGTCAATGACAATGTCCAAAATCCATCATTATTATGGCATAATAATTGTCTTATTAAAACATGTATCAAATCATCTCATTGTTGTATATGATAACAATTAACTTATAATAATCACATAATAATCATCATCATATGACAATTATACTACATTAATTTATCATCATTTATTTAAAATCATCATTTAGAAAGAAAAAAAATTTTAATAACAAAATTTTTCATTATTTTTTTTTATATGATGTTTTCCAACAGTAAAAATTTTATTATAATAATTCCATATAAGTGATTTAACGATTACGCTCGTGTGGGTATTTAAATTATTCATCGTAATAAAAAAGTGGTGATAATAAAGATGATGATGATGGTGATGATTGATAATCAAACAAATGTTGAAATCATTTCTGTTTTCATCCAGATGGACTGCTACCAGTTAGAATAGACACACGGCGGTAAATATTCGAATGTTTTTGCTTATTTTGTTGTTGTTGTTGTTCTGATCTATTTTTTTAAAAGTGAAGATTTTATATATTATAATTGTGATGATGATGATGATTGATAGCTAAATTTTGATGGCGACATTTTTGTTCTTATTTTTTGTCGTGGTTTTGTCGTCATCTTTCGTTTTGATGGTCGGTTCTTTTTTTTAATTCTACTTATGTGTGATGGTGATGATGATGATGATGGTTTTTTAGTCATTCTTAAAATTTCACCATCAAATCGTTTACGTATTAATCGATCAACAACAGCATCAATGAATTTTTGTTGTTTATCAATGACCATTGATTGTTTCAATTTTATATGACGATTTTTATCCTGTCTTTCATCATTCCAATCGAATATTGATGATCGCATTGGACGTAGTGAATTTTTTTGCACCTGAATCGTTTTTACATCACATGATGGTAAGTCTGCTTTTAATGATGGTGTCATTGGTGTTTTATGTTCAGATTTTTTCATCACCGTAATCATTGATGATGGTTTTTGTACATTCGAATATATCGATGTTATTGATGTATAAATTTTACTTAGATTTATTTTTATTGTCGGTGCAGGATTAAATGCATTCAATTCTGGACGATCATTATTATTAATTGAAATTATTGATGATTTTGTTGATGATATTCGATGTTGACATCGAGACAATTTTCCATTATTATTATTATGTTTATTATCATCATCATCACCATCACCATTATTGTCATCATTATAACGATTACTAATACGTTTATTATGACGATGACGTTTACGTAAATCCTGTTTACTAAGACATTGACACATTTTTTTTTCTCACAATCAGACAGCAACTAAATAATATAATAATGATTATTATTATGAATAAATAATGATTTCAAAATCGATTGATTTATTCATGATTGATTGAATTGTTATTGAAATTCAATTCAATTCAATTCATCAATATTTATAACACATACATATATATATATAGTCATTATATCAATCTAATCTAATTATTATTGCTGTGTTGTTGTTGTTGTTGTTGTTGCTGTGTATATTATTATATTATGACATTTATTTGTCAACAAATGAATGAATTGTTTTGTGTAGCCATCAACAACAACAACAACAATTTTTTTTTTTTTTTTGCTTCTCAATTCATATTTTAATTTATTTTCTCTCTGGTTCCACAAAATTGAGTATAGAAAAAAAACAGATCCTGAATTGATCAGATGATGAAAGTGAATGAAAAAAAAACAACAACATGTAACATGTTGACAATCTACTAACCCCTCCATCGATTTTTTTTTCTCTCTCTTTCTCTCATTCAAACGGTACCATGACCTTTGAGGGAGAGAAATCGGGGCTGAGGGGAAAAAGGTCATTTTGGATCAGAGAGAGAAAAAAAATTTAATTTTCACTATTAAAATACTAATGTTGAATACAAAATTTTTTTTTCCATTCAATTCAATCAAATGAACGTATAGAAAAAGGAGATCTCCTGCCGGCAATCATTCATTCATTGATTCTTTTCATTCATTTTTAATTACACTAAAATTGAGACTATAATACGCAACTTGAATATAAGACGCAGATATAAATTTAATGATTGTTTCAAATTATTCAGTAGCAATATTAATCGAATCATTATGATGATGATAATAATGATCATCATCATCATCATTTATCTATTATATGGAGAAAAAAAAATATGAAAACACTGAATCCGTGGTACTTATGTGTGTGTGTGTGTGACATATAATAATGATGATCTTGTCATCCATATAATAATGACAATAATGACGATGATGATGATGATACTAATAATTCATGGAGAAAGAAAAAATTACTAAAGTGGCCACTTATTATTTCCAATGAAATCAAACTAAAATTTATCATCAATTGATTGTATAGAGAAACATTGGACATGTTAAACATCTGTTCTATGCCTGTGTGTGTATGGTTTTATTTATTTTTCAAGTGGAAGTGTGTCCGTTATCTCTTTCTTTTTTTTTTCATTTTTAGAGCAAAATTTCATTTTGTTTCTCATGATTCAAATTGTTTTTTGCATTTTTATTTGTTTCTCCGAATGAAATTGGTCAAGTTTAAAAAATATTGACCACAAGTGACCATTCATCATCATCATCATGATGATGATGAAATTGAATAGCTCAAACCATCTGTGTGTGTGTGTGTGTGTTTTTTGTTGTTGTTGTTGTTGATCCAATGAAAATGAATTCATTCAGCTAGATTCAGATAGTTTTTTTCCTGAGCTCATTCAATTTGTTCAAATTTTACCAGGAATCATTAATGATAATCATGCGAAAAAAAAAATGTTGATTCAGTAATTCAAATTCTGTAATTTACAAATAGTTGAGTTTCCTAAATTCTAGAATTCCGGCCCAGAAAAAACAACAACAACAACAACAATGTATTTCATGAGAAAAAAACCGGAACTTCTTCATTTTTTTTTGTACTTTTGATTTTGATTTGCGTAGTGATGACGTTTTGATAATTATGCAAATCACACACACACACACACACACAAATCATCATCGCTGTGATTCGTGTAACGAACGTAGTTTATTTATTTATCATTTGATTTTCTGATTTTATATGCAAACATTATGTTTTGATATTATGTAGAATAGATGATTAAATCGATGATTTTCATTCCGGTGGTAATATGTTTGATTTATAGATTTGATTTTGAATGAATGGAAAGAAAAGCCCATTTCTCATTTAAAAAATTGTATGAAAACATCAGAAATAATGAAAAGTGAAAAAAAATGTTTTTCTACTACATAAGAGTGTTCAGTGTTTTTCTGTTTTGCCTGAAGCGCTTTTATCATCATCATCATCATTGAAATTCATTTTTAATTCATTCCCTTAGCTTGAACCAGAATTTATTCATTCATTCATTCATTTTGCCAATGTTTACAATTTGAATTTGAAATCAATTTCATAATCATCATCATCATCAAATGATGATGATATTAATTACTTTGGAATATGATGAAAAACAAACACACACGTACGTACACAATTCATCATTTTTATTTGATTTGATGAAAGCACTAATTTTTCAATTATAGCTCTGTATACAGTAAAATTCCATCCTTTCTTTTTTTTTTTGTTTTCGCGCGCTAGTACACATTGAACACAGTCAATTATCAGTCAGTCATCGTCATCATCATTCCGATTCCGATTCTGATTTTAATTTCAATTTCAATTTACATATGATTTGATTCATTCATTTCAAATTTAATTTTTTTTCTTGTTTGATTTTCATCATTCATTTTTATTCATTCATTGGATAATTTTTTTTTTTTGAAACAAAAGTCGCTAATGAATAATATTAAATTGCTTCAAGCATTTAATGGATGAAAATAAACACAAAAAAACAAAACAAAATGAATTTGAATTTGAAATTGATTTTCAAACGAATTTTTTTTTTTAGTAGAAAAAAATTGTGAAAATAACCAAAGTCAACATTGGTCCATACACACACCGGTATCGGGTATCGAGGTATAGTGTTTGTTTAAATCCAATCCACACTGACAATTGTGTGTGGTTTTCTTAATTTTTTTTTTCATTTCCCTATTTTCTGGTCACATGAATTTTGAATTTGTGAAAAAAAAATTTCATTCATTCATAAAGAAATGGTGGTTGTTTTTTTTCATTCGATTTGTATTGTACATGTCAATCATAATAAAATGGAAAAAAAAACATTTCAATCGACAAGTTCATTATTCATTTGTGTTCCATGTTCAATGGTCTATTTGCAGTTTATTTATTTATTTATTTGTTTGTTTGTTTATCGTGTGTGTAATCTATATATGTATTTGTTTGATACAAACCACCAGTAAATATTGTATCATTTGTTTTGTCAAAGTTTCACTATTTTTCTCTCTTTCATCGTTTTGAATTTTTTTTTTTTTTTTTTGTTTCATTTTGGGTGTGAATATTCATTTCCATATAAATAAATATTTTTCATTTGTTTGTTTCTATTTCAATTGTTTTGTTTTGTTTTGTTTGGGAAACCAAAAAAAAAAAAAATTCAAATGATATGATCCCATGATATTGATCCATTGATTTTCTCACTCTCCACTAACTCTATTTTTTTTTTTTCTCTCTCTCTCGTCAATCAATAAATCACAATCCATATATCAAGCTAATTAGTTGATGAAAATTTTGATTCATTGTGTGTGTGTGTGTGTGTAATGTATCGATCAAATGAATTTGGAACTATGCAGGTATATTGGTTATAATATGGGCAACAATATAATATAATTGACTGCCTATGATTGGTTATTCATGGTGCAATAAAGGTGGAGCTTAAAGTTTTTTTAAATTTTTATTTTTTATTTTTCTTTTACTTATACCCTAATCGTGTGTCTTTTATGAATGAAAGGGATAAATTTTTTTCCTTTTATCATCCAGATCATAATAATAACGATTTATAAATTATCTATATGTTGTTATTCATTTTTTTCCTGATTTGTTCCTGAATCACAAATGGTAAAATAGTGAATAGAGGCGGAGTATAAGAATGTTTATGGGCGGGCACTGTTTTTTTTTCCCGATTCAAAATCATTCATTCATTCATTCATTCGTGATAATGATGATGATGATGATTTTGATGCACAATTTATGGATCATTTGTCAGATGATCATTGAATCGATTAGATAAATCATTCATTCATTCAATTTTTTTGTTTGTTTGTTTGTTTATTGTTTTGTAATAAACAAACCAAAAATAGATACATTTGTTGCTAACCGTTACCATCAACATCATATCGGATGTAATAATGTCAAATCATCAATCAATAAATATTGTTACTATCAATAAAATTATGGAAGAAGATAATGTTATTCATCAAAATGTTACTTCACCACAATCATCATCATCATCATCATCATCATCGTCATCAATAATGGATGATGGTAATAATGAATCGAAATTGTCATCCAATTCTTCTACAGCATCATCATCATCATCATCGTCGTCGTCACTTTCATCATCTTCAATAAAATTGAAACAACAACAAAAACAACAACAACAACAAAAAAATCATAAAATTCATCATCATAGCTCATTTTTAATACGTGATTTATTAATGTCAAATAATGATGATGATAATCAAAATAATCATCCAGATGATGATGTTGATGATGATGATGATGATGATGATGGTGTTGTAACAAATAATTCCGATGACAACGATGATTTCAATGATGATATCGATGATGATGAAGAATTGAATCATCATAATAATGATCAATTATGTCAAAATCAACAAGATACAAATCTATTGAATAATAATGAAACATCATCATCAACATCATCGATGTTTAATGTACAATCATTTTTATTTGGTAATCATTATTCATTTCTACCATTTTACCATCACAATCATCATCATTATCAACCGAAAAATCATTTAATTGGCTGTATTAATAATGATAATAATAATTTATTATTAATGGCTAATCATAATCAATCGACAACCAAATCGGAAACAACAACAACAACAACAACGAATTTATTATCCAGAATGATTCATCATCATGACAATAAAGATCAAATAATAATGGATTTGAATGACAAGAATCAATTGTTGATGAAATGTAAGTATTGTGTTCAAGAAAAACGTGTGAACTTTCACACACTCACAAACACACACAGACCATTGGATGACCAATGACAATAACCGGGTTACACACATTATCATTTGCACCCTCGCAATTGTTACTTATGCTGTAGTGTTTTTATGTATGATCGAATGAATCTATTGTTATTTTTGGATAAAAAAAAAAATGTTTTCATTTTTTCTATTTTCCTTAAATCCTAGCCGAATATGTAAACAAAATAAACAAAAAAAAACAAACAAACAAACAAACAGAGATTTTTCTTTTTGTTTACTACATTCAGAAACATTTACAATAAAACACAACATGGTGTCTAAATTATGAATGGACATTGTCCTGGCTAGGAAACGGATTTTTTCAATTTGTTTTTCCAAGCTTTCCAATCAATAATAATTCCTATTATTATTGTTTGTGATCGATTTGAATTATTATATTCGATTCAATCAAATCATCACATATTTATATATATATAAGCGTTGCACGCGTTTCATTCATTCATCGAACTTAATCGTGCTAATCGTGCTAATTTTCTTTTTAAAAAAATTTTCAATTATTTCAATTTTCAAATGAGTGCCTCCTGAAGAAAAAAAAATTCCTCACACACACACACACACTCGCTTTCCCAATGACATGACCATCATGATCATCATGGTTCTTGGACAAGGACAATGTTACAAAGTTGACGTATAATATGAAATGAATTAGACAATTTTTGTGGATGATAAACCAATTGAAAAATTACATGTAATATAATAAGTACAAATATATCAAATTACTTATGGACCAATTGACTTTCAAATATAAAACTCAAACGCACACACACACACACACACACACACGAACACATAAATGCCACATTTGGGACCATTAAGTTTTATTTTAGTTTTTCATTTCATTCATAGTCATGCTGTGAATTTTTTTTTATTACCCAAATGATTACATCATTTCCAATTTGAATGGACGAGACATTCATTCATTCATTCATTCATTCAATTTTTTTTCTGACACAGATGTCACATTGTGTTAATTTTGAATGTAATATTAAAGAAGTGGTGGATGGATTTTGCCCACTGTGATGTGAAAAAAAAAATAGTTTTATGGTTAATTGGCCCATTTTAGTGCTTATAACACCCAAATACAACAACAACAACAAGTGGTGTTGATTTTTACACACACACACACACAAAATTCGAATAAATTTGTAAATTCAATTTTTAAATTTCATTATTATCATCATCATTTCATATTTGTAGCTAATATTCGATCATCCGCATCAACAACAACAACAACAACAATGCCGATATTATCATTGAATCATACGGATGATGATTATGTCAATGGTCTGATGATAAATAAATCAACATCATCATATTCACAATCAAAGGCAATGATATCATCATCATTATCATCATCAACATCATCAGCAATCATCGATCCAGAAATAAATTTTATTACAAATCAAAATAAAATAGAAGGAGGAGGTTTTGTATACCATCAACAATAGATGGTAGTTGTTATAAAAATTTTCCGCTTTGTTTACCCATTACAATTACGCCATCATCATCAACATCATCATTGACAAATCATGCAGAATTACCGAATATTAATGATAACAACAACAACAACAACAATCATAATAACAGTAAACATTCAAGATCAATGGATAAAAAATTCCAATTTTTTGCCGCAGCAGCAGCAGCAGCAGCAGCGGCTGCTGCTGCTGCAGCTACAACTGCAAACCAGATGCGTTCAAATGAATTAAATGTAAATATAAAGGGACAACATAATCAATCATCATCATCATCATCAAATGATACCGACAAATAATAATCATAATGGCCAAACATTGGAATTACAATCGACTGCAGCAGCAGCAGCAACACCAACAACAACAACAACAACAACATCGACAAAAAAACAGCGTAGAAGACGTACAGCATTCACACAAGTAAGTATTATTAGAATTTCTAATTGCCAATCTAATTTACATTTTCCGGATATTTTATTCCCTATGTGTGTTTCGGTGTTTGCTTTGTTGTTTGATTCAATGTTGATGATGATGATGATGATGATGATGATGATAAATTTTTTTAGGCACAATTGAATTTCCTTGAAAAAAATTTTCATGAAAAAAAATATTTGACCGTTGCTGATCGTGGTCAAGTGGCGGATGCATTGAATCTATCGGAAACACAAATAAAAACTTGGTATCAGAATCGAAGGTAATTGTTGATGATGATGATGATGATTATGTAGTAATCAAATGATGATGGAATCGTTTCAATTTTTTATTCCGGGTTTTTTTTCTTTGGATTTTGTTTTCTCTTATTTTTTCAGAACCAAATGGAAACGGCAACATAATGTTAAATTGGATGAATTACGTTACAATGGACCAAAAAATTCAATAAATTCAAAAAATCATTGTGAAGATTCGACAAAAATCATTATTAAAAACAATAATAACGACACAGTAACTGATCAACAAAAACAACAAACGAATGAATCAATTCTACTTGATCCGGTCAATTCATATCAGGCTAATTTCAAAATACCCATTTTGCAGGCTAATAATAGACATTCACCATTACAATCACATTCTCCATCCATAACATCATCACCATCATCATCATCATCAGCCTCAGAACAGCAGCAGCAGTCTACATCGACATTATCATCATTAACACCTTCATATCTACAGCCATTTGTATCATCATCATCATCGAATAATAATTATAACCATTCAACAGTGAATAATTTATTGGAAAAAATGATTAGTAAAAATTTTCTTATAAATAGTTTAATGCATCATTCATTACAATCATTGTCACCGAAAACGATACCTATCAATTTACCTCATCATAATCAACAACAACAACAAATGTATGGACAAACAAATTTCATGATTGATCACCACCATTCACCACCACCGCTACCACCACCGCTACCACCACCCATTATGATGGTAAAATCATCCAAAAAGAAAAATTCAACATTTCATCATCATATGGAATTTCCTCTTCCGTCATCATCATCATCATCATCATCATCATCATTGCAACAACGATTAAGAAATTCAAATTCTAAATAGCGAATTTCAATATTTTGTCAAAAAAAAAAAAAAAAAAATTCGAATTTTAAAATTTTTATTTCAGAGAACGGACGCAAGATGGCGCAGCTTTGAATTTTTTTTTCGAATTCGATTTTTTTTCCTCACATTCATTTTCGAAAACAAAAACAAACAAACAAAAATAATTTTGCCGAGATTTCTCCAAGTTATCACAAAAAGTTTAATCAATTATTACATACACAAATGACAAAAAACGATTATCAATTGTCGAAACAATAACTAAAAATAATTTGTGAATAATTGATTGTCAACAACAACAACAACAACAAAAACAAAAAAGATGAAGAATGTGCGTGTGTAAAAAAAATCAGAAATAAAAATAAAAAAATAATTACCATCCATGGCCAGGCCAGGATTTTCTATTTCAATGTATTCTTAAGTTTTTTTTGTTGTTGTAATTATGGTGATGATTTTGAGGAAATGTGATTTTTTTTCCCGAAATATTGTATTCATTTTCTATCTATATACATCATTTTGTCTGTCCTTCAAAACAAACATCGTCAAAAACCGGTTTGTATATGCATAAATATATTGTGTGGTACCACGCCACCACAATTGTTTATTTTAACAAACACCAACCGATTATTATCATTACTAATTATTAATCAAAATTTATAATGATGATTCAACATTTTAAACAAACAAACAAAAAAATCATTTGATAAAAATAACCACAACAACATTCAAAAATGATTCAATGAACTTTTTTTTCAAAAAAAAAGAAAAAAAGACTAATAGTTTCATCCGATGTATGTAATCCAATATATATGTGAATTGAATTGAATTTTGTTTTTCTCTTGTAAAAATCAAATCAAATCAAATCAAATCTTTCATCTTTCATTCGTAAATAAATAAATAAATGAAAATTCCGTTATAAAATGGCTACTACTACTACTAATAATAATATATTTATGAATTGTATAAGAATCACATTATCTCTATATGAATTGAATTAATTATAATTTTCTTAATCACAATGATGATGATGATTGCAATAAATGATGAATGACGATGAATGACGATGATGATGATGATGATGATGATAATATTTAAAATGGCTATGCTTTGGTTCAAACATGAACACAAAAAAAAAAAGAAAAGAGTGTTTTCAATAACATGATGATGATGATGATGATTTTACAGACAGCGATTAACAACTGCCTCTTTTGATTCATCATCATCATCATCATCATTATTTTGTAATTATCAATGTTTGACGTTGATGATAATCATCAATTCAATCAATTCAAGTTGAATTTAATTTTCACTATAAATATGAAAATGAAAATCAGTTATTTTTTTTGTGTTCAGTATTCATTTTTAAAGATCCTCATCATCATTTTCTCTTTAATTTTTGTTATTTTTTTTGTCATCATCCTTATTATGGTAAAATTATTGGAAAAACAATTTGGCAACACATTGATTGTGGTATAAATTTCAATCAAATGAACAAAACTAAACCACAAAAAAAAAAAAAAAAAGCCGAAATTAATTGTCAGTTCATGTGATTTTTTTGTTGTTGTTGTTGTTTTTTTTCAATATTAAAAAAAAAAATACTTGCATCACGGCCATCATCAATGTTATCACAACTATCTACAACAACAACAACAACAACAACAACAAATGTACAATAAAATTGATCGATGATTTATCCGAAAATTTTTCCCTCATTTTTTCCATCTTCATCATCATCATCATCATCATCATGTTTTATATGATAAGAAGAAAAAAGATTCCAACTTGTTCATCAAAATGATGATTATGTGTGAGTGATTTGTATCAAATGTTGGTGCCTCATACAAATAGTACAAATGTGCAAATTTTTATTTTTGGTATAATTTTCTCTTTTTTTTTGTTTTTTTTTGTTTGTTTGTTTGTTTCCATATTGGTTGCCCGTTGTTATAAACAATTTTTTTTTCTTTGAATTTTGCCCAAAAAATAGACTTTTCTTCACTATCGATCTGAAAACAATTCAACTTCAAAATAAACAACAACAATCGATCAATCAATCAATCAAGTTGAGAAACCATTGTTTTATTCGTCTTTTTCAATCTGTTTGTTTTAATTTTTTTTTTTTTTTTTTTGGAATATCAATACCTGTGGAAATTGTGTACCGTTTGTTTTTGTTTGTGTGTTTTTATACATATATATGTGAGTAAACAAATCACCGATCTATAAAAAAATGTTCATGTTAATCATCGATCTATTATTACGACAATTACGTTATATTGTCAATATATTTGCCATAATAATTGGCTACATATTCTATCCAAGTCAACAGGGTTTTTTACCCCCAATTAAAATGATCTTTTATTACAACCGGCCATAAAATTGGCCCAAAAGATTAAATCTGGTCAGGTATGTCAGATATGATCATACTTGTGAATAAAATTTAATTTTTTTTTTTTTTTTTGGTTTAAAATAGCTTAAAAGCGAAGATCTAGTTCAAGCATATATTGATCGTTGTAAAAAAGTAAATGATGATCTAAATACAATTGTACATGATAATTTTACCGATGCATTACAAGAAGCACGTAATGTTGATGAACGTGTTCAACGTGAATTACGTGGTGAAAAATTACCAGATGAATCATCGATACATGATTATCCATTTTTGGGCATTCCTTATACGGCTAAAAATTCAATATCAGTTAAAGGATTTACATTCACATGTGGTACTTATAATCGTAAAGGAATTGTAGCCGATAAAGATTGTACGACCATCATTAATATGCGTAAAAGTGGTGCAATATTTTTAGCACTTACAAATGTACCGGATACAACATTATTTAGTGATTCATTCAACTATCTAGATGGACAGACAAATAATCCTTATGATAAATCTCGGGTGCCGGGCGGTTCTTCCGGTGGTGAAGCTGCATTGATTGCTTCTGCAGGCTCTGTTTTGGGGGTAGATTTTTTCCATTGTTTGATAAAAAAAATGACAAAATCTAAAATAATTTTTTTTTTACATCTAGATTGGTTCCGATATTGGAGGATCACTACGAATTCCTGCACATTTTTGTGGAATATTTTCTCATTGTACAACGGCTGGAAATATTGTAATTGATGAAATATTTCCACCACAAAAAGATATTCATCCAGATGTTCTGACCATTGGACCAATGTGTCGTTATGCATGTGATCTACGGCCAATGCTTAAAGTGATGACTGGTGATAAATTGGATCTAACAGAAAAACCATTCAATTATTCAGATTTAAATGTCTACTATATACGTGATCTTGGTGATCCATTAGCCTTGCCGGTGGATGTTGAAATATTAAAAGGTTTAGACAAAATGGTCAGACATTTCATTGAAAATGGTACACGAACAATGGAATTGAATATGGCAAAAGGTGATCCAGATTCATTCTATGATTTTCGTTTGGCAACATTATTCTGGTTGGCCGCATTACATGATCCACAAATGCCAAGCTATCATGAATTGATAAGTTATGGTGTGAAAATGAATCCATATTATGAATTAATTAAATGTTTTATTGGCACACAAAGCCGTTATGCTGCTGGTCCATTAGTGATTGGTATCACACAAAAAGTTGGTGACAAATTTTTGACAAAAGATTTTTTTGACAAATGGCGTAAAACACAATCAAATTTACATAAATTACTTGAAAATGATGGCGTTATATTGTGTCCAATATCACCAGAAATTGGTAAGTCTTAAAATTTATCCAATAATAATAATTAAATTAATTAATTTTTTGTTTTCTGTTCATCAAACCAGCTCCTAAACATAATCAATCATTGTTGAAAGCTTTCGATTGTGTCTATACAATGTTATGGAATTCAATGAATGTGGCTATAACAACAATACCGATGGGTATTGATCGCCATGGTATGCCATTCGCCATACAAGTGATTGCTGCACCAAACAATGATAAATTAAGCCTTTCAATTGTCGAAGAATTATCCAAACATTTTGGTGGCTGGATACCACCTTGTCCGGTGGATGTATTATCATCTTCTTCATCATCATCATCATGACGGCTTTGATAATCTACACACACACATTGTTTTTAATGATTTAATTTAGAATAGAGCAGTCTATTTGAAAGTTCTAAAATTCAAAAAAAAAAAAAAAATTCACTTATCGATACTCAAAATATAAACATTTTTTTTCAATTAAAAAAAATTTTAAATTTCAAAAAATTTTGATTCATTCAAAAAAAAAAAAATTCGATCATAACATGAAATCTACGCGTCGATTTCGTGAAAAATCATTGATCATTACACCGTTTTTAATACGTAAACGTAAAATACGATATGAAGAATCAATGATTACGACAACACCGACAATCGGAAAGAATATTCAAGAATTATCAACTTGTACCCCATACTAGTAGTTGCTGTTCATCATCATCATCATCAGGTCTACAAAATTTTCGTACAATGATTGATTGTATTGAACAAATTGAACACGATAATCATCATTATAATCATCGTATTCAACATCGATTAGATGTAATCAAACGACAATTACGACAACATCGACAAAATTATTTTAATCAACAAAAAAGTTATCATGATCAGAGAAAAACAGAAAAATTATTGACAGAAATATTATCTGATATACGAAATAATAATGTCAACATTGAAATGATAAAACAAGATTTGAATATGATCAAACAACGACAACAACTACAACAACAACAATTATCATATAATCAACAAATAAACGATGATCAATATCAAAATGAGGAGAAGGAAATCCTTCAAATCATACATACATCACCAATAACAAAATGTGAACAAAAACAAGTTTCATTTCCTTTGATGATTTCAAATGTTGAAAATTCCATCAATTGTCAAATTGAATTACCAAGAAGAATGGATGATCATGATCATCATGATTATAACGACGTCAATGATGATGATGACCTCATAACGGCACCATTATTATCCATACCTCATTTAATTTCCGATTCTTCATCTCCATCATCACCATCATCATCATTGATTTGTAACACTAGACCTGTAGCCGATGAAATGGAATCAATTCATATGAAACTTAAACGTCTAAGAGAAACGGTTAAAAATCCAAGAATCAAAAAGATAATCTTCGAAGGACAACAATTGTTTACAAATGATGGTCGTTACAATATAAACACTAGACAGCAAATTCCAATGGAAGATGAAACTATTCGTTGGGTTTTACATCCAACAATGATGATGTGTGAATAAAAAATGAGCCTTTAACACAGAACAAGAACCATTGTGTATGGCAATTCAATCCTTGAAATGGATGATGATCGTTAATGATGGGTCGATGAAATTTTCAATGACGAATTGAAATTTTTTTTCTCAAATATTATGTCAGTTATATTTCCAATAAAAGAGAAAAACAATTTTCATGTTTTGAATACATTCAATCAATTAATTAATTCTGAAATTTAAAAAAAACAGAAATTCCGAAATTTTATGCTAATCATGTTTAATGATAAAATTTGAACAACAAAAAAAAACTGAAAAACAACTTTGTCCGCACAATATTTGGCTACGGATGGGTTGTTTTTGTTTTTGCCATCACATACGATGATGATAATGATGATCCTTGAAAGTGATCCATATATAAACTATCAACCTGCCGATCATTCAGAACATCATTTATCTACAAGCAGATACAAATAAACAACTTTGACCACAAAACAAAACCAAAAAAATAAATCCAATTCAGCCATTATGAAAAAAATATTTTTATTGATGATTTTTGTATTGTTTGCCATCATTGGTGCTGTTTCTGGACATTTCTATGGTTATTATCCTGGTTATTATGGAAGAGGCGGCTTTTATCGCTACGGTTATGGCGGTTACAGACGAGGTTGGGGCATTAATCGATGGGGAAGAGTAAGAGGCGTATATTATGGATGAAATGATCAACAATGATCATCATCATCATCATCATCATTCTGATTTATGAGAAAATTTAAATCAATCATCATTTATTTAATGTGCTGTTTATCATTTCATTATCTGATTTAATTTAATGATTGAAGAAAAAAAAATGTTTTACCCATTAAAATTATTAATAAAAAAAACCGGATATCAATTAGATAAAATGAATTTTTTTTTCTTCTTCTATCAAACGACAATTGACAAAATTCATTCAATTTCCTTTTGTTATTTATCAGGTCTATGTGGCCACTGCTGCTGCTGCTGCTGCTGCTGCTGCTGTATATATAAAAAGAATTTGTCATAAATGTTACAAAGTTCATTCGGTAATTAATCCACTAACGAAAATCCAATCATGAACATCAGAATCATATTGTTTTTCATTGTGGCTACCATATTGGCCATAACAGATGCTAAACTTCGATGGCGTAAAGGTGGTTATGGTGGTATTCATAATGGCCGCATTTATGGTGGCGGATTTGGCCATCGAAACGGTGGTTACGGCAGTATTGGACCTGGCGGAATCTATGGCGGTGGTTTTGGACGATAATCAATCAACAAAAAAAAAGAAAAAAAAATTACCAAAATCGACCGAAATTGCTTGTTTGTCTACTACAAATTTAGCATTCTATCGAATAATTTAATTGGAATTAATTAGAAATGTTAAAATTTCCCCAAAACCAAAAAAAAGAACAAAAATATTGTTATTGCAATAAAAATAGCACATTTTCGATAATTGAAAAATTCTAATTAAAAAAAAAATTATAAATTTTGCGATAATAATAAACAAAATTTCCATTAAAAAAATTGCAATTTTATTCAACACAAAAATATCTTCCACATGATGATGATGATGATGATGGTTGTACTGAATCTGAACAAACAAAAGAAGACTGTGTGTGCAATAATCGTGAAAATTTTTTTTTCCAATGCCAATATTATGCAATTACGTTGCTGATTGCTGATGATTCAAAACAGCCAACACCATTGCAAACATATATAGATTCGTGTGTGTGTGTTTGTTTGAAATCAAATTTCCTTTATCCTGTTCTGGTTGATAATATTGCAAATTGTGGAAATTGTACCAGATAAGAATTGGTAATCATTTTTTTTTCAATATTCAAATTTTAGTTTTAGGATGTCCGCTTTATTAATGTTAGAGCAGATTAGAAAAAAAACGATATAAACATCAAGTATAAATATGGGCTGTTAATCCAACCATCCATTCAGTATCAATCTAAGAATTGAAATTAAATAAATCATCGAAAAAAAAACAACAACCAAAATCATTCAATCATGAACCGTGCATTTGTATTGATTTTTGCCATAATGGTAATCGTCGGTGCTGCCATTACAAACGTTTCAGCACAATATGGTTATGGTGGTGGATATGGTAACCGTGGTTTTGGCAATTATAACCGTGGCTATGGTTATGGTGGACGTGGCTATGGTGGTTATGGTGGACGTGGTGGATACTATGGTGGACGTGGATATAGACGTGGTGGATACTATGGCTAAATATATTCGATTTAATTTCAGATTATAATCGATTGAAATTCGGTTTTTTTTTCATTGTTGTTGTCTTTTTGTTCTCTTTTTTGTTAAAAAAAAATTCTTGTCAATAACCAAAAAAAAAAAAAAAATTTGAACATGACCGGGAAAGTTCAATAAAGTCATTAATGGATTATTAAGATGAAAAAAAAATTTTCATTTCATTCGAAAAAAAATCATATCAAGTCACATGAACTAAATGATGTTTTCAATATTTATGAATGTTTTTTTTTCGTCTCTCTTTGTGTATAAACAAATGTTATTGACCAAAAAAACATCACCATCATGCCTGAAGTGATTATCGAAATTTCTAAAAATGGCAACGATAATGATTTTGTTGTTGTTGGTGGTGGTGGTGGTGGTGGTTTTTTTTTTTTAATTTCTTTCCATGACAAACATTACGTCGAATATTCACTTTAATTTATGCTACTATACCTATAAATAAACAGATTAGAAATGGTCATCATTATTTTTTTTTGTTTCGATCAAGAAATAAAGATTGTACTTGAAATAAATTTAAATGATCGCCTTGAGCATTGAATTAAGAACAGAAGATGTCATATGATGAGGTTTCTGTTGAATTCTTCAACTAATTAATTTGCTCAAAATCTGGATTCTGAAAAATGAAAAATTCTTCAAAATAAATTGTGATCGGAATTTTTTTTTTTTTTTTTGGAGATCAGAAATTACAGAAATAAATCATGGTGACATAAAAATTTACTTTTTCACCACTGAAAATGATATATAAATAGCTTGAATGTTCTTCAATGTGCGTCGGAATCATTACAACGAATTTATTCACTGCAACCATCATGAATTTGGCTATTCTGTTTGTCATTGTGGCCGTTTTTATAGGCCAGAATCAGGCAACATTTAACATTATGTATGGTACAACACCATTTCTCATCAATTATAATCATCCAGCCATTATTGATCAATATGAACCGATGCAACATAATGGTCTGACATATTATCGTCGTATATATGGATATCGGCCTAAAACCTATTATCCGAAACGTATTTATAAACAACGTCCATACGAAAAAATTGTTTACATCCCAAATTATGGACCTTATTTTTAATAACATCAATTAAATTCCAAAAATTTTTTTATCATTTGAATAAGAAATAAAAAAAATCAATTTTTTCCACACAAGAATCCGGTGCAAGATTCTAGATTCTATTATCTAAAGAAATTTTCAATGCGCAAGCTAAAATCAAATCTTCTGAGCATGATTCTCGAAATGTTATTGGTGAATTCATCATCACATACATCTTTCGATATTATATAGCGAATCCGGTTTGAACTGGTTCAATGTTGGTTTTCTACCTACTTGCCAACAAAACTTTTTTTATATTTAGCACTCATTCACAATGGTTTTTTTTGGATCATAGGCAAGCAATTGATTTGTTCTTTTTTTTTCTTAATTTCATACCATCAAGTAGTATATATAGATAATGGGAAAAAAAACCCCAGAATCAGAACTAGCCAAAAAAATATTCGCATGGTAACCGCCATCATCATCATCATCATCATCATCATCACGACATTATTTGTTTTCAGCCAACAAATTCATTTTTGCCATTATCATCATCATCATCATCAATGCTTCAAAATTCAGGCAACCTCCAAAGACCTTGAAAAAAAAATTTGTAAAATAACATCACACGAATGTACTGATCGCATAGACAACAACAACAAAAAAACACAGAGATAATGTGACAAAATCATCATCATCATCATCATTTGATTTATTTTGATTGAATGTAATTTTTTTTTTTGTTTTGGCGCTTTTCACTCGAACAAATTTGCGTTGTATATTTGGATTTTCCTCGATAACAAAATCATCATCAATATGAGATGAGATGTGATGACGTCAATGGTGTTGAATGAATGAGGAAAACCATTATTTTTCCTTATTACATTCAAATTTTTAATTCAAGATTTTTTTTCGTTCATTCATTCGTTCGTTTGTTCGTTTGTTTGTTTTGAATTTAATTTGAAAAATTCACTTTATTGATTGATGATTGTAACAATGGCAATGATATAATGAAAAATCTCACCATTTACATGGCAACGTATGTATCATTTTTTCTCATTAAAAACAACACAAAAATGCCATTCTCATCATCACTTTCAATAGGTAGTGGTGGTGGTGGTGGTGGTTTGTAATGAACAATGTAAACAACAACAACAAAAAATATAAAAACTCACTATACACACATGCATGCATGATACGTTGTTGTTGTTGTTGTTGTTTTTATTCAATTCATGTTTACCTGCTAATCGATTGAATTTGATTTAATTTCGCAGCGATTCTAATCTCCTATATACTCATCATCATCATCATCATCAATAATTACTATTCGTTATTGATATCAATCGATCGATCGATTATTATTATCACATGATTTTAAAAAAAATATTCATAACAAACCATGTCTGACAATCATATCAATCTTGTTCAACAATTACAATCATCATCATCATCATCATCATTATTATTATCGAATGTACTGAATATATTGAATTATTATTATCATCATCATCATCGTCATCATCGATAATGATAAATATAAATATGAAATTTTAACTGTATTACTGTTTTTGTTTCCTTTAATTTCAATTTTTTTTCCGTTCGTTCCGTTTAATTGTTGTCATTGTTGTTGTTGTTTCTTTGCACAAGTAATCAAATTAGGCAAATTTTTTTCTCTCATTTTACTCAAAATTCGACTTTTTTTCCAGAATTTTTTTTTTGTCGTTTGTTGTTATATTGTTGTTATTATTATTTTATTGATAAAAATTGTACAAATCAACGACCGATTAATACATACACACACACACACACAACATCATATAAAAATGTCAAACTTTCAATGGAAATAATGTGCTGCTTTAATTATTATTATTGTTTTTGTTTATATACACATAGAACATTGATGATTGATCATTATCGATAGTGATTAACGCATCAAAATAATAATAATCGAATGATTTGATATTTTTTTTTTTAACATAAAAGTGTTTGTATATGATTTTATTCACTATCAAACAATTTGTACCGATTAATCGATTTCGAACATTTATATCGTCAACAACGTCATTTTTGATCAAGAAAATGTCTACAACAATTAATTCAACAAAATCGCCAATTCCATTTGCTCAAACATCACCAACATCGGATGAATCGTTTGCATCAATTCATCATGATGCATTATCATCATCGTGTTCATCAATTTCATCAAATACAAGCACCATTTCAAATGATTCAAGTTGTAAGTGGTGAATTGAGTTCTAAAGTTGATTTTATTTTCTTTTTGAGTAATTTTTCAAATCCATATTTTTTTTTTGGAAAAAAACAGGCACATCATTATCCGAACGGGAAATGGCTTTACATATTATGCTTTACAATTCAATTGAAATAATATCAAAACGATTTTCACAAACAAAAATCTATTGTAAATTCAGTGGCTTCGCAATGGATTCCATTGATGAAACATTCGATACGGCACAAGATGATGATTTTAATCATCATGATGGTATAGATCAATATCCATTTGATGTGGCCGCCATGAATGATTTGGAATATAAATTTCAAAATCAAAATCTATTTGGACGTTCAATGCAAACGAATGAATTTATTATCGTACGTTGCAAGATTCCTTTGAGTGGCAATATTGTAAGTTGAAAATTTTTTTTTTTTGTTTGTTTGTAATGAATTTCAAAATTTTTGAATTAATCTCCAATATCAATACACAGGGTATACGAGTGGATTTATTTCAAAAAATGGAAACAAACAACAATAATGATAGCAACGATATTGGCCATGATGTTAGTTTCAATAAAATTGCTTTCGGTTATATCTATCCGGTGAATGCCAGTGAAAGTAGCGGAATTTTTACCGTTCCTATTACATCGAAAATGGGCAAAATTATTGCCCACTTCAAAGGTATATTTGTCAACGAATTCACAATCATCTTCCGTTTTTGCAATTTGAAATTTTATTCGAAATTTCGAAGCTGAATATTTCATTACGAAACCATACAATGGCATGGCAATGGAACCAATAAAATGGAAATCAAAGACACGAAATATAAAAAGCTGGCAATTGAAAAAGAATGGTTACGATATTGGCCATCGTGGTGCTGGCTGTGCTCGTCGTATAGATAGCTGTGAAAAAGTGTTGGAAAACACTATTGATTCGTTTAATTTTGCATTCAAAAAGGTAGTAAAAATAATAGTAGTCATTTTTAAAATCATTGAATGACAAATTGTTTTTTTACTCTACTAGGGCGCTGATATGGTCGAATTGGATGTACAATTGACCAAGGATAAAATACCGATCGTTTATCATGATTTCAATGTGAATATTGTTTTGCAACAGGCAAGTCTTATGTCCATTAAGTCGATTCTAGACATTCCATTGTCTGAAAGTTTTTTTTTTGTTATATTCTATATGTATATGTAGAAAGATCATATGCCTGAAAATTTTCAGATGAACATCAAAGATTTAACCTATGAACAGTTACAAAAACTTAAATTACGACCATTACAACGACATGGAAAAGAATGTTATGATTTTGATGGTGATGATGTTGACAGTCCACATGGTCTACCATTTGCAAGTCTACAAACGGTATTGAAATCAGTGGAAGCAAATTGTGGTTTCAATGTGGAAATAAAATATCCACAGAAAAAAATTGTAAATCATTGATTTTGAATTGATTTCATTGCTATTTTTTCTGGTACTAATAGATTTCACATTTCCTTTGATAAAAAAAATGAATTAGAATGGTGATTGGGAAGCGGAAAAATCACATGACCTAAATGAATATGTTGATCTAATATTACAGGATTTGTTTCTATATGCTGATGATCGAAAAATTATCATATCATCATTTCATCCGGAAATTTGTTCAATGTAAGTTTTCAAACTCACGTTTTTATTTTGTTCATTTAATTTCATTGGAATTTTTTTTAAGGGTAAAATTAAAACAAGACCGTTATCCGGTACTGTTTCTAACTCAGGGTTTAAGCACTAAATGGATGAAATATCATAATCCATTGAATCATTCTATTGAAATGGCAGCCTATCTGGCATTATGTATGGATTTATATGGTGTTGCTGTACATGCTGAAGACATAATCAAAAATTCAACATTAATACGTTTTGTTAAATCAAAATCATTGGTACTATTCTGTTGGGGTGATGATCTAAATGATCGTGAATTGATTAAGAATCTTAAAAAAGAAGGAATCGATGGTGCCATCTATGATAAGTAAGTTTTTTTTTTTTTTATTGATTCCTTCAAATTTAAATACCAAATCTTTTTATTTCAGAATCGATTTATTGATTGCCAAACCGGAAAGTCATGAAAATCCAAATTGTGAAGTGTCACCACCAATATCGTTGAATTTTAATTAAAACAAAGAAAAAAAAGTGAAAGTTTGCACACATCACCACCATGATTTTAGTGTTTTTTTCAAATTGTTTTTATTATAAAAATTTTTTTCTAATTAATAATTAATAATCTATATAAATATGGAAATTGATTGATTAAATTGAATTTTAAATGAAAATCTATGAGCCATTGGCATAGAGAGAGAGAGAGAGAGCTGTGTTCTCAATTTCAAATGACTAATAGACCAACATCATTCTCATCTTATCATTCGAAATAGTCGAAAAAGGCTAATTTTTGTAATTCACAAAATTAACTTTTGTTGATGAACTTTAGACCTTTTTTTTCATGGTCACGGATAAATGATGATGATGATGATGATGACAAACAGAAGAAGAGATTAATTTGTGTGCGAGTTTTTCTTAGTAGTAGTAGTATATGTAATAATAATAAGGAATTTCATTATTCGAATCAGCCACAGTTACTGTGATTGAATCGTCGATGAAATGAATTTGAAATATGAAAAAAATGAAGAAAACAAAATTGCAATGATCAACTGATTGAAATGTCATTTATCTTCTATATAATCATTCGACTATGAACAATATGGTTGAATGATTCCTGGTGTTGATGGTTATTAATTTTTTTTCCAACGAAGTAATAGTATCCAATTTTCTCGTAACAACACACACACACACTACGAAATTGACTATGCCATCAATTTGATGTATCATGATAATAAAAAAAAACCTTCGACACTATTTCGGTGACATCATTTTTAACTAAAAATTATCCACTAAAAAATCAATCAATCAATCAATCAATCACTAGTGATTGAAATCAACATTTTCCATCAATCTTTTTCCATAATCGATAAAACCATCTGGTTAATAGCTGGTGTTTATAAATGATGAACAACATATTTTTTTCCGTTCATAAACATATTCAGGTATGAAGAAGACGTTTAATTTTGATGGTAACCAAAATTATTGATATTTTGGCTATTATATAGTATCTTGTGATACTTGATCAACAAACTTTCCATTAAGCTGTGTGTGTTTAATATAAATCTATCGATAAAATCGATAAAAAAAATGATTTTTTTTTCATATACAACAAACAAAGCCATACATGACACATATATTTACTATATTAGACAGTAAAATGACGCCTAATTACTATTATCGTTTAAACAAATATGATCAACGACAACAACAACAACAACAACAACAACAACAGCAATCACAATACATACATCAATATCGGCTGGTTTCAGATCAAGATCATCATCGTAACTGTAGTTACGGTAACAATATAGTCAACTATGATAATGATGACGACGACGACGATGATGATGACGATGATCCGTGGTTACAGTTAAGTAAATCATGTATAAAAAATAAAAGTAATATCAATGTAAGAGATGTGCTAAATAATAATGATGGCGTCGTCGATGATGATGATGATGATGATGATGATAAATACAGCTACTTGCAACAACGAAATCAAATCAATAAAAATGAATTAAAATCTATTGAATTCAATGATAATCAACGGAAAAAAATATCATCACAATTAATGGGTAATACAATTAATTCATCATCATTACCATATCGGTCACAAACAAGACAATCACAAGAAATGATGATACGAAATGCAAATTTTGAATGGCAATATATTGATATCTATCTGGACCTAAGTGAATGTGGTCTTGGCATCAGTATTCGTGGTGGTATTGATTCACCTAATCATGCCGGTTTTCAGGATGTTTATATTTCACGTATATTAGGTGCCGGTGCCGTAGCACGTGATGGCCGTATACAATTAGGTAAAAAAAATGAATAATTTTTTTCTTTTAATTTCAATTAATTTTTATTCTAATTTATTCAAAAAAAAAAAAAATAAATTCATTATTTACATTATAAACAAAGGCGATGTTATTGCCAAAGTGAATGGAGAATCATTGGAAAATGTTACACATAAAGAAGCGGTAAACATCATTTTAAATGCTGGTCAATATATACATTTTCATATAAAACGAAGAAAATTCATTGATTCATCGGATATTTATGAACAGATTGAAGAAGCAAATGAAGATGATGCATTATTGATCGGTAGTGATCGACAGACAAATTTTGAAGAAATATTATTCGATAGGCAACGAATTGGAAAAGGATATAATGATTGTATTAAAGTGGAAATGATTCGAGATATAAATGGATTCGGTTTCAGTTTGATTGGTGGCCTGGATAATCCAACTAGGGAAGGTGATCCAGGTATATATGTCAATAATATTGTTCCTGATGGTCCAGTTCATCGTACTGGACAGATAAATATTGGTGATGAAATTGTAGCCATTAATGATACAAATATTGAATGTGTACCATATAAATGGGCACTTGATGTCATAAGAAATAGTCCAACATTGTCTGTATTTACCATAAGGAAAACAATCAATTGGGATTGATTTTTATTGTGTTTTTTTTACAAAATATTAATCCAGTAATCAGTTTTCCAACATGACCACCAAACGATAATGTTGGTGTATCGAATTCATGTATGAAATGATAATCTGTTTTTAAAATATTATTATTATCATTATTTATGTTGTTGTGAACATTGTTTGATATTGATAGAAATTTAAATATTTCCTCTTTTGTAAAATTACATGTAACTATAATAAAATGGCCATTATTCTTGAGATTATTGATTAAGAATTTTAGATATCTTTTTCTATTTTCATGAATATCAGCATCGGGCATTAAACATATAGCATCATATGTGCCTTTATCGATGATGGCATCGAATTTTTGATCATTTTGGAAATTATCATTCAAGATATCCACCACATTGAAATGAATATTGAATTGATTGTATTGTTTTTGACAAAATTCAATAGCTTTTTCTGAATAATCTAGCCCATAAAGATTGGTGAAATTTCGTTGAGCCAATTGAGCCAATACATAGCCATTACCGCAGCCAATATCACAGATAGCATCTATATGGAACAGAAATGGTGTTTGTAATTTGAATTTGAAAAAAGGCCCATAAATTCAATAGATACCATTTTTGACATGATTTTCGTTCACCCAATCAATAATTTTACGTGTATTTCGTGTGCCGAACCACGTTTCACCTGAATCACCCAAATCGTTAAAATTGATTAATTCTTCATCATAAAATCGATCCCAAAATTGTTTGGTACCAAGTTCAGATTCATTGATAAATTCATCATTATCATTGGCAGTCATTTTCATTGAACAAATCATCAAGTTATCATCAAATCAATATATCTGAATATATATTATGGAGAACTCATGCTCATTAATTTATCAAAAAAAAGCATGTGTAACTCGAATATAAATACAGCATTTATGAGCTGTTCATTCATGAAAATTGTTTGGCCAATTTTCCAAAAATCCAAATCCAAAGAAAAGTTATTCTCGATACATTTTTTTTTTTGAAATTGTTGTATTTTAATTTTGTTCATCAATCAGATCATGTCATCAGGAAAGAAAACGTTTATCATTGATACTGGTAACATTTTCAAATTTGGAATAATTCTACGAAAAGGATTGAATGATGTTAATGTTGAGGTAAATTGTTTGATTATTTATATGAAACAGAAATATATTTTGTTTGATTGATTTATTCGTTGAAACATTTTTTTTTTTAGATACTCGATGGTATTGGAAGCGTATTGGATTCATATTCCAATCGTAAATTGGATACAATCGATTTGAATGGGAATGATGTGAAATGTTTACGAAATGGACAAGAAAATAGTTCATTGGAAAATCATGATCGTAATAAATTAAAATTAACAGTGAAATTATTTCTATACGTGGATGCTTTTGAACAATCAGATGAATATAAACAACAATTGGCAGCCGAATCAATTGATGCTTTGGTTAAATTATTGAATCTGAATCAAATTGATAATCTTATCCTATCGATTCAAACTGATGATATGGATCAAGTGTTGCCAGAATTGAAATCTTTTTGGACCGTATATGAAAAATTTGTTTTGAATGAAAAAGTTCGTCAATTAGGTACAAGTGATTTGAATTATACACAATTATCCGATCTTTATGAATGGGCTAAACGGATAAAACCATCATCAACACAGATTAATCTGCAAAACTGTTGTGATATTCCTGAAGATTTATCCGCTTTTTCCAAAAAAAATTCAATACAATTGCTTACACATAATGATTCTGTCGGTAAGACATAATCAATAATCACAATTGTACATTTTTATAATGATTTCTTTACCGTTATGTATAGATGACTTTCTTCCAATCGAACGTCTACATCAATTATTCAAGACAAAGATCCATCCTGTCCATTGTTGGCTGACATTCAAACATCGAAACGTAAATGGATTGCTCGTTATACATTCGTATTGCCAGGACAAGGTGTTGTCGTTACCAAAGGATATATGCTCAGTTTGCTTGTTTAATTGTACTTTATTGCATAACAAACAAACACACAGAAAATGCTTCAATTTTTAGTTTTTTTTTTAGTTAATTTAAAAACAAAAATTTTATTAGATTCAATTTTTCAATGTCAACACTGAATAATCAAGACAATATATTTCATGACCACCAAAGGGAAATGATGCTATCCATTCTTGGTTAGAATTTTTCCACCAAATTTTTCCTATTTGTTCACTTATTTTATCCCCAGTACGTAGTGAACATTTGGCAATAAAATAATTTAATTTTCTTTTTTCATTTTTTAAACACAATTTTTGTTTCATCTTCATTCTGTCATGATGATGTTCGTTTTGTGAACAATTTCCAATTGGAATTTCAATGAAATTATCTTGACGATTATGATGAAATCGCCGTAAATGATGATGATCAGTGATGTTGGTGATAAAACCACGCCAATTACGACTCCAATTTTGATGATTATCAAATATATCACGCCGATATCGTCGTCGTTTTTGTTTCGATTTATAATTTGATTTATTGGATGATAAAATGTTTAAAAATTCATAATTTTGATGATGTTTAAGCTGTCGATTATTGGAAATATATGGTTCTATTTGTCGTCCAGCGTATAGAACATTATCAGGTAAATCAATGACCGGTTTTTTCAATCTAATCCATTCATATTTTGTATCATCATCTTCTATCAGCAATTCAAATTGATTGAATTGCCATTCTTTTTGATTACGTCCAATAGAACATTTACCAATATTATGTGAATATTTACCCGGAATAATTTGACCAAATTTATGTGTACGACAAATGAATAGATTTTGGCCATCAATATCATGGCCAGCATTGAATGGATGAATATTTTCATCAACAATTGAAATATTCACAATGGATTTTGATGATTTATCATGATCATGATGATGATGATGATGATGATTCTGTAATGAATATGATGATAAAAATGATGATGATGACAATACAATAAAAATGGAAATATTTTTGATGTATTTGATAAATTGTTTTGAAAACAAAATCACACAATGATAACTATATCGTTTCGTAATCATCATCATCATCATCAAAACTACAAACAAAAACTAAATCGGACAATTTCGTAATCATCATCACTGCATCAAATACAGTGGCCAGAATGCATATGATGATCTTGACTTTGAATTTTGAAAAAATTTTTAAAACATCATCATTTCTCTTTTTTTCTTTCTTAATCACATCTTATCTGAATGAATTGTTTTTTGCTTTCTATTTCTTTTTCTATTCAAAAGTGAATGGAATTCAGTAAAATTCTCAATACAAGGCAACAAAATTTGTTTTCTGTGTTAATTTGATTGAATTGTTCTTTTTTTTTATTCAGTTTTCAACTTTTCTTCATCATGATAACAAAACAGATTCAAACCGGGAAGGCAAACAGCCACACACGATATATATATACTACTATTAAAGATCACTACTATTTAACAATTTTCATTGTGTTTGTTCATATTATAATCATCAACATTTCTCATCATGATGATGATGTTGCCATAATAATAATCAAATGTTGACAAATTGTATTACACAAAAAAACAATCATCACCAATTTAAATTTTTGTTTCTTCGTTTCTACGATTTGTGTTCAACGATAATTTGATGACACCTGTGAATGTATATTGTGTGATGTAAAAAAAAAAAAAAAAAAATTTCAGTGGCCAAATGATGCTTGTGTATTTTATTTTCACCTTTTTCTTTTTTGGCCAATTATTGGCACGCAAAACTTTGAAATTCGAGGTAAAAACATGTTCACATGCATGTGGTAATTAATTTCACTTTTTTTTCTGTTTCTGTTCTTTGTTTGAATTGAGACACATGAATATAAAACAAAACAAAACAAAATCAAAATCGAAATGAAGTCGACAATCTTTTTCGGGTACAGCATGGTTATTTGTTTGTTTTTTTTTCTACATGATGAAATCATTCTATGAGTGTTGAAAATGATTTTGAAAAATAATAAGTAATTAGAACATCAGATGATAATCATTGTTGACATTAATTTTATCCAGTGTCTTTTAAACGAAAATTTTCAGAGTACAAAAGTTTTCAAACATCCAAAAATGATGATGATGATGATGAGAATGATGTGATCCAACAATGATGATGATTAAGCTATTTTCGTTGACCTTGGACAAAATTGTCCTTTTTCATCATATAATTATTTATCATTTATGCTGGATTTTTTCAGATTTTAATTTCGTTTTTTTTTTTTTTTTTTGATTGTCAATATTCATATATATTCATTTTAATTTTTTTAGAATAAATAAAATTTTTGTCTCACAAACATATATGATCTGATCTGAGCATATTTTTTTAAAGGGACAATAGATTTACAAATTAAATTTTAGTATATTCAAAAATTTAAAATTTATTTAAAATTCTTATTATGACACAATCATCCTTATGAATAGATAGGCTATCGATACATTGATTAAAAATACAAGAATGACCAATTTTTGTCTATTTAACCAATTTATAAAACTAGGTGACCATAAATATAATAATGGATTCTGTGATAAACGTTCACGATATTCTTGTTCAATACGACGTTGTTCACGTTGTTGATGTGATAATATTGATGCCTCTTCACGTGACATTAATGGTTTACTTAATTGTCTTGATACATTTGGCTGTAAAGATGGTTTACGTTTGAAACCACCGGAACTGGATGGATTCAAATGCTGTTGCTGTTGTTGATGTTGTTGTTGTTGTTGTGTACCTGGCCGATATAATGATGCCGTACGTAAATGTCGTACACCAACATCCGGATTGTTATTATTATCATTATTATTATGACTTTTATCAATGCTATAGTTAATATTGGTACTATTTACATCGTTTAATGGGGGTCGATTTCTAGGTTTTAATGGTGGAATTTGTTGTATATTCGAATTAAATGATAATGGTGGTTTAGTGGCTATTATGTTATTCGGTTGTAGATTTGGATTATACATTTGTTGTTGTTGTTGATGTTGTGGATGAAATGATGGTGATGGTGGTCGAAAAAATGTTGGCGATGGTGATGGTGTGGGTGTTGAATATCCTGTTGTTGTTGAATTATTGAATGTTGGTGTCATTGATGGTGTAGCTGTTAGTTGTGTATGTGAACCGGCCAAATAACGTGCCGATAATGATATATCAGGGGATTGATCATTACGTTGATAATGATCAAAACGATCACTGAATGCTTGTGTTTGAAACACATCTTTTGGATCTTTATTACCGGTGGGTGAATGTTGTGGATATGGGAAACGATTTGTTTGTACATTATTCGGATTGTTTGGATAACCAAAACCTTGTTGTTGTTGTTGATTAACTGTTGAATGATAGCCATATCCTTGCTGATGTTGTTGATTATTTAAATTAGAATTGTTGTTGAGCAATTGGCTTCGAAATGAACCTCTTCTTCCACCGAATGGTTCTTTTGGATTTAAAAATTGCCCACTACTATTTTGTTGTTGTTGTTGTTGTTGTTGCTGCTGCTGCTGCTGTTGTTGATCAAACATATTCGGTCCAGTTCCTGGTGGTGTTGGTTGTCCTTCACGCATTCGACGAACATGTGAAAAATCTGATAATCGTCGACGAAGTGGTGCAATTGAACCTTGTCCAGTTAGATCGGCACCACCATATTGTTTAGCAATAATAATGGCCATTTGGGAATCATTTTGTGCTGAACTGGCTCCATAATCGGCCTGTTCACTTTTTGATCGTGCCGTTGCCGTTCTTGATGCGGCAATATCGGATTTTTGTAAAGCAATCTGTTGTGCACGATGTGCTTCAGCCACAGCTGATTCAATACGTTCACGTAATTTATTACTACGCATCATGAATAAATGTTTTTTTCGGATATTTGTAATGAGCACATTATTCTTATATTTGCCTTCTTCACGTTGACCATCGGGGAATGTAGTAACACCATAGCCATATTTTTTATTATTATACCATTCACCTTCATAACGAAGACCATCACTACGTTCACAGACACCGAATCCAGAACGTTTATCATTTTTCCATTCACCATGATAAATTTCCACTGTACTTGGATCGGAAATATCACCATCCTGTGATAGGAAACTTGCATTCGATCCCATATCCCCTTGTGATGCATGCAAATCTTTTGATCCGGTCGAACGTGTTTCCGAATCTTCACGTGAACTTCTCAATGATGGTGTCATTGATTTTTGATTACGGCCAAGATCTAGATCACCGGTTGAACGTTGTTTTCGTAGCCGAAGACCTCTAAGAAAACCACCAGTCAATGATGTATTTGATGTAACTTTTTCCGTAAGAGAATTTCGTCTTTTCGATCGAAGTTGTTGTTGCTGTGCAGCTGATACTTTTGCAACAAGAATAAAACCACCACGACAAGCATCTCTATGTTCTCCATGTTGCATGTTTGAATCTTCACCTTCCGTATCCAATGATTGTAATGAAGAACTTTTATTCGGGCCATGTTGTTGTTGTTGTTGTTGTTGTTGTTGTTGTTGATTTGCCATTTTAGTTATACTTGAATGGCCATATTGTGCTGATGTACGTATACCATATCCATGTCTCATACCGCGTAACCATTGGCCTAATTTGGATCAAAAAAAAAAAAATCAATTTAGATTTTTGTTCTGGATATGTATTTTTTGAAATAAACAATTAATACCTTGATATGTACCGCCATCTGCATATGTTTCAGAACCATAACCATCTTGTAATCCATTTGCCCAAGTTCCTTCATAACGTGCATTACTTAAAAGACTAGCACGTATACCATAACGTCCTTTATATCCTTGTGTCCATTCACCTTTATAAACCCATTTACCACGATATTCAACGCCAAGACCATGACGTTTACCATTTTGCCATTGTCCTTCATATGTTGCACCGGATGGCCATTTATAAACACCAGATACTTCGAAACCATAATGCCATGAACCAGAATATTCACCTTGACCTTTTGGTCCAGTACAAATACCATGTCCATGTGCTTTACCATCATGCCAACCACCACAATAAGTACCACCATCATCAAAATCAAAACGACCACCACCAATTACTGTTTGGCCTGTTGTTAAATTCTGTTGGCCGGCTGTATTATTCATTGTGGCTGTTGATTGTGGTGGAACAAAATTCTGTGCCATTCAATGTGTGTGATGTGATGTGATGTGTGTGTGTGTGTGTGTGCTGTTTCTTCGTATGATTTTTTTTTTTCGATCAATCAAATGGATGTTGATTCGATTAATAGCTGATATTTTTCTGCTGCGTTGCAATTATTTCTGAATTCTGATCATTTTTCAGCATAATTTTATTGATCAATGGATAAGCATTCTGTCAAAATAGAAATTAATGATTTAGATTATTGGCAGGAAATAGAAAAAACAAAAACGGAAGCCAATTGAATGGCCAAATTGAATTTAAAAAATTTTAAATTTTTCTAGCCACAAATAATTGAAATAAAAAAAAAACATTTAACGAAGAAACGAGTGAAATAGAAAGAAAAAACAAAACTTTGAAGAATGATGCTGATGATGATGATGATGATGATGATAATAATATCTTCTAGAGTAATATTCAAATAGAATAATTGCATTCATGTTCAACGGAAAAAGTGAAAAAAAAATGAAGAAGAATCTAAAGAATCACAAAGAATGAGGAATCTATCACACACACACACACACACACATGCACACACCATGGTATTCATTAATCATTACCACTACAACTTGAAAGAATATTAAAAAAAAATCTTAAGAATCATTTCCATTTGATTCTTTGGTTTATATTATATATGGCTAAAAATATCATTCATCGTCAAAGGCAAATGAAAGGAATTTTAATATCTCGCTCTCGCTTTTTATGTTAATCGCAGCATATAACATTAAAGACTTATTCATGAGAATATTCATGGTCTATGTTTTGTGTGTGTGTGTGTATGAAGCAAAATTCATTAAAAACAAGCTTACAAAGAATAATCAACCAAATTAAATCAAACCAGCTGTTGCTCGTCGTCGTCGTCGTCGTCGTTTTCGTCGTTGTGTGTGTGTGTTTTGTTTTGCAGTTTGGCAAAAAGATCACATACCTCAATGCTTATTTCCTCTTTTTAACATTGATTTTTATTTGCAAAAAAAAAAAAAAAAAATAAAATAAAATAAAATAAAACAGAATTTAGAATATAAATGTCTAACGACTATAGCATACCAACAATGAGGGAAAGAATGGAATAGAATAGAATAGAATGAATGGAAAAATTCACAAACCAACACATTAGAATCGAAAAAAAAGAATTTCTTTTTTTCTTCAACTTTTTATAATTGCAAAAAAAAGGATTAAAATGATGATGATGATGATTGGCCATAAACTTACCGGTCATTTCAAAAGAATGATTTTCAATTAATTATTGCTGGAATTTTATAATTTTCAATATTGGAGAATGATGTTTTCCATGGATAAATATTTGATCCCAATCATTCTTGTCTGTGTATATGGATCAATTTTTAAATATTTGATACATAATTATCGGAGTTTAAAGGTTAATTTGATGGTTATGACATGCACACACACACACACACACACACACACATCTACACATCCACAACTTGGAACACAATTTAGCGGCGTCGATGGCAATGATATGATACAAACATTCACACAAACAAATTTTGTCTTGGGATTAATAGCATGAATGAATGATGACGATGATGATCAACATCATCATCACCAGTTGATCATTATTTCATTTCTGTGGTGATGGTGGTAATTGAGGAAAGTCAAGTGTAAAATAACATAGAATAATAATATACGTCTGTACGATGAAATTCTTGTATACAACGAAAGAATTAAAGAACGGAATTTAATTCTTTATTGAAATAGACGTCTCGTTGTTCAAGTTCTTCTTGTGTCGGCTTCACTACATTTTTCTATTAATCATTATATATATGAATGAAGAATGTTGAATCTCAAATGATTTTTGTTCTTTCAACCACTAGTTGTAATATATGGCCTTTAATTTTTTGTTGTTGTTGTTTTGTTCATTTGACAAACACTGTAATAATATGAATGGATCAATGAATCAATCAGTCAATCACAAATAAAATCAATCGATAAATCGATCAATCAACAACAAACATCAAGCTTCATCTTATAAAGAAAAAAATATTCAAGCGTAAAAAAAAATTGAAAATTCAAATAATTAAAATGTTCATCCAAAAGATGGCGCAATAGTACCAAGTAAAAAAAAAATTCGAATATAAATATTGTTCGAAAATTCTAAATCATCATCATCATCATCATCATCATGTAGACAGCAAATGCAGATGACACAATTTGGCAAAAAAACAAAATTAATTTACAACTTTGTCAACCACCACTTATTATCATTATTACTAACACGATAAACAAAATCATTGAATTCTGAAAACTTTTTCTCTTCAACTTCTTCTTCTTCTTTTGATTGACAAAATATAGAATGACGAACGTATTGAAATTTCATGTTTGGTAAAAAAAATTTCTATTTATATAATTGATTTCGATGGAAAAAAATGGATGCATACAAATGTAATGTAAGTATGAAATGAGTATGTGTTTATATATATGTATAAATTACACTAGATGATTGTAATTCTTGCCTGTTTATTCTAGAATTCTGGCATTGAGTTACAGTGTGGGTGTGTGTGTGTACGTTACTACTACGCCTATTGCTACTTCTAGAATTTTTTATTTATTGATATAGAATTTTTGTAAATGTTTTGTAACTAGTGACAATTTTGGTTTTTCTCTTTCGATGCAAACACAACATCATTATTAGTGAATAATAACGTTTTTTTTTCGAAAATAATTCGTTCCATTCATATAATTGAATTGATCGAAAAAAATGGCAGGTAAGAATCTGAACTTGACTTTGATGTTTTTGTTTTGTTTTGTTTTGTTTGATTTGAAACTTTTTTTCTGATTTATATAGCTTCATTGAATGCATTCGATGATCTAATGGCATGCCAATTGCAGCCATTCATACAATTTAGTGGACAGATTGGTGGCCTAGTACAGGAACAGGCTCGATTAACAATGGAATCATTCAAAGAACAACGAAAATTCATTGAAATGGCATCACAAATGGCTAAACCAGCCAATGATGTACAATTAATGCAATTGTTGCAACCGATTTCACAATTGATCACACAGATACAGGCAAGTGTTTGATGAATGTTTTTTTTCTTCTTCTAATAAAAATTTAACAACAAAATAAAAATCCAGGAAATTAAAGAACGAAATCGTAAACATGAACATTTTAATCATTTGTCTGCCATTGCCGAAGGCATTGCTGCTATTGGTTGGGTAACCGTTGTTCCAACACCGGCACCATATGTAAAAGAAATGTGTGATTCAGCTCAATTCTATACAAACAAAGTGTTGGTTGCATTCAAAGATAATCCGGTTATGATCCATCATATTGATTGGGCAAAAGCATGGATCGGTTTCTTGACAGAACTACAGAAATACATTAGACAACATCATACAACCGGTTTAGTTTGGTCATCATCATCATCACAGGCTGCAGCACCATTACCACCACCTCCACCACCGCCTATTGGATTAGATTTAGGTGGTAAAAGTGCTGCCGATCAAGCTATGGATGATGCACGTGCAGCATTGTTTGCATCCATCAATAAAGGTGATGATATAACAAAAGGATTACGAAAAGTAACCGCCGATCAAATGACACATAAAAATCCATCATTACGATTATCAAGTACAGTGTCTGATAATGAAATGAAAAATTTACCCATTTCACAGCAACAACAGTCTAAATTAGCTACACAACTTAGACCCGAAAAACTATGTTTAGAGGGTAGAAAATGGATGGTTGAAAATTTTAAAAATCGTCATGATCTATTGGTTGATGATACTTATATTCAACAATCGGTCAATATTTATCAATGTGAAGATTGTATATTAACCGTTAAAGGCAAAGTGAATTCAATCACATTGGATAAATGTAAAAAATTTGGCATCGTTTTCGATAGTATCGTATCGTTTGTTGAATTAATCAATTGTCGACAAATTAAAGCTCAAGTAATCACTATTATATGGATTATTGTTTGATTTTTCATTCATTCATTCATTCATTTACCAATAAATTATAGGCAATGGAAAGTGTACCAACAATTACGATCGATTTTACTGATGGTGTTGAATTATATCTAGGACAACAATCATTGAATGCTGAAATAATTAGTTCAAAAAGTTCATCGATTAATGTTTCGGTTCTAGCACCAAACGGTGATTATGTAAGTTTAATCTTTGTGTACAACAACAACAAAAAAACAACAACAACAACAGTAACAGGAAAAATTATCGATCGATGTCAATGATAATTAATAACAATTTTCTCTCTCTATCTCTCATTCCTTCTCCTACATATGTCCGTCGATCGTCAATCATTATTAATGTTTATTTCTGTGATTCTGATTGTTTATTTCAATTATTAATTTCTTTTTTTTTGCTTTCTTTTTTTTCTTTTGTTTTTTTTCTATAGGTTGAACATCCGATACCAGAACAATTAAAATCCACATGGAATGGTAAAGGTTTTCATACCGAAGCTATCAGCAAGAATTAATTGATTTTTATTATTTCGTTACTTATTTTTTTTTTTTTTGATGATGATGAAATGAAATAAAATAAATGAACAACAACAACAACAACAACAACAACGTCGACGACGACGACGATGAAAAAGAATTTTTCCCAAGAATCGTGAATGTTCCAACAACAAAACAGTGGAACAAGAAAACGAAAAAAAAAAAAAAAATTCCCGTACACACACACACTATTGTTTTCGAAATAATAAAACATAATTTTTTTTCTGTTATTTTTTTGTTGTTGTTGTTGTTTGTTTGTTGTTGTTGTTGTTTGTTGTTTTCTGAACCTCTCAAGTTGGTCAGTTTTTATTTATTATTTGTAAAACATATTCGGGATTGGTATGTACCAGGTTCAAATTCATTTATTTTGGTCCAAATTTTTTCATTCGCTTGGTTGGTTGGTCGGTATCAATTTTTTTTTGTTGTTGTTGTTGCCAGTGATGTTTTGTGACTGGAAATAATAATAATAAATTATTATTATTGATGGACTATCAACCCAAATAGTTCAATATACGACGGTGCATATATATGATGATGATGATGAACACAAGAACACATTGTTTGTAATGAATTATCATTGCCTTTGTTTACGATTGCGTCATATTTTTATTTTTCGTTGCCTCCAGATCATGATGGTCAGTGTTTGTTTTTTTTTTTTTTTTTTTGCTTCATTTAAATTTATTTGATATTTGGAATCTGAAATTTTTTTAAAATGGAATATTCTGATCAAAAAGAAAAAAGTAAGTGTACTGTTTTGCCGAATTTGTTTTGTTTTCTATTCATTTATTTATTGCATAAATTTTTTTTTATTTTTGGGTTCGATGTAATTCAATTAACATTTTTTGTGCTGCTGCTGTTGTTGTTCATGTTGTCAATTGTCTAGCAATATTTTTTTTTTTTTTTCATTTTGTTTTCCATTCATTTCAGTTAGCAATGTTCATCTTGTTACATGTGTTCTGTTAAGTGTTCTCTTTCTCTTTTTTGCACTCTTACAGAGTTTTTTTGTTTGTTTGTTTGTTTTTTCAAGTATTTCTGTTTTTTTTTCTGGTAATCAAATTGTAAACCCTTTCGATCTTTTTGTCTTTCTATCGAAGAAGAGAATATTCATAAAGTCAGTCTATTTTCTAAAATTCATAAACCTAACAATCTTGGCCTAGAATCTAGACCCTAGATAGATAAAAAAAAATAATGATCATGATGACTTATACAAACGAAAGCCACTTGAAAAAACTTTTTTGTTTTGTTTTACATAACCAATAGGATGTACTTGTAAACAAACAAATTCATCTTTAGCCCTTTAGCGTCAAGAATAAAACATTTTTACTTATATAGGTTAATTAATAGTTTAATGATGAATAAAAACCAAACAGAATGGGCCTTGTAATTTTTTTTTCATGAATCAAACATATCATATGCGAAACATAAAGTACTGTGTTCAGTTTGAAAAAAATGTCAAAAAAAAAAATTTTAAGATTGAAAACTTTTTTCCCCACTCTTATAAAGAATCTTGTACAGAATCGTTTGGAGAAAATTCTTTTCCCATTTTTTTTTTTTTTTTTTTTGATCAATGTAAGTGGGAGTATAGAAAAAAAAAGTTTCATCAGTATCTTCGAAGACGGTAAATTTGATTTTGAATTTGTTGTTGTTGTTGTTGTTGTTGTTGGTTGTCGACGGCAATGTTATTTTTCCGATTTTTGCATGACTGAGTCGTTTACGGATATTTCCAATTGAATGCCTTCCTTTACCTTGGCTAGTTATTTTTTTTTTGTACTACACTAGACAAAACCAAAAAAAAAAAAAAAAAAAAAAAACAAAAAAAAAACATGAAAACCAAAGTTGTAAGTTGTAAAACTAAATAACCAGAATCGAAAATTCTTGTGTGTGTGTGAAAACTTTTTCTCTTCATCGGTACTTTTCATAAATTTTTTTTGCCACTGTATAAAACGGAAATCCATAGTGATACATAGTTCTTAGAATGTGGTAGCAAAAAAAAAATCAATGAAGAATTTCAAAGAATTCAGATTCTAATTAAATTTATTTGAATTTTCCTCGTTTCTGTTTTCTGTTTTTTTTATTCTCCATGTTGACGATGTATACTTGACATAATTTCAACATCATAGTAGACTTGATTTAACTTTGGCTATTTGGTTAGTCTTGTGTTCATCATCATCATATATTTAATACCCAAGTAAATTGTGTGTTTTTTTTCTTGAATGCAAACATTATCGTATCGGTGCAATTGAAGCAGAGCCGAAACACACGAAAAAAAACAAACAAACAAACAAACAAAATCCATACACATCCAAATTCGGTTGGAATGTGTACACACATTTATATTACAACCAGGGAATTAGCCATCCAAACAAATATTATCATTATATAAATATTTAAGAAGTATTTCGGGTGTTGAAGTTGGATGGTAAAATTGGATCTTCTTATAAATATATTGTGATTGGTCTAGTGGATCGATTAAATCGTAGTTTTTTTTTCTTCAATTCAATAATGAATTTCGATTTCATCGTGTTACTAATACTTTTTGAGCGAATAATCGATTTTCGATGATCCGATGATGAGAGTGTGCCAGAGTGTGCGAGTGTGTGTGTGTGTGTCTAAGAATCTGTTTCATTTATTTCGATATCAAACCGGTCTGATTATTTCGCAACATTTATTTCAACAATCAAATCATTGGGGAAAAAAAATAAACAGATTCTGTGCAGTGTAAAAAAAATGTGTCCGATTAATATAAATTTACAAAGAATAAATAAATAAAAAAAATGAAATTCTTTACAATCATTGGTTTGTTTGAGTGGAAAAAACGAACATTGTGTGTCATTTGGTTCATTTGTTGACTGACATAAGTTTACAAACAAAAAAAAAAAATGGAACAAATATTCTGTGTGTGTGTGTGTGTAGAATCATGTATCATGTTACCACTTGATGATGTATGGCAAATTGCTTTTTTCTGTTGTTTGTTCTTGTGTGTGTGTTTTTTAAATCTCAATGTCCAGCAACAGAAAACAAAACAAAACAATAGATGAAAAATCAGAACAACAACGACAACCAAAAAATTATGTCATCAATGATGATCGTCATTGTCATCGTCATCGTTGTTGTTGTTGTTGTTGTCGATTCGGTTTTTTTTCATTATTTTAAATTGACAAATGACTATTTTTTCTCTCTCTCTCTCCAAATACACTGAATTGTTGTTTTTTCAATTTCGGCTCGTTTTTGCACCGAAAAAAAAACATAATCATCACTATTTTTTTCGTGGTGAAAGAAGAAAAATTTAATTTTCAAAAGTTTTTCGATAAAATCTTTTATCTTTTGACAAAATGTTTTCGATTTGAAAAAACGAACAACCACAACTTAATCTAATTTTATTCATATGAATCGTTTGGAAAATTTTTTCGAAAATTTTAGCCGTTGATTTCATAATCATGATGATGATGGTGATGGATTTACAGGCTTTACGAATCAAAATTGATTGATTGAAAATGAATCTTGTTTGTTTTTTTTTTTCTTTGTCTTCAATGTTTCGATCATCAATATTGATGATGACTGAACATTGTGTATACTGTATAGTTTTTTTCGATTTAAAACCCTCTGGCTGTTTATTTTTGTTTTGATTCTGTGATTCTTTGCGTTATTTATTAATTTATTCTGTTGATGTACATTGTACAATGAACAAACAAACAAAAAAATTTTCAGAATAAAAAAAAATTCAAGTTTCACTAATCTAATGTCAAAATACAGTATATAGATCGTGTTCAAATAATTTACAGCCAAAAAAAAATGCAAAGGGTTTTTTCATTCCATTTCCATGGCCACAACACAGTACAACACATCAACCGACCAACCAACCAACCAACCAACCAGTACAGTACAGAGGCTGTTATTAGTATCGTTAGACACACTCACACACATATACGGAGGTGATTGATTAACCGACCTTCAATGATTAAGTAATCTTATCTTGAAAATTGAGAAACTGATGGTTCTCAATTTCATATGGGAAACCTTTATACAACAAACAAACAAAGATGGATGGCTAGAATGGCTAGATGGATGGATGGTAACCTATTAACCATAATTTCAATCCAAAAAAAAAAGAGTTTCAATGATGAATGAATGAATAAAAAATTGGTTCCTGAAATAAATACACACACACACACACAAACAGTGAAGTGAAGAATATTCATTTTTCAGTTTTTTTTTTCACTGAGAAAAAATTTTTTTTTCCTTTTCTCTTTCATTCTTTTTGACATCTATATATATATGTGTGTGTGTGTGGGTGTCTATTGTATGGTGTGTGTGTGTGTGTGTGTAATAAAAGCAAAAAAAAAATGCTGATATGGAATGTAAAAGTGTGCATTTCGATTTTGATAACTTGCGCTCGTTTTTCTTCGTTTTTTTTTCTTTTTCCTTTCTTTTTTTCTTATCTTTATGTCTAGGATCTGGTCTTGTTGTGTAGCTAAGAGATCTCACTCATTTGTGTGTGTACGTATAGTGGAACAACGAACAAAGAGATGTATCTGGTATCTTGATATATTTTTTTTTTTTTGGTCTTTGTTTTAGTTATGTTGAACCAAAAAAAAAAAAATTCACATTCTTCTTCTTCGGTTTGGTTCTTAATGTTCATTTTTCACGATTCTTGAACCATTTATTTCACAACACACACACACACTCATACAGAATTTGAAACAAGAACCATAAACTATCAAACATTTTTTTCCGTATTTTTTTCTCTGGCTGCTGCTGCTGCTGCGGCTGCTGTTTTCGGTACATATATCCTATCGGTTTAGGTTTTTTTTCCATCTCTTTTTGTTCTACTTTGAAGAAAATATTCTCATTTAATTTTTGTGTGTTTTCGGTTTCTTTTCTCGTTCTAATTTGTATTTTTTTTCACTATCTGGTTGCCTGGTTGGTTGGTTGGTTGGCTGGTTGGCTGGCTGGTTAGATGGGTGGGTGGGCCTTTTTAATTAGAGGTAATTTATTATCATCATATATAAAAACACAAGACAAGATTTTTTTTTTCATTTTACATTCAC